TTTGTCTGTCTGTCTGTCTGTCTGTCTGTCTGTCTGTCTGTCTGTCTGTCTGTCTGTATGTTCCTTATAGAAACAAAAACTACTCGACGGATTTTAACGAAACTTGGTACAATTATTCTTCATACTCCTGGGCAGGTTATAGGATACTTAGGAATTCCCACGGGACCGGGAATTAGCGGGAAAAAACATTTGTATGAAAAAATCTAAACCGCGTAAGATAGACGCTTGAAATTTGGCATGCAGGTACCTTAGTAAACTTTAAGCTTAGTTACAACAGGATATTGCAAAATTCCCACGGGAACGGGAGTTAGCGAGAAAAAACATTTGTATGAAAAAATCTTAACCGTGTAAGATAGATGAAGGGGGTAAAACGGGATCCACGCGTACGAAGTCGCGGGCGGCCGCTAGTTTAAAATAAAGTTTGTTTACACTTTGACAGCAATAGACTGACATGCAAAGTGACATGTCAATGAAGTTTTCAGTTACTGTTGCCATTAAAAGAAATTAGTACCATTAGTTTTCCGCAACATGGCGAGGGTTTTTATGTTCCTGGTCGGGCTATACCACCCATTACAACGACATAACTTAAGATGACAAAATATTTTACTTTTCATTACAAATATTAAAACGTATTGCCATTGTATTAAAGGATGTCAGTTGTATTTCACTTTGAGCTATAGTCTGGTCTGTAAGCACGTAGAATTTTGTCCAATGACCCCAAGCGCGTAATTAATAATTACTAATTATATTGCTGTCGCGCTCTCACACTCACTGCGGGCGCCCGTCGCACAGTCGCGACAGCAATATAATTACGCGCGAGCGATAAGGATGGGTAGCTTGGGGTCATTTATTTATTTACTAGCGGCCGCCCGCGACTTCGTACGCGTGGATCCCGTTTTACCCCCTTCATCTATCTTACGCGGTTTAGATTTTTTCATACAAATGTTTTTTCCCGCTAACTCCCGTTCCCGTGGGAATTTTGCAATATCTTGTTGTAACTAAGCTTTAAGTTTATTAAGGTACCTACATGCCAAATTTCAAGCGTCTAACTTAAGCGGTTTAGATTTTACATACAAAAGGATTTTCCCGCTAATTCCTGTTCCCGTGGGAATTCCTTAGTATACTATAACCTGCCCAGGAGTATGAAGAATAATTGTACCAAGTGTCGTTAAAATCCGTTGAGTAGTTTTTGTTTCTATAAGGAACATACAGACGGACAGACAGACAGACAGACAGACAAAAATGTTACTGATTGCATTTTTGGCTAGTTATTTTGAAAATACATTTCATGTACAGAATTGACCTCTCTACAGATTTATTATAAGTATATAGATTATTTATTGTTGAAGATTGTCATTGGACAAAATTCTACGTCCTCACAGACCGGGCTTTAGCCGTTTTATTGAAATAAAGAAACCTTACAAAATTGTGATATTATTTACTTATTGATTACACATCATCCCCAGTGGAGTTGTTCAACGAAGTGGTGACCTCTCCACCGACCACCACTCTGGCAGCGACCACAGCGGCGGCGACCACCACGCAGCGGCCGACCACGCGGCGACCGGCCACCACGGCGCGCCCGCCGCCGCAGCCCGAGCCGGGCTGCAAGCTGGCCTACGACAAGTTCTACGACATCGGCGACCCTGAGGAGGGGTACCGGTTCGGTAAGTCATTATATCGGGGGTAGGCAGTTGTAGGGTTCTATAATAGACAATTTGACACCATTCTCCAATAATTCGAAATCAAAACTTTTCTAAAAAGACACTTCATTAAATTTTGATTTTTGGTCGCATTGTAATTGAAAAAAGTAGATTAAGACAAAATAGTGACGTCACTTGCTTGTATTGCCATACAAAATTATGGAAGAGTTTAGTTTTGACAGTTTTAAAAAGTACGTCAATTGATTGGTGGTGTCAACATGTTTATTCTGTAGAGGCAACTTCTTATAAAATATATCACACTAAGAGCGCTGTCGGCCGTTTGGTGTAGTGGTTCAGAACGCACTACTATGCCGAGATTGTCCAAACATTGTCCAAAGATAGCGCGACAAACGCGCGGCTGACGCGCTGCTGAAAATTTCATACTATGTGACAGCTGATGCATGCCTTCACATTATAAAAACGTCGCTGCCGCGCTACTAACGCCCTAATGTGAAAGCGCTCTAAGGCCCCACGCCCACGGCGACTTATTGTAGCGATACAGTAGCGATTCTGTCGCGCGTTCGCATCGATACAGTCGCAATGCGGTCGCTAGCTGTGTGCCCTCGACCATAAACGCGCTTCTGTCACGATTCAGTAATCCTCCCTCCGTTCTCTCCCCGATGTCGTCCGATATGGTTGCGCGTTTGCATAGATACAGTCGCGCTGCTGACGCTGCTGTAACGCGTTAGTAGCGCGTTGGCATCGCTTCTGTAGTGCGTTTCAAGTGCGACTAACGCGCGTTCGTAGCGATGCTGTCGCTCGTTTACGAAGCGCGCACACTACAAAAAGTCGCCGTGAATGACATAAATTTATTAGTTTTCCACGGATCTCTTGTAATTATACTACGTCAGTTCGTCTAGACGCCCAGCGATCGATTGCTGAATGGGCACGGTCTTGACGTGCTTTACGTTCACGCATTATAGCTGCGTATACGTGTTTGTCAGTCGATTTCGTGCTGTTCAACGTTAAGATAGCATCTTCCTCTGTTTGGCTTTGCGTAAAATTAAATTCTCCTACAACATTTATGACTTCCACATCGCACGGTTGGTAGCGGCCTGCATCCAGCGCCTTCCTGCTACGGAATACCGTGCGATACCAACCAACGCTACCAACCGTGCAATGTGGAAGTCATTGGGGGAGGCCTATTACCTATGTTCAGCAGTGGACGTCCTGTAGCTGAAATGATGATGATGATGACAACATTTATTGAATTGTCAATACGTATTCCTGTGCAGGTACTCGGGAAGACAGCCGCATCGAGTACGGCAAGCTGCCGGGCCGGCAAGTGGGCGGGTTCGACCTCAGCGTCACCTTCCGCACCTTCGACAAGCACGGCGGCTTGTTGCTGTACGCCGCCGCTGAGCGCGCGCCCGGCCAGTTCCTGGCGCTCTACATGCGCCACGCCCAGGTAGGCCCCGCCCGCGTGACGTCACTCGTCCCTAGCACGCGGCCTGCTGCTGTACGCCGCCGCCGAGCGCGCGCCCGGCCAGTTCCTGGCGCTCTACATGCGCCACGCCCAGGTAGGCCCCGCCCGCGTGACGTCACTCGTCCCTAGCACGCGGCCTGTTGCTGTACGCCGCCGCCGAGCGCGCGCCCGGTCAGTTCCTGGCGCTCTACATGCGCCACGCCCAGGTAGGCCCCGCCCGCGTGACGTCACTCGTCCCTAGCACGCGGCCTGCTGCTGAAGACAGCGTGTCACACTGCGGTGGTGCTAACCCTGACTTCTTAGGACCCTAATTAAGGCCTTGCCACACTGATTACAAGTGTTTCCGTCTCAAGTTTTCGACTCGTGTTCGCCGCGCAGCCGCGAATTCTTCACTGACACGCGGCGTGTTCACTGCGTCGCCGCTTCGCTTTGAAAACGCTTGCAATCCGCACGTGTGGCAGATTACTAAAAAGCAGCTCGCTCAACGAATAAACTAAGCCGTTCGTCCTATTAGACTAGTGACACTTTTTATGTTGTAAAAGCAAGTTGTTAAATTTTATTTATTTTTCCAGCTGAACCTGGAGTTCAACTGCGGCGGGGAAACTGGTCACATCACGTGGGGGCAGCTGTACAACGACACGCAGTGGCACACGGCCACCGTGGTGCGGCGCGACGGGCACGCCAAGCTTACGGTGGACGGCGAGCGCGTGGGCGAGGCCAGCGTGGAGTGCCGCGCGCCCGCCGTGCTCGCGCCGCCCTACTACTACGGCGGGCTGCGGCTCAACCGCTCCGACCAGCTGCCGGTGAGTGCCGCGTGACGTCACGCCAGCGAGGAGTGCCGCGCGCCCGCCGTGCTCGCGCCGCCCTACTACTACGGCGGGCTGCGGCTCAACCGCTCCGACCAGCTGCCGGTGAGTGCCGCGTGACGTCACGCCAGCGAGGAGTGCCGCGCATGCGTGACGTCACGCCGAGCTCAACAGGGTCAGAGGCAGAGGAAACGCCACAGCACGTGCTTGAATGCAGAAATAAATGCCTGGTGAATCATCGTCATCATTATGATCATATCAGCCATAGGACGACCACTGCTGAACATAAGCCTCCCCTAATGGTTCCCATAATGATCGGATGGTAGCGGCTTACATTTTAGTAAATCAACGGGCCCAAACTACCTAATCCTGGAAGCAGAGGAAACTCCACAACACGTCCTTATGGAATGCAGGAGCTAATGTGTCTAAAAACCATTTAAAGTCACCATTCCCCGCTCTATTCCTTCCAGTTCTATCGGCCGTCCAAGAACTGCCTGAAGGCTGGTGATGAGAAAGGGCAGAAAAACACTATTGTCGGCCGTTTGGTGTAGTGGTTCGAACCGGACTACTATTCCGGAAGTAGCGGGTTCAATTCCCACACAGTACAAACATTTGTGTGCATGAACATATTTGTTTGTATTGGACTGGGTGTTTTCTATGTATAACTAGCTTTCCGCCCGCGGCTTCGCCCGCGTGGAATTTTGTCTGTCACAGAAAAACAAATTCGCGCGCGTATTTGCTCACCGTTTAGACCTACCCAGGACTACGACAAACATTTTAAAACCAAAATCAGCTCAATCGGCCCAGCCGTTCTCGAGTTTTAATCAGACTAACAAACATCAATTCATTTTTATTTATAAAAAATAAAAGTATTTAAGTATGTTTATATCCGTATTCCGTTGTCTAGTACCCATAGTACAAGCTTTGCTTAGTTTGGGACTAGAAGCGCAGTGTAAAATGAGACGAAACTTGGTTCTGCAGTCCTCTGAAGATGCTGCTCAGTATCGGCGTTTTAACAGACAGAAAATGTCCAAGGATATTTATTTATTTGTTTATTTATTATGTGGAATTTTATTAGAAGCCAGGTTTAGAAATTACAAAATGTTTTAGTTTGAACATTGGTTTTATGTTTGTGATTAACATTAAGATTTATTTAGTGTAAAAAGTCAGCGGCGGTCACCATTTTATCAGTAAGAAAAGAGGCCTTGGGGTGAGTTGTACCATCTTACTTTAACTTTAACAAACGTCAAGGGTCTCGCAAACTCCATATAGAAGGCACCGGTTGTTGTGGTCGCGATTGGGGTGGGGTGGTGCAATTCAACCTAAGTGTTTTACTTGGCGTGCCGTCGTCTGTACGTATACGTATATTGTTGTAATTTAGAGGCTATGTAATAACAGTATTGTGAGAACTGCTGCCGACAAACTGTGTCACAGTTTGGCAGAAAATATTAAACCACTTGTTACGGAGTTCAGTTTTTCTAACACTTACCTTAAATCAGTCATGATAAATTTATCTCAAAACAATCGCTCCAAAACTTTATAGTTATTTACGTCAGTGTACTTATAAGACTTGGACAGTACTGCGACACACCTCATCTTTCAAATGTTGCACATAAAAATTGTTTACACTACCCACATTAGTAAAAATATTTATGTAAAAACTAGCGTTCTTTTAAAAGAACGCTAGTAACAAGTGGGTTAATGTTTACTGTGTGTATTTATATGGAAAATAAATAAATAAATAAATAGGTCCTGTAAACCTGTACTGTTGTTTCCAGTTCTACCAGCCGTTCAAGGGCTGCCTGAAGGGGCTGCTGATGAACGGGCAGCACGTGGGCGAGGTGGCGGCGCGCGTCAACTCGCTGCGCTGCGCAGACGCCGTCGAGGCCGGCGTCTACTTCGGGCCCTCGCACTCGCCCACCGACTCCAACTACATCAAGGTACAGTGGAATGATGTTAAGGTGATGCCTTGCGAATATTGGGCGTTTTAAAGAAGCGCAGAATTAGTTTTAATCGTACTTTTCTTATTACTTATGTTCTTATTTTGAAATATGTCGTAGTTGACTAATAAATCTAGTGTCTGGTCGAGGCCGAAACATGAATGGAAACAATTTTCTCGATAGAAAAAAAATCCAAAGATGACCCTTCTATTACTCGGTTTTTCGTTTTATAAGCAGATAGGCTAATATTTCAATACCAAATTTTGTATATTGGTAAGGTAATAACATATTCTAAGTACTGGTCGAGTTATTTTCTTTAAATAGGGTTTGGTTTTTCAATAAATACATGATTTACGATTTTTGTCGCTTACGTTATTTTATTCCGCGCCGCGCGCGCTATTGCTGTCCCTTTCCTCGCACTGAGAAATCATATTTCTATCCCTCTGTGTGCGAGGCATTCAGTCGGCCGAAAACTTTTACGAGGTAGCGCCTTAAGAGCGTTTACGCGAAGCGCGGCGTTTCAAGGGGCATCATTGGAAATGATTCGCGCGCGGCGTTTTTTAATAGTTATCAAATGTTTATAGCAAAACAATAACAATGAATTATATATCGTTTCAAAGTAAATATTTTAAAGACAATGTTAATTTATTATATTAAGCTATTTTTATGTTTAATTAAAGAAGAATAATGGTGTAAAAATCACTTTGATTATGGGTATTTCACGTACTTTGATTTTGTGAATGCTTAAATCTAAGAATTTTCTCAACTAACTATTTGCCTAAGGATCTATGCTATAGGATATAAATGTTTGTTATATCGTTTTCACAGTATTTTTATAAAAAAATCAGCTTGTAAACTGACGCTAAAGTGCAAATTTGAAAACCTGTGTGGACTTATCTTGATAGAACTCTTAAATACTATACTAATCGAAATATTTTCTCAACTAACTATTTAGACGACGAAATTGCCTAATTATTTATGCCTATAACATATTTGTAATGTAACTGGTTAATGATTGTAACGGGTTGAAAAAGTACTGTTTTTGCGCCAAACGGCGTAAACGCTCTTAAAGTAAGATAAATACTTTTATTACAATGAACATTACATAGATACAAAATCAAAAATATTTATTCAGTTTAGACCACAAGCGGCACTTATGAACTTCAAAATATAGTAAATAATAAAAAAAGAAAAGGTAACCCTTGTGGGGCACTTTACATGTCTCTTTATCTTTTGGGCCCTACCAGCGCTTCGAGACAAACATAATATGCCATATTATGGCAAGTGCTGAGAAGAAACGCCGGAACAAGCTCAGGCATGCATATAGAGAACTAGCTTTCTGCCCGCGGCTTTGCCCGCGTGGAGTTTGTCTGTCACAGAAAAACTTTATCGCGCGCGTCCCTGTTTCAAAAACCGGGATAAAAACTATCCTATGTCCTTTCCCGGGACTCAAACTATCTCTATGCCTTTCATCTAATCGGTTCAGTGGTTTAGGCGTGAAAGAGAGACAGACAGACAGAAAGACAGACAGAGTTGACTTACTTGAAGATGGGGCAGAGGGCGTCCACAACAGTCCTCCATCTCGTTCGGTCTTGAGCTTCTCGCTTGATCTCGCTCCAGGTCTTGCCGATCTTCTTCGCCAGAGTTACTTTCGCATTTATAATATTATACTACAGACAGAGTTACTTTCGCATTTATAATATTATAGTTACTTTTGTGAAGCCTCAATGTAACCTTGTTGGTGTTCAAATAAATAAATAAATAAATAAATAGGTAGTATAGATTTTCATTTTCATTTTTTTACAGCTGTTCAAAGTGGGCAAATTCAAAGTGGGCAACGAGATCTCGATCTCGATGGAGGTGAAGCCTCGCAACAGTACAGGCCTTCTGCTGAGCGTGCACGGCGGCGTGGACTACCTGGTGCTGGAGTTGCAGCCGGGCGAGGTGGTGGCGCGCGTGGAAAACGGCAAGGGACCCTTCCAGGCCAGCTACAAGCTCGGCGGCGCCACGCTGTGCGACGGCAACTGGCACAAGATCCACGGTAACATTATACGTACTAAACTAGTTCCGTCTCCTTTTTGCGAGTGTTCCACTGATGATGACAGTCATGAACAGTCTGCCCATCATATCTTGTGGGAGTGTGATCTTTGGAAACATGAACGTGATGTAATGCTTAATTCAATACAACATCTATATCTATTTCCGCAATTTATAACACCGATCTTGTCGCGACCAGGAATAATTTCCGTGCTTTTAAGCGATTTTGTGAAAAATATTATTGGCAGGTAGTTGCTAATTGCTCATAAGATAGGCCCTTTTAATTGATATTTATTGTCCGTGGTGCATAATCTTTTCTTTTAAACCTTTGTCACCTGTCATCCGCTTTGCAATGGAGGGAAGTCGAACCTTAATTTCGAACTCCTCCTATGTTCTTCTGATTAATTTCGTTGCGGGCGCAATGACAGGTTAACTTTCCCCCGGGACAAACTTGACCTTCATTGGTTGGGTTTTTATGGCGATCAAGCTGCAAGTCCTGGCTACACAGGAGTTGCAGTGGTAGGAACGAGTGGTGGGAATAGTCCCGTTACTAAACTAAGGTACTTTGCTGGCGAAAGATTTCCACAATTACTGATACTTTGCTGCTCGCAACCAGGCGCTTCACCTTCTTTTATAGAAAAAAAAGCGTTCCCAGGTCTTCCCCAAGGGTCACCACAACCACGATCCTACGCTACCCGGAACCACGCCCTTCACCTTTATTTTCAGGTTAAAGACGTCCGACAACCAGTCTTCGGCGTTTACCCGTGGTCCCCCTAACATGTCCCCAATTTATTTTAACCATAGTCCCACCGCACAGTGGTAAACGTTGCATGTCACCTCATATTCTTGGAAAAAAATCGATAAAATAAAATAGAAAGTCTATTCTTATTTACATCAAGTTTAATTAAAAAATAATTGGAAATTGTCTGGCATGAAATATCAAACGCCGAGTATGAGTGACTTTAACCCACATTGTGTGATGTGAAGATATAAAAAATGTTCTTGCAATTATTAATTTCGATGTATCCTTTATTCTCAAATAAATATGTATGAACTTAAGAATAAGTCTTATAAATCTATGGTTAATTAATAATTATAGTTTTTTTTATAATTATGCAACGTTTACCACTGTGCGGTGGGACTATGGTTAAAATAAATTACCCGTAGACCCACTGGCAAAAACTGTTCAGAAAGGTGGGACAACGGGTAAAAAAAATTACCCGTGGACCCACCAGGGGGACATGTTGGGGGGACCACGGGTAAACGCCGCCAGTCTTCCACTGCTCGCATGCTGCCTGTAGGTCTTTCAATGTCTGATGTACTATCCCATCAGTTTACGAGTTGCTGCTATCATAAATTTTTCGGCTATCAATTTTAACCTATAGTAAATACTGGCTGTGATATACCAACATGTCAAGAACGAAATTTTACTTTTGTATTTCAAACCACTCAATACTCTCAACACGTTCGTTCGTTTCAGTCGAAAGACGTCCACTGCTAGACAAAGATCTCCCCCAAGGATTTCCACAAAGACCTCTCAACCCTTTATGCGCAAATTGTCAAGCGGTCGCAATCTGCCAAATTCGCAAAATGTCAAGTTTTAAAAATGTCCAGTTGTGTAGGTTTATTAATAAAAAAGTCAAGTAATTAATTGGCAGAACTTTTAATCATTAAAATGTTAAGAGCGTTTACGTCTAGCGTGGCATGTCAAGTTTAGGTAATTTCTATGCTATTTTTATTCACACTAAAATAATTGTGACTGTGTGCGTGTTCTCACGCTCTATAGTCAAACCAAAATACTTTGATCCACCATCGTAAAAGTGTGCCAGGCTGTCAAGTGACAGCCCAAAGAAACTATAAAATCTTCAAATCTTCCAACACCGACTCTATAATTATAAATAATGGTATACATTAGTCCTAATCAATAATAAATACGTAAATTCTTTATCAAATAGTAAATTATCAAAGGTTTTTTACTATTTTGAGAATATTTTATACAGCCTATGTTCAGCAGAAAAAAAAATGAATTTTAATGGTGAGAGATTTTTTCAAATCGGTTCTATTTAAAACAAACTTTTCCTGTTTACTATTCTCTTTTTATCCGGAAAATGCATAACATTTCATACCCACCAGCTGCGGGGGCAGCTAGTGGGTTATGTGGGGTTCTTCCTACCAGAAGGTGGGTAGCCCCTACACCCACTAAAAACCTGACTGTTTCTGCCATGATCCATATGAGTGATATGAGGGAACGCGGGACATCGCCATTGGCTGTTGCCTGTAGCATTCGTCCTTAGCCGCCACCAGACACCTCCATGTCTAGCGACCGAGGCCTGTTAGGAAGGGACAGTTGGAGACCATAAGCTGTCCTCTTGCGCCCAGGGTGTCGGCGGCGGATAACCGGAGTGTCGGCTGAGGCCTCTCGCTCCCCCTTTCCACTGCTTCTTTCTGTGAAAGTGTTCTTTCAGCACGTAAGTAAGCACACTATACCATAAGATTATTTGTCTAAATTTCAGCTTGTAAACTGACGCTAAAGTGGAAATTTACAAAACCTGTGTGGACTTATCTTGATATAATTCTTGAATACTAAACTAATCGCAATATTTTCTCAATTAACTATTTAGACGGCGAAATTGCCTAACTATTTATGCCTATAACATATTTGTAGTATTACTGGTTAATGATTGTAACGAGTTGAAAAAGTACTGTTTTTGCGCCAAACGGCGTAAACGCTCTTAAGGTTTTTTTAAAATAAGAAACCATAATGTTCAAATAAAAAAGTTGTTTATAAATTACAGTTCAAAAAACAAGTTACCTATTAAAGTTTCAAACTTGACATTTTGCGAATTTGACAATTTGCGCATTTGGCAGATTGCGACCGCTTGACAATTTGCGAATTTGACAATTTGCGCATAAAGGCTCTCAACTCCATGGACCTATAAAAAAAGTCGGACGGATTCTCATCAACAAAATACTGTGACGTTAGGATACACCAGCTTGCCTGTACGTACAGGCCGGCACGCACACATTCACACCCTGTTACACCACTTCGAGTGCAAACTTCACACAGTTGACACATTTAAGCAGCAAAAAAACAACACGAATACGACATGTCTTGTGTGATGAAATTGTGTAAAAACCGTTCGGTTCGAACAAACAAAAATTAAGGAATCACATTTCACAGGCAAAATAATAATCCAATCACTTATTTCCCGACATTAAAATATTGAAATTAATTGAAATCAAACGTCATTCACTCGAAAAAATAATACGTCAAAGACCAGTGTTCTCAGTTATTTACGTGGGAAAATTACCCGAAATATGGGAAATTAATAATGATTTTAGGACTTTTTAGTTATGTATTACGCATACTATGGAAATAAAATAATTTATCATAATTATTGTGTTTTAATGGGATATATTTTCATAGGCAAATTTGATCCTTCCCAAAAATGTGGAACTGCGAAATTCAAATTTTCTTACATTGATTGCAAGTCAGTGTCAGGTTGTATGTTAAAAAAAATCTATCAGAGATAATAATAATATATTGATGATGCATAAGATTATGATTATAATGTACACAAGATTCGTAATTTGTAACTGCGTGAATCATTTTTGATCAACATTATGTACATAACTACATACCCCGACACACTGACTTGCAAACAATGTAAGAAAATTTGAACATTGAAAATTTCGCGCCTACCTCAACGCATTCACCTTTCATCCTTTTAAAATGGCACGGAATAATTCTGTCTACATTTCCAAGTAACATCTGCCGATCTATGTTTTTCTTAAAATAAATGGGTAAAATGTTTTGGCTAACATGGCATCCCTAAATTCACTCACACAATAGACAAACGCCAAAATTTTGCGTCACAGTTTTGTTGTAGCGCGAGTTCCGTCCGCCTTTTTTTATAGGTCCATGCTCAACTCATCATCTTATTATTTCCAGCTGTGAAATCCCGCTACGTGGTGTCAGTAGGCGTCGACGGGCACTTCTCAGACGCGGGCATCGGGCTGTCCAGCTCCACCGACACGAAGTACCCGCTGTACATCGGCGGCCACGAGCGCCCGCTTAACCGGCTCAAGGGCGTACAGGCCCGACACGGCTACACCGGCTGCATGAGGAACCTGGTCATCAAGGAGGAGCTGATGGAGATACCGCTGTCGGCCGCCGGCAGAAACGCGCACGTCGGCGTCTGCCCGGCCAACTAAACGATTGTCAGTTGAAAAAAAAAACATTTCTAACAAGTTTTAATCCATCATTGTTGGGCAGTTGACATTATCCCATAATTTAAGCAAGTTATAGTTTTTCATTGTTTTCAAGGCAATAAAGTTAGAAATAATGTTAACCACTTTAACATTGTATACCATTGTGTACTCTCGACTCGGTTGTTCAATAAATTTTATTTGATTTGCAAACGATAAAGACATTTATGAATGGTGTAACAGTGTAGCACTAACTACATACAAAAAAAACTATAGGAGAACCACATATTAACGAATCTAAAAACATGTCGATAGAATAATGGTGTCAACTGCCCAATTATAAAATGGAACTCGCTGTAAACTTTCAACCTCTTCAGTTTAAACATAATATTATGGGCGATTTCTAAGTCTGCTCGTCTGCCACCTATCATATAACTTAAATGAAGTACATCGCCTCCTAAAAAAACTAATAAAATATATCAAGTACGAGCGAGAATCAACACCATTATTATTACCATGATTAACCATATAAAGTGATACAAAAGTCAATTATTAAAAAAAACATGACATGACTACTAGTTCACAGCCTATTTATAAGATTTATTATATTATTTGTTCCAGCTTGTTTGAAATAACAGTGGATCTAGTTAGTAAGACTCGCTTGATGAACTAAAAATACCCAGAAAATTGTTATAAGGTACTGTGTAACAAAATCAATGATGGTGTTGTAAGAGAGATGGAAGAAGATGGGTCTTTTGATGTGTACTAACAAATATGATTATTTCCATTAAGAAGATCGTTTGAAATGTAGCAGCAGACAAGCTTTTACTTATTAAACGAAATAAGATTGCGCGAGAAGGATTAAAAAATTACCCTTCATTTTCCTTGACCTTTTAGTATTATAAAATGGCGCCAATTCCCAAGATGTCATGGAGATATTTACATGGGGAGGTATTTTATAATTATGTCTACTTGTGCCATTCTGCGGCTGATATTATGCTCAGTTTTTGCAACTTTCGCATTTATTCATGTATACTATTTTTATATTTTACAAAAAAGTGCCATGTTTGTCTATAAATTTAATATCAAACCGCAATATTATAATTGAAATATTATATATTTTTAATAAATCGCATTTATATATCAATTTGCTGTTTTATTAATCTATTGAGGGTGCCTAACACTAAACCATATCAGTTAGCTTTCGATTATACTAATTTTCATAAACATGTTGACAAAGAATACATGCCGTGTTCGTATTGTCCAACTGCAACGAACCGTTCCATCAGTGACATTGACAGGAGGGTGCCACCGTCAATATAGTTCCAAAATACTGGACTGTCCTGTCGATGACATTGACAGTGGGGCGCCACCGTCAATACCGGATCGCTGGTTCAGATTTTTGCCATGTTGGAAACCATATAGTTGAACGATGGTAGCGCCCCCCTGTCATTGAGTTTGGTGGGACAGTTCAGCGTGGGTCATCTATACCAGAGCCCCGATCGCGCTAAAAAATTTCATCTTCAACGCGCCCGGACGACGAACGAAGCTTCGCCTTCGAGTAAAGTTAGAAAATTCTTCAAAACAAAGTAAACGTCATTATTTCCTGTCAAAAGTAGTGCAACCAACACCTTGACCTTCGATTTTAGCTAAATATCTCATGTGAAAATGAAAATACTAGGAAGGTACGTCCATTACCGTGATACCAAATTGACCTCAGCTGGAATGAAAAACGGAGCGCAACTGAGAAGAAGCGCCAATGAACGAAACGTTAAAAATTAGCGCAATCGGGGCACAGATCGCTGGTTCCGATTTTTGCCATGTTGGAAACTCTAAGGGACAATACCCATTGAGCGGCGCGCGTCGGAGCGCACTTACGTATTTTATTAACGGGTAGTTCTTGAGTCGTAATTGCTTACAACTGATTAACTGACATTTCAATCCAGACGGATGCGCGAGCATGCGTCGGAAGCCGGTCGGCTCCGATCGTATTCCAGCGGATACCCGCGCATTCCTGCCTAAGTTTGATTTGATGCCCCACGCTGAACTGTCCCGCCAAACTCAATGACAGGGGGGCGCTACCATCGTTCAACTATATGGTTTCCAACATGGCAAAAATCTGAACCAGCGACCCGGTATTGACGGTGGCGCCCCACTGTCAATGTCATCGACAGGACAGTCCAGTATTTTGGAACTATACCTAATGCAGTAATAGCATTGAAAGTTCACGTTGATTAAAATTAAGGTAAAAAAAAATAATGAAACAAATGGTTATTATAAAAACGTTGAACAATGTATTTTACACTATTAAAGGTTTAAATTAAGTTTAATACATCCCCACCCAAACACATATACTAGATTACAGGAAGTACATCATCAGTGTTTCCACAATTAAATCCCTTTTCTGGTACAAATGTTTTGGTGGGACTCAAACTACAACGACTGATAAAAGAACCTTACAACAAGGATATTTACAATGGTACTGGTAAGGACATGTCTGGACTAAGCCTCTTGCTAACACTCGCAGTCATAGCTCGTCGGTGTTAGGAAAAGGCAAATGACGCAGACGTAAAAAAATCCTAAACCAAACTACGCGATAACATCTAAAATGGGAAAAATTCACGTTAATGGTACAGTAATTAACAGTGAAACTTTAGTAGACACTAAGTACTACACACCATAATAGCAAAGATATTATTTCTATATAAAAAATATTTCGCTAATTTAAGACATTGTAAATATGCGTGTATATTGATCTAATGGCTACAAACATTGCTTATCAATGAGGTCGGCAGTTATATCTGTATAATATTATTTATTGCGAATTTACTATTATTCTATGACAAAAATTTCAATCATCACAAAACGCTTCAACGGAACAGGAAATATTAAATAAGAAAATGAAGTATCTTTTGCTAATATAGGAAGTGAAAGTAGCTCCTCGAGACTTACCACAAACAATATTTACACTTAAAAACGAAACAGGACAATATTCACAAAAAATATTACACAAAGTAACAAAAACAATCGTACAAGTAATATTTGGTAACGGGAAGTATGTACACTGTAATGGTAACTGTTGCCAAATCATATTTTAGGCCCTTTTTTAAAATAATATTTCCACTTAATTTTAAAGAAAGCGACGGGTTAGTTGTAGTACACAATGCAGAAAGAATTATGAAAATTTTAAAAATTATTAACAAAATTAACTTTTTAGACAGGGATAAAAACTGTAAAAACAAAGAAATACATAATGAATTAAATATGCATTGAATCTTCAACAGCGTACGCAAGCGGGGTTGTATATTGATTAAATAATTTTCTACATTATAAACAACTAATAATAAATTCAATTTTACAATGTTATAGGTATATAAACAATGCCCTCGCTTATTTAAGTAGTTTATCATGTAAAATGTATCTCCACAACTTTATCCAGCTGTATGAATAATTTTGTACCAGCAGGGTACTGAATGAGGAATGTATAATATTAGAGTAGAAAAAATTGCTGTATTTGAGCAGTAAAATCGCACCTTTGCGGGTATGCAAACGTTTAAGAATTATTTAGTTATCAAGGCCGTATATATGGTTATGTCGACACTGGCTGAAAAATTGCCATTTTTATATGGAAATACAGGTACACACGGCCACACGGTTAACTATCCATTTCCGTTTTTGCTCTCGCTCTCATCAAATGGTGATTCTTTGCGATAGAACGAGACGACATAACAGGCAATGGATAGTTAACACTGTTGCCGATGGTACATCAGAAATTCCTCAAAATTCTCTCTCTATTTCTCACATAAATGTAGTTCACATTCAGTAGATAAAGTTGAAGATATAAGTAGACAATTTGCGCTTATCATTTTATCCTAAAAGTATATTATTGCGAATAAGTTAGTATCCAATAAAAAAGATGAATATTTGTATCACATTTTAAAATTTACGTTACACGAGATATTTAATTTTTCTAAAATACAAAATTTTTACAAAATAGTGAAATATCTCGAAGAATAAAATATTTTACTTTTTTTTGTTTAATACACTTTGTTTGGTGTTTATATGAGAAAACACACTAGTGTTGATAAAAATGTTATATTACTGCACTTCGCTAAGTTTAAATTTATTGCTTATACTGGAATCTATTTGGAGAACTATAACAATCAAGGAGTTCAGGGACAGGTTAACAAACACTAAAACAGTGAAGCATGACTCATGTTCTTTGTTTGAAAAAATATATTTCTCGAAATTTATGTTGTTTATCTCGTAATGTTGTTTTTGTCAAACTCTTATTTTATGATGACTATACATTATACAATACAATATCCAGGAAAATAATAATAACCTGAGTTCACGTTTGAAGTATTTGCCAGTCTGTCCCTTGCACCCTGCTTTAGTTATTTAACATTAATTCATTCTAATGGTTGCTTTAATATAACACCATTAATATGAAGTTGTACGAACTCTCTTGGCCTGGGAATACTTTGTTCAAGCGATACACCCCAATGTAATTCAACATAATCTTCTAAGTATAATAATCCCTTGAAAAGCTCATTTACAAGTGGAGAACAATGTATAATGTGATGTATCTTACTTGTGAGCTCATCAAAAATTTATCTAATGCAACACAACGGTTTCAACGATTCAACACTTAGAAATCCAAAACATGAAAATTGATATCTATTTATGGCATATAACGGAAAGTATAGCAATCTTTTTATTTTGATTTAGCATATTCTTCAAATAGAACATACAACATTTATATACGATTTGAAGGTAGGTTAACATGACAAAAGGTAGTTAAAAGAGATTTGATAAAAAAGCCTTACGCGACTATTTAACTGTATTTTCTAAGTATTGTATAATAAATCTGAAAATTGTCTGGACGACGCGCAGCCGGCGATCGCATTGTAAACCAAAGGATCGCCACATATACAGGGTGGAAACGATAAGTGATCTCACTCGATTATTTCTAAACTATACAAGATATCAATAAACTGGTTATTGATCCAGAAAGTGCTTCATGAGCTCTATCAAACGGTATTAATAATAGGTTACAGAATAAACTGGATCTATCCGAAACTTCAATGTTTCCAGCTTCCATACATTTGGTAAAGTCACATTATTTTAAAAACTACATAATATGATATCGTAAAACTGATTACTGATTCTAAAAGTGCTTCACAAGCTCTATCCAATGGTATCAATAATAGGTTACAGAATAAACTGGATCTAACCAAAAATTCAATGTTTCCTTCTTCCATACATTTAGTACTACCACAGTCATGACACTCATCTCTTGACAATATTATAGCAAGTAAAGCCTAAAACCAATGTTTTTCATTAATAATTTAAAATAAGAATACAATTTACGAGTTTATTTTAAGTATTTATTATTAAATTAAAAAAATTACACTTCTAATATTGTGTGTCTGGCATACATTTAGTATGGAAGCTGGAAACATTGAATTTTCAGATAGATCCAGTTTATTCTGTAACTTATTATTGGTACCGTTTGAAAGAGCTCATTAAGCACTTTCAGGATCAGTAAACAGTTTTTTAATATCTTGTATAGTTAAGAAATAATCGAGTGAGATCACTTAACGTTTCCACCCTGTATTAATATTGTACAGGATGTCCCATAGAGACCGTGTCAAGCTAAAGGAGAAAATAGACTAATGTATGACCATCCTAGACAAAAAAATACTAGTAAATGTATCACCATTTCAGAGATATAGAAAAAAAAATTAGTTAAAAATACACAGTTTACAATTATACAGAAAATGTGCACGAATCGAGTACTTTCTGAACTAAAATGGCACCCACTCACTCTTTTTTAAAATTTTCAATATCTGCTTATTTGTACACAGCTGCAAGATATAAAAGAAAACTGTGAAACTTTTACTAAGGCATTTGTATTTGTAGCGCTGAAAAGGTTAATGTCTCGTAGAAGGTCATGTTAGTCAAGGTAGTCTATCTTCTCCCTAAGTTTGGAACGCTCGTTATGGGACACCCTGTATTTCTGTCAGTATCTTTATTCGTAATTTTGGTGCATCATACCGTTCTTATAATAATAATATGCATATCGCTATCACATATTATCGTAAATCCACGAACTGTCCAATCATAACGAATAAACCATATACACACTCAACAAGAAAATATTGATTATATTAAATACATAATTACTTATAAAGACAGATATTATTCGTGCAATAGTTAAATATCGCCTTTACAATGGCTAGAAGAATACAATAGTGCACCTTTTACCTATTGGTCACTGTTTACTCCTGCGCCACAAGCAAATGACGTCAGGAACTAATTCTCATCTCATTTCGCTCATTTATTGGATAAAATGTTGTGCAATATAAAGGTTTTTCGCATTAACAATCCTAGTCTCACTTGAGTGTGCATTCTTAATTAATATTTGGAATTACACATGATAGAGCTAAAGCGACCCAGTTTGTAAAATTAACTGCTTGACTATTTATGATCGTACGATGTTTTAAATTATGCACCATGTGCTAATCTATAACATACAAACTTGTGATTTCTAATTACATCATTAGAGAGATCAAAAGATCAGTACACTTTCAAGGATTTTTTAATTAATTTATTGAGATAATATCAGTATGATAATGAAATTACTGAAATTACTAAGGTGAGGTCGATTTGAGGAAACAAATCACGAATCAATAGTTTATTTGGCAAATGTTACACATTCAAAAAATGCTTCCTTCACTCGACCTCACTTCAAACGAAAATGTCTTAAATACAAAACAGGTCATGTTAACAATAATTTATCTCAGATCTTATTTTATTTATCTGAGTTTTGAAAACATAAGAGCTTTGTGCTAGGCCGGAATAGTCCGAACTTTGTTTGCGGTGAGCTGTATGTTATTTATTTGATACATACACGGGCGTTGGCCGGCGAATAACATGTAAATGTAAACGCTTGTCATATCATCATTGGGACACACGTTACAGCCTTCCATATGGCAATTGCTGTATCTTAAATCTTGTGTTTGGGCTGGTGTTTCAAAACCAGAAAAGTGCTGAATGCATTACAAAGCCAAGATATTCCATAACAAGTGACTGGTGAACATATTAAAAACAACCATAATGAGCCACAAAGTACAATAAATTAACCAATCATTATAAATAAAAAACAAACTTGACCCAATTCGCAAACAATAAAATAACATAGAAAATTGTTGAACCTTAAAATTACCCAAAAAATATGCTTTCGCCCACCACATTCGCTGTTAGAAAATATTTAAAAAACGCAAAGCTTAATAAACACTGTGCTGGTTTTGAATAACTAGCTTTATTAGCATGTGCCAGCCCAAACAGACGGTTTATCCAAGTTTCATAACAAAATACAGGACTTACTCGAGTCCATGCTAACAGTAGTGCGACGACTCCCGACTTTACTCGTTAAACTTCTCTGCCATGCTGCTGTCGCCTTCAGTTTCCTCCACTATTTGCACGGCAGGAAGAACTGGAATAGAGAAAAAGGATTTTAAAAACATATTTAATGGAATCAGCTACGATGAGAAACGAGGTCTTATCTTACGACTAGCGGCCGCCCGCGACTTCGTACGCGTGGATCCCGTTTTGCCCCCTTCATCTATCTTACGCGGTTTAGATTTTTTCATACAAATGTTTTTTCCCGCTAACTCCCGTTCCCGTGGGAATTTTGCAATATCCTGTTGTAACTAAGCTTTAAGTTTACTAAAGTACCTGCATGCCAAATTTCAAGCGTCTAACTTAAGCGGTTTAGATTTTTCATACAAAAGGCTTTTTCCGCTAAGTTCCCGTGGGAATTACGGGAATTCCTTTCTTAATGCACCTCTACGGTACCTAAGCTTCGTCCCTTCCAAATTTCAAGTGCCTACGTTTAGCCGTTTAGGCTGTGCGTTGATATGTTGTGAGTCAGTTTCTCCTAGAAGAAGATTTCAATGCCTACTCGGGGAGATGAACAGGCCTGCTGTGGGTAAAGTTAGAGCTAGCACTGACCCGTATACTATTGATGCTGGCTCTCCACGATGAGCATGATGGACTGATGCTGCTGCGTGTCGGCGTGGATGGTGGGCACTGTGCGTAGGCACTCGATCTGGTGCGTGGCCCAGTCCTTCTTCTGGCAGTAGGTCGAGCAGTACGGCGTGCGCCGGCACAGCGAACACTCGGCGGACGCCTCGCGGTTGCAGTTCGCGCACTGAAAGGTGACATTTTGGTTTGGTTATAATGGGTACAAGTTTACAGTGTTTGTTGGCATCTTATGTAGCTTTAATAGGTGCGATTTGGCCGCATGTGGTAAATTGTATGACAACTGCTGACGTCAAAATAAAGTGGCCGCCGCGGGCGCGACGAAAATCGCACCGCGCGCTAAGTCACTGGTACAAAATGGTCGTCCACCGAGGCTGCGGTTACCGCGGCCCGCGCGATTCTACTAGTCGCCCGCCGGTGCCGCGGGACCCGCATACAATCGCACACGCTGCGGGCGAAAACCGCGTCGTGAGTTGTGCATTAGTTTTTACATAAGTATCTGCATTCTACAGAAGCTGCGCAATCGCCGCGGCCGCGGGTGAAAATCGCGCCGTGAGTTCTTAGCTGCACGGTAAGCGCGCGGCAAACGTCCGGCACGAAACGTCTAAGTTGAAAGCGCCCTTAGGCGTTGCTTATTTTGCACGTCCACGCTGGCGGCCAGCAGCGCGGAGGCGCGCTCGTGCTCGAGGCGCGCGCGCACGCTGTGACGTCACACGCTACCTTCTTGGCCTCGGAGTCGTCGACGGTCTGCAGCGACACCTGCTCGGCCTCCACCTGCACGTCCACGCTGGCGGCCAGTAGTGCGGAGGCGCGCTCGTGCTCGAGGCACGCGCGCACGCTGTGACGTCACACGCTACCTTCTTGGCCTCGGAGTCGTCGACGGTCTGCAGCGACACCTGCTCGGCCTCCACCTGCACGTCCACGCTGGCGGCCAGTAGTGCGGAAGCGCGCTCGTGCTCGAGGCGCGCGTGCACGACGCGCACGTCCTCCGCGCACTGCTTCAACTCGCCCGCCAGCCGCACCAGCGTCTGTCCGATGTCGTCCAGCCGCTTCATCACGCCGTTGATGTCGGGCAGCGCTGGGGAACAAAAAATATTGATACTTTAGGACATGTTGGACGTAACGTTGTTCGTGGACCGAGTGAAGAGGCGAACGGTGAAGACTGTCGTTACATTAAGATATTGGATATACTCGTAGTAGTAATCTTGTAGTAGGATAATTTAGCCATCAGCATCATCATCATTTCAGCCACAGGAGAAGCCACACTGCTGAACATAGGCCTCCCCCAATGATTTCCATATTAAATAGGTTGGTACAGCGCCTTCCAGCTACCTTTATGAGTTCGTAGGTCCACCTTATGGGTGGATATTTTATGTTCTGGACTCAAACCACCATAGATGCGAACAACGGTCCAGTAATGAAGGACTAAGTTGTTTGTAATGTAAGAATTTTGCAAGTTGCATTATGCGTGCCGACCAAGGAACAGCGACTCACAACAACATGCCACAAACACAATGCGGCTGAAAAAGTAAGAATCGTTTACATTGTCGAATGATAAAAAGATTGCAGAGGATGTGATTATACAAATGGTTATTATTCACAAGGATTGATGCACGTCCATGTCCACATCAATCTCATTTGCAAGCCCATGAGTTAACTCCACACGAGGGAGTTTTCTTCGAAAACAATCATTTGTGTCATTTTGAATGCACCAATGAATAATTTTCTGAAGAATATAAATATAAACACTTTTATTGTTCTCCACAAAAAACAAGAAAAAAATCTGTGAAACCAAAAGGACGACCGATAGTCACATTATTTTCTACCTATGCCAAGATAGAGTTGACTTACTAGTGTACCTAAAACAGGGTCTAGGAAGATTGTTATTTATTTATTAGGTATATATATACTACAGTTGACAATCGAGTTTTGTTAGTAGATACTTAAGTACACATAGTTAGACTCGACAAAATAGATTTAATGAAGAGATTCTCAACAATGGTTCGAAATAAGAACAGGTTCAAGAGGATGCGCAGAGATATTACGCGTGGTGTCAGCCAAGAACGAACTTTACCCCATTTATAAGCAATATTTCGTAAAGCTTAATAATACAACTTTCCATGAATGATTTTGAAACAAAAAAAGGTTTTTCTTTTGAGATGTTGATATTATTGGTCTTGTATATCCTGAATTTAAGTTTCCCAAAAGCTCAAAGTAATCTGCAATACATTAATAGTAGTAGGGCAAAAAAGAATGAGACATTATACATGCCTCCTGAAGAGCATTTGGCAATTTGTAAGTACCAATTCAATTAGTCTAAGATATAAATAAAGATAATTTAAATTTTGATTAAATACTTGTAATGTTAATGCAAGAATAACATCATAATAGTTTTAAAGGAATCCTAAATATCAATTTATAAATCAAATGCTCCTTCCAGCAGTAACGGGCGCCGCACATGTTATGTACTACACCATACATGTATATTGTATGTACCAGAGTGCATCTATCGATTTACAGGTAACGCTCAGCTCATCAAGTGTGAAACAAGAGCGTAGCATATAACTATATCTCTCGCAAAGCATAACTCGTAAATAGGGCGTGGCGCGCAGCGATAGAAATGGCAAAAACAATTCGGCACAATATTTATGCAAATAATTGTAATCGCTATCTCGCGTAGTAATATTTTTCGCTATAATGTGCTCATTTAACTACCAATTAGTTAGTCTATAATGTATGTATAACAAATAAGCTTAAGTACTCCAGATTCATCCGTTGGTCGACAATAAGTTTTCAGTATCAGAACAGTACAGTATTCATACTATACAGTAGATCCAAAGACAGGTACATTACCGTTCCTACAATGATTTACATATTTTGAGGTACTTAGTACCAGTGAGGGTTGTACATTCGCCGTTGTATAAGAGGAAAACGTTGTCTTTATTAGGTTTTCCCAAACTTTTAAAGATATTTTAGGAACATTCAGGATTCAGTCAGGAAAATTACGAAAAGTTTTTTGCCAATGGTTTCTTTTCTTTCTAACAAGGATAAAAATATTTTGTAGACCAACTAAATATAAAAAAGTTGGTTCTATTAATGGTGGCAGTGGCATAGAAGAGCAGGTAAACTATTCGAATAGATCGTTCTTAATTCTGGTAAGTACGTGATTCTCCAGCCATAGTACCATAGGTCATAAGTTCATTCGCATAAATGCATAAATCAAAATATTATTCGCTTAAGCCATACGTCAGCTACATAAAAAAGTAGATTAATTAACAATAACAAGTCGCATTTGAACAAAGGTGGCTATTCGCAAGAGCAATGAAATAAAATGCAATATATAAGCACAATGTTTGATGCATTTTCTATCCCGTGGGTTGCGATGGCCGAGGTCACAGCCATGGAAGGGTCTCCATTCACAGGTGCCCCAATAAAAACGATGCGAATGTTGGTTAGTTTCTCCAAAGCACGGAAACAGTTTATAAAGTCGACCCGACAATCGGTAGCTGTCATTGATTGTAACTAATTTGTAATTACAATTTTGTGAGCCATCTTACGAAAAATAGCTTTCGCTTGGCTACCGCTGAAGACTAACATCTTAAAAGCTTATTTTAGTGTATAAATAAGTATTATTATAATTACATATTACGAAATAAAACTCGCATGTCGCAACAGCTGCATGTGGTGATAACATTTGAATTAAATTTTCTTAGTCATGCAAAATTCATATATTATGTTTATTGGGAGATAACCTGATCAATCGCGTTTCAGCTAGATCCATGGGTCAGAGGTCTAAAGCGTCTTCGACGAATATACTAGACTTTTATGACAAGAGTTGAATAAAATATCAAAACAGCTTTAGAATTAATTTCGTAAAGGCTAGTTATAGACCTAAGAGCTGGTACAACCTAATCACTTACCCAGCCCACCACAATTCCGCACGAGCAAAAGACAGGGTCGATGAGAGCCTGATTAATCGACACGAGCTATTTTTTGGAAAAACTTAACATTCATAGAAATGAAAGTGCAATAGTAACTTTCTTTCTTTCTTTCTTTCTAATAGAACAACAACAACCGAATGATATAATCCAGTGTTTGTCAGTCCATTTCAGGTGACAACGATAGATTGAAGTTGAAATGTTTAGTATGTAATTCATGCGCATTTATTAGGTCTTGAGCAATCGGACCTATGTATTAAACAGTGAGCACGTTCATGCGTCAGCCGTCAATTTTCAATCTAACTTTCAAAATAATATTATGAATTCGCAATGTAGTGAGTAGTGATCGCCCGTATCTCTGCGCCCTGCATTCTCCGTGATAACGCGTTGAGTTAATAATAACGTGTCAACTGTCATAAGTAAAGCGAGCGAAAGCAAAAACAGACCTTTATCTAGTAACATAAGCTCATACCCTTAACACTCTTTGAATCATGTTTAAATACAAAACTTTCTCTTCTATATATATAAAAATGAAACCCGTTTCGCGTTGTCATGGCATCACGTGTGAACGGCTGAACCGATTTCGATAATTCTTTTTTTTTAATGTTTGTGGAAGTCCAAGGATGGTTCTTACGGAAAAAAATATTAAGAAAATCTCTACGCTAAGGCGGTACGAAGTTCGCCGGGTCAGCTAGTAGATAATATAGTCAACTTTATCAGTATTGTTGTTTTGTATTGTAATATTTTAATGGTTACGAAATTTATTTCATTCGTTTCAGATAATTTACGTACACTGCTGAATAAATGGGACTATTTCCCCTCTCGTTACCACCACTGCAACTCCTGTGTAGCGAGGATCTACAGCATTGAACCCACAACGAAATTAACTGCTGGACATAGGCCTACCCAAGGATTTCCAGTGATCCAGCAGGCACCTCCCGCGACCTTCACCAGATCGTCGGCCTGCCGCCCTGCCCTCACTACGTCTTCTGGCCCGTGGACAGTACTCGGAAATTATTTATTTTTTAACTAGCTTTTGCCCGCGGTTGCACCCGCGTGAAATTTAGTTTGTCACAGGTCGTCATTAATTATAGCCTATGTTATTCTGGGTTATAAACAATAATACTGTAAAGTTTCATCAAAATCAGTTCAGTAGTTTTTGCGTGAAAGAGTAACAGACATCCAAACTTTCGCATTTATAATATTAAAGTAGGATAACAAGTTGCAATTGCTAAATTGGTGATAAAGCATTTTTGTCAGTATGCTCTTTAGGCATTGATAATCAGTAGAAGTCATGATATTATGTACTAACCATCCACATGTCTGACAACCCACATGACCCTTGCTTACAGCCTAACATCCGAAATTCTATGTGGCAACTGAAATTATGGCATGGCACAGATATCCATAACAAACTATTTAGGGACTTCCAGTTGGAATTTTATTCTAGTTACAGCTACTCAATACTAATGGTCTTCTGAATGAATGCAATGTGCACAGAGGAAAATATCAACCATCATTATCTAACGACACTTACTCCCGTATTCACAAACGATGCTTGCTTAAGTGAAGCAGCAAATCAAACGCACAGCGTTGAATAGAGCTCTGTGATTGGTTCGTGTGTCACCCTGTGCGTCCACGCGCACTGTGAGGCCTCATAGTAATGTTCTTAAATACATGTGTTAAGCAGATAGTGCAGTTTAAAAAAATTATAACTTTATGTTACCTACCTATTTTACTCAAATTGGGAGTTTTATCTTGAGAAGATGCAGTTGCAAAGTGATTACATATAAATTGAAAACATCGAAATACTTACGAGTGGCGTGATCCAGCTTTGCTGGCTCCTGTGTCTCCAACAAGTGGTATTCGGTGCTGCCATCTAATCCCTCGGTGATTGTCTGCCAGGCTTCCTTCGAATGGCTGTTGCTGCTGGTCTGATGTATATTGTCAACTTCACTCTCAGTTATACTGCTCTCTTGCTTTACTTTGGGTCTCTTCTCCTCCATTTCCTGTGCAGTTTTCCGCTTTCTTTTGTATGGTGTGAAGAGGCGTATGGGACCCATGGCTGAATAAAGGAAACTTTTAATATTACATAAAATATTAAATTTAAACATGGTAGGTCAGTATTTAAAATAAAAATTACAAACAACATTGAAGATAACTCACCAGACTGATCATCACAGCAAGCTCCACAGGTGCAACTTGTAGCATGTGGTGTCAGGATGCCCTCATCAATCAATGTCTGAATACTTCTCCCTCCAAATCTAATAGACCTCTTCCAATCTTTGCTAGAAGCTCTCCCACAGAGAGCTTCAAACTCACTAGGGGTGTACCAAACCATGCCATACTTTATGCACCTCCCCCGGCCACCGGAGCCAAATCTCTGCTTGTGAAGTTCAGCGGATATATTTTTACAGCGGACAGGAAGTACTGGCATGTTAGCAGTCTCGGCCCAGGTTCTAGCGCTGACCGTGCGGGTAGCAGGAGAGGTCTGTGTGGGTGCTCCATCCTCTTGAACCGACCCCGCAGGCGAAGTTGGCTTCTGAATCACAATATGCGCCGCCTTGATGTCGTCTGGGACCGGCCCGCCGGATATGAAGCCGTTGTCCACGCACAACATTGGTTTGAAATGCGGCAGGTGATCCGTGGTGATAACGTTGAACGTCGTGCCCGTCGTAACCAGGGTCACCACTCCGGAGTCGGTGGCGAGCCGCGGTGTTTTGATGCCGGTGGCTAGCACCGTCCCGCCGTCAGCGCGCTCGGCATCGTGATCGGGGTGCTCGGCCCCCGCCGTCAGTGGATCGGCTTCGGCAATGTCCGGCATGTCGACGTTGTCCGAACTTCTGTTCTCAGCCATTGCTCTCATACGTCCGCCTGATGATCCCCCTCGCTCTCCTACCGTTTTCACCAACCACTCACATCAAAAATCTACCGATTGTCAAAATGAGCACACATAAAATCACATTGAATGACGTTCAGCCACCATCCGCCATAATTAAATCGAGAGACGAAAAATGAAAACATTTCATTCGCGTACGCTGAGGTTATGGCGGTAAGTTCGAAATTCGAACGTGCTAAAATTTAAAGATAGTTTGATACAAGTTTGATAAAATATGAAAACGCCTAATATAAAGATATTGATAAATAATTAAATTTAATTATTTAACAAAGGTCGTTTTGTTTTCGCACGCAACCCCACTTTATCCATGAAAATAATATTCATAATATTTTTATTAAAAAAAGGAATGGGTATATAACTGCACTTTTATCATACAAATCATATTTAAATAAGTTTTTAATGAAAATATAACATATTTACAAATAAATGGTTTTGGCTGATAAAATACCTAAAATACATTTATTTGTATTTCTGAACGTAACCCAGGAACTATTGATTTTCCGAACGACAGTTACGCAATATTACTCTACCAATTAAAAGAGGTCATATTTGACTTCATGCATTGTTAGGATGCTAGACATTTTGCATTCGGTTGGTTATCTAAAAAGCTTCATGTTGTGGTTTTTCGTCGTAAAAGTTGCCAAACAAAATAGGAGGGAAATATCAAAATAACATGAAAATTTCAGTTAATTTATTTCCACGCGTGCAATTTCTTTAAGTATGTTTATTAGAATCATTTGCTAGTGGATAAAATGTAAGTTATTGTATTTAATAACCCGGTCATATCATTGTTATTCAAGTGTTTACAAGTGTTTGAGAACTGAATTTAATTGAAATGGAAGAATTGCGGTCTAAACACAAGACTATACAGAGCGCAGCTCACCACATCGCCCTGGAGTGCATTCATCCTCAGGTACAGTCTCTAGTGCATAAAATATTTAACCTTACTTCTAAGGCTTCACTCCTGAGTCTCAAACCCAAACCATAAGTTTGACAATCCTACTGCAATCTTATAATCCGGCTGTAACTCTAATCCATATCTGTGGACTGTAATGATCTAATATTATTTCATTTTGAGAAATATATACCAATTGATTATATTTTAAAACTCTGCCTATGGAAAGCTACATTATGGTTGTAATCTTCTTTAAATATTAAAAAAAAATGCATCAAGCTACTTTAGCTAGTCAATTAGGTACTTCTAAATATTAAATGAATAATGGTGCAAAATAATATAAAATAGATACTAAGTATATTGCAGCCCCTTCGAGCTAGAAAAAGACAAACCATACTGCTAAATTGGCCTTAAAGGTAAAGACAAAATAATACATCAATTTGGACAAACCTTGATCCTTATTTCTTTTTTATAGAAAAGGTGAAGAATATTGAAGAATATATTTGTATTTTGTATCCTATGGATTATGCAGAAGCCTTAGTTCAGTGAAAAATGTTTATAAACAGATAGATTTGAATTTCAGTAGCCATGAAGAGTCGTTACCATTGGCCCGTGTACCACAACGGAGAGCTGCACTTGGAGAGCAAAGTACATAACAATGCTGATATTACCTTGTGTTATCACGGCTTCCCTGTGTTTGACGGAAGCTTTGTCAAGTATTATAATTACCTGGCTATTTCTTGAACACTTTTAAAGTGACGTTTAAATCCTACCACCTAATTCATGTGTATGAAAATGTCATTTTAAAACAGTGTTCAAGAAGCATGTAACTTTTATTAGTAAGGGGGTAAAATATACTTTGAATGAGAGCAGCACATTGTCAAAACTTCAGTCAAACACCCACGAGTGACGCACTAGCACGATTGTTCACAGTACCGTTTGTCCACCCATGTCTGTGCATATCGGATCTGCTACAGTCGGTACACGGCTCCCCGTACCACGTGCACCCTTACCCCTCCCCAGTTCGTCTCCAGCATGCCTTCCAGAGCCAGAACAGTCCGAAGATGTTTCACCCGAAAGGGCTTAAGCCACACCTTGTGAGTATTTGCTTCGCTAGTGTGTTAATGTGTGATTGTTTAGCCTATAAGTAAAGTTATTATTGTGTTATGTTGTTACATAAAAATGACAAAATACATTAATTACCTAAATCATGTGTATAACATGCTGTGCTGTACAACGATTTGTTAAACTGCTGTGATTTGGATAATCAATAAATAAATAACTTTATGAAAACTGAAAGACATGAGCATATACCTATATAAATTATTTAATTATTATTAAAATGACCATGCATCAACATTACAATAGACTGATTATAAGTACTATTTGTTACGTCAACATTATCGATATCACAGGCAATGTTTATGTGATAACAAACGAAGCAAATCTGCCTAAATAAAATAATTTAAAACTAGCTAAGTATAAATGGAAGACGTAGCTATCGCCGCGTTACTGACCATGTAACTACATGTGATGAATACTAGAGATGAAACGGATAGTTGTTTGGCCGGATACCGGATACCGGATATCCGGCCAGCTGCTAGGCCGGATAGCCGGATATCCGGCGGCCGGATAGTTGGCCCATTGTCTCGTTTCATGTCGTGACGAGTTTAGCGCCGCACAGGTGCTTCGAAGGCGATCAGTGGGTCTATTAGTAGACTAGACTAGTCACACTTTTCGAAAATCGAATCTGTCCGAATAGAATGTCAGATTATGCCACTTGTCTAAGGGGCAGATCAATTCGAGCGATTTCGGTTGCTATCGTGAGTGTGTGATTGAATAGCGAAAATTAAATTAGTTTACTTGCTGCATAATCTGACTGAACTGCATGCATCATCATCAAACCATCAGTGAAAAAAAAATCGCCTTTTTTATTTGGCAATATTTAGACATTAACAGATATTATTTACTGCAGGGTGGCCCAGAAGAAAATTCACTTTAGAAAATTCAATGAAACGAAAACTGTACATTTTTGTAGAACTTTACCTATTGCAATTTAAAGGAAATTTAGTGCAATTTATTTTAAAATTTACTTACTTTTATAAATTTTATCGTACATGACGTGATACCCTTGACGTTTACAACATTCGGTCAACATACATCAAAATTTTGGAAAACTTTCGTTAGAGTTATCTCGAAATGGATTCAGGATGGATGAATGCTGCAGTTTTTGGATTATTAGAGTATACTCTGCTCATAAGGTAACCCCGCAAAAACAAGTCTGCTGGAATGAGATTAGCGCTTCTTAGAGGCAGTGAGATTTCATCCCTGCTTAATTGGTTTGTTGCATTGAAAGGATGATTAATTTTTGAGAATGATATACTGGTAGGCTGAAAGGCTTTTTGATTTTTAAAGCTGCAAGATTCGCAAGGCTATGACCGGAGCACTTGGTTTCACCAAGATGGGGCTACGTGTCACACTTCAAATGAGAGCATTTAGATGGTAAGAGACATGTTCCCACAAAAAAATAATTTCAGGCAGGGTTGACATCTCCTGGCCACCAGGAAGCCCTGATCTCACTCCAGAAAATTATTTTTTGTGGTGTTACATTAAGAATAGAGTATACTTTTATAATCCAACAAACATGCAGCAACTGAAGCTGAGCATTCGGCAAAAAATTGAAAATAGGTTTCGAGGTAATTCTAACGAACGCATTTCAAGATTTTGATGTATGTTGATCGAATGTTGTAAGCGTCAAAGAAATCTCCTGGGCGATGTAATTTAATAAAGGTAAATTTAAAAATAAATTACATTTTTCCTTCAAATTGCAATAGTTAAAGTTTCCTTCAATTTTCAAAAGTGAATTTTCTTCTGGGCCACCCTGTATTTATGTATTCGTCATTAGAGTGAATAGCCCAAAAAAGAAATTAGTTTTTTGAAAGGCTTTTTGAAGAATGGCTTTTTTGTAACTTTTTGGACTTTAAATAAAAGCCGTCATTATTATAAGCCATTTTATTGATATTTACCTCAAAGATTAATGTATTTCATTTTATTAAAGGGAAATTGTCGTAGTTTTTTAATATCCGGTATCCGGCCGGATAGTGAGTTACTATCCGGTATCCGGCCGGATAGTAAATTTAGGCCGGATATCCGGCCTACCGGATAGTTGCCGGATATCCGTTTCATCTCTAATGAATACTATGAAGAAATTCTTATTCCGATAGTTTTGATAGGATTGCAGATGAGCGTTGCATGCTTGTGACGCCGGCACTGTTTTCGAAGCCTTTACACACTAATACATAAATGTTTAAATCACGTAACAGGATGGGAGAGCATACGGCACGCCCAACGAAAGCCCAATATTGGGCAGGGCGCTGTGCCTCACTCCCCGAGGCAGCCCCATCCCGGGGCGGGTGTCGCATCTCAACGAGAAGTTCCAGGATTCGCTCACACTCAACTCCGATACCGACGCCCTGGTGGCGAAGATCAGCGCCATGTTCCCGACTGTCAGCGAGACGCATATCAAGATCTTATTGAAGAAGTAAGCAAACATTCACTGGTTTTTTCTTTTTATTTTGTGTAAAAAAATAATTAACATAGTTTAATTTCACGAACTTTTACCCGCGAACAACATTGAATAAAATTCAAATTCCAAACTCAAGTCTAGGTAATCCTGTATTATGGGGACTTAGTTTGGGGACTGCTAGTAAGTCTTAAGTTATCCAATTGATTTAATAATTATACCAGTGAATTTTTTTTATTTGTTGCGTACCTTTCGGAAATAAAGTTTTATTTATTTATTTATTTTGACTTTGCTTATTTTGGGATTTTGTCATTCCTTCCTAACTCACTGTTATTAATTGTGAATATGTCACCGTAAAATTAATTATTAAGTCTGACAGTTTGTAATACGCGTGTACAGATACAATAAACCTTTGCTTGTGTTCATCGCCAATCAACTCTTGCTGCGCGACCTTTTAATTCAGCGAGTTCATGCTAAGATACCTGAACTAAAATGTATGGATGCTTTAAAAAAAAAATTGAGTACTTCTGTCCTTGTGACATGTTGTATATCTTTTTTTTTATCCACAACGAGGAAGCTCTTGGCCTGTATCTCACCTGATAAAGCCTGGTCCGTGAGCACGTAGAATTTTGTCCAATGACCCCTAGCTACCCATCCTTATCGCTCGCGCGTAATTGTACCTATTGCTGGCGCGACTGTACGTGTGCGAGCACGACAGCAACATAATTACACGCGAGCGATAAGGATGGGTAGCTTGGGGTCATTGGACAAAATTCTACGTGCTCACGGATCAGGCTTTAGTAAGTGCTGATCAGGCCGAAGGTGGAATCTATGACGTTGCTCCGATCGCTACAGGTACTACAACCGAGAAGCAGTGGTGATAAGCGCCCTGCAGGTGGAGAAGCACCCTATTACGACACCGGGCCCGCTGACGATGTCTCCGTCGGCCGCGCGCCTTCAGCGAGGCGCCGTGGGTGTGTACTCGGCGCTGCAGCTGGCCAAGGGCGTCTCGGGCTCCATGCAGGGCTCCAGCCACTACTCGCCGCTCACCGGCAGCCCGCACGGTGAGACAGTGTGACGTCACAGCGTGCCTGCAGCGAGGCGCCGTGGGTGTGTACTCGGCGCTGCAGCTGGCCAAGGGCGTCTCGGGCTCCATGCAGGGCTCCAGCCACTACTCGCCGCTCACCGGCAGCCCGCACGGTGAGACAGTGTGACGTCACAGCGTGCCTGCAGCGAGGCGCTGTGGGCGTGTACTCGGCGCTGCAGCTGGCCAAGGGCGTCTCGGGCTCCATGCAGGGCTCCAGCCACTACTCGCCGCTCACCGGCAGCCCGCACGGTGAGACTGTGTGACGTCACAGCGTGCCAGACGCTCGTCCGACAATACAACTGGAAAAAATCGGGAATAGAACCCACGGTCTTTCGCTTGCCGGGCAACTTCCCGTTGCGACTTCCACTGAATAAACCTGTCGAAATTTTCAAATATAATACGCTGCTACGGTCAACACAACGCATACTAGCTGGCTTGATAACTACGAGACGCAGTGGTATTTATAATAAGTAGTGCTACAGGTAGTCTTTATACTGATTTATTACTGATGTTCAAGATCATAAGCAGTGTATTGAGCATCGGTTTTGAACCCTTTTTTAACTAGTACTCTTTTACGTACACAGGCTCCCCATCGCTCCTTCGACCGGCCTCCGGAGCGTCAAGCTACTGCGGCACTTACAAATCCGACGGTCCGCCGCGACACCAGTCGCCGAAGATGAAACTCAAGTGAGCTAGCAATAAAGCTTTTTTTTAATCAACATGTTTTATGTGTCCTTTGCTGCAGAGCATATACAGATATTATAGATGCTGAGCCTATGTTCAGCAGTGGACGTCCTAGGGCTGAGTTATTATGTACAGTCACGGAATGAAAAGGTTCGTCAGTTTTCAAATTGATTCCTTCAACGAATCGCGAGCACATATTACCTTTTGAAACTATGTTACAGAATAATCTCGAGTTAGAGAAAATAATCTTTAACTGTTCGTCAATAAAGTTCAAAATTATTCAGATCAAAGTTGTTTGACGATTTATCTTGTCAAGAAGATTATTATGATTGATAAACTAAAACCTTCTTGTTGGTTCAACCTGCCATTATTATTTCTTTTAAATAAAAAAAAACTATTGTCAATTGGTCAATGTCATCATTGCATTGCACTGATGGGATAGAAAAATAAACAAGCAAAACCTTATTCGATAGCAAACGTCATATTTATTTAAATGTTAGCAGCACTGTTTCTTGCACTGTTATGTTGGCAGGTTTGACTCATACAGTACCTAGTGCAAGTGAAAACCGACACTAAGGTGACGAACCTTTTCATTCCGCGACTGTACATAAGTACAGTAATATTACTTCAATGACCTTGAGAGTAGGCGCACACCGTTGATTTTTAGTTGGCCGATAGTTGTGCCCGATTTTAATTTGTATGAAGAATCGGCCAAATCGAATCGGCGTAGTGTGCGCACTCCCATACATGCCCATACTGATCAACTGCCCGACTAAACTATCGGCCGACGAAAAATCAACGGTGTGCGCCTACTCTTAACAAGATTTTGAAACTTCGCCTCTTGCAAAACGGACCCAAGAACAGTTTAATTTACCCTCACATGGCCAAGCCGTGTGGTGACGGCAGAGTAGAATACATTTGTCACCAACCCCTACTCTTCCCACGGGTGTGTCGTAAGAGGCGACTCGCACGCTCACTGCGGGCGCCCGTCGCACAGTCGCGACAGCAATATAATTACGCGCGAGCGATAAGGATGGGTAGCTTGGGGTCATTGGACAAAATTCTACGTGCTCACGGACCAGGCTTTACACATCAAACAGAGAACGGGCAGCAGCGTTCTCTGAAAAATATCAATCTTTTAAACTGCGATCTCCAACTCGCCTGCCAAGCGTGGGGATTATGGCAAAACCCTCCACTATAGTGGAGGAGGCTCATAGTCCAGCAGTGGACTGTAAAGGGCTGTTGATGATGATGATGAAATAAGCTACGTCATGGTCGCCATTCGACAACTTTTGTGCCCCATGCCATGAGCCATGTGCTCTTCGCGCTATGTTGGTTACGTGGTGGCAACAAGCATAGCACGGTCAATCGCCCTTTGAGTGACTGAGTTTTCTTAAGAGGCCCATTTTTTAAATAATAATAATATTTGGACAATTTCACACAGCAATTAATATGCTTGTGTTATGGGTGCTACGAATATCCTACTTATACAGGGTGTTAGGTAAATGGGTATATGAGCCGACACTAGCTCATGTTAACTAAAATGGTCATATAAATGGTATGGCGAAGTCAGAAATTTGATATCATCATTTTATTTTTTTAATTTTATTACAAAATAAATTTTATAAAATCCGATTGGTATGAAAATTTAAATAATTAAAATGAAGATATCAATTTTCTGACTTCACCATACCATTTATATGCCCATGTTAACATGGGCTACTGTCGGCTCATATACCCATTTACCTAACACCCTGTATACTTTTTTTTTAAATACATACATATTATATGTATACATAGTAACACCCAGACCCGTGACAGAAATCATTTAAATTTCTGCCCGGCCGGGAATCTTACCCGGGACCTCTCGGCATAGTAGTCCGTTCTGAACCACTACACCAAACGGCCGACAATTTGAAGCATACCTTAATTCTACAAACGTGTATATTCCAGGTACCTAAAGAGCATATTCCCCAAGGCGGAGGAGACGTTGATATTGGACGTACTGGCGAACAAAGACAACAACGTGCAGAAGGCTAGTGAGGAGCTCATCACGATGGGCTTCACGAAAAAGGAGACCATCATCAAGAAAAAAGATAAGGAGAAAGAAACCCTCCCGCCGAAGAAGGTCGTCACCATCATGAAGACTTTGGAGGAGAAGAATCAGTGTGAGTACTTTCCTTCCCTTTCCGGAAAATGTAGTTAAGACCCTTTTTTTTCTTTACATTTTTATTTGCTCCTTGTAAATGTACTATTTGCTCTATTACCCAATAAGGATGTTTCCTGGGTCAAAAAGCAAGAGTTTTAATTAGTCCGTCAGTTAACTTATCAAAAAATACTCTACACGTATTTTTCACTTTTTCAAACTAATGAAAATTTAAAGATATAAAGCGAGCCAAAGTTCATAAGAAGAGGCCCGTGACGTTAATGCGTGCATAAAAGTGCCGCACGTTGTGACGTCGTGCGGAACTTCAACGCACCATAACTATGTAATTATTTGTTAGATTGACAAATAAAAATATATGTGTCCAATATTTTTTGATATTAAACATTACGGACTAAAAAAATTTTTTTAGGCATTCTATTCTCGCATAAGACCTTTAGTGTCTTCTTGCCACACTGGCGCATTGCAAGCGGAGCGGCGACGCGGCGGGCACGCCACGGTCGCCAAAACGCTTGCAAAATGCCGCCGCCGCGCCGCTGCTCCGCCCAGAAAACGCTTGCAATCCGCCAGTGTGGCAAGGCCCATAGAGAAATGGGTGTGGCTGAAAATCAGCGCGGCATGAGTATTCTCAGGCAGCATTAGCTGAGCCTCCTCCAATTACTTTCTTAAATTATGTACAAATCAATAATAATTATGTAGCTAAAGCCCAGTCGCCGAGCACGTATAATTATTCGCGAGCGATAAGGATGGGTGGACGAAATTCTACGTGCTCGGCGACCGGACTATAGTTAAGTATGTTGTGGAAGTAATAAAGACATTTATAATTACTTTTTATTTTCTACGAGTATTCATGTTGTGAAGACTCCCCGTGGCAGACTACAGACATTTTGTTTGTAGACCTGAATAAGCTAAACTTGTTCTCTTGCGACTGCTTAACGGGTTTTTTTTTTCAAAATTGGTGGTGGGACAATCATTTTCAAGTCTGAAAATGAAAATAATAATCTTGTCCTCCAAGAAATGCAATGCGAATATTTGAAAGAGTGTTTCATTTGAGATCAATTCTGTTCAGAGCTCAAATCTTTTTTAACCAAAAGAACAAATAATATTAAGATGTAAGTTTCATGATAAAAGGTTTAGTTTTATTGACGCATAGAAGTAAAGATGTAACTTATAACCTCATTATTTATAATTTATCAACAAATCAAGTCGTAATTTTATAGAATGACTTAGAATTTGCAATTCTATTTGCTTAAAAAGCTCACTATGGTAGGTATTCTTAGTAGTTCAATAAACGCATTATCAGTCGAATGTATACTAAACACAGGTCGAGTGTTTAAGTACCATTTGCAGCGCGATTGTATTCAGCTTGCCTGATTTGCCCTCGACGACGTTCCATCCTCACCGAAATAGACTATTTGACACCATTCCCCAATAATTTGAAATCACAACTTTTTTTAAAAAGACACTTTATTCTGGTCTTATTAACTTAATTAATTTTAAGATTATTTGTTGCATTGTAATGAGGGTTTTCGCGATTGAAAAATCCGCCAGATGGCGGGACGCGGACGTGCGGTCCGACCGCTGCGTGATTGGTGGATTTTGACATATCTGTCAATGTCATATCAAAAATAACCAATCACGCAGCATCTGGACCTCGCGTCCACGTATCGCCATCTAGCGGATCCTACAATCGCGAAAACCCTCATTGAAAAAAGTAGACTAATTGAGTTGACAAAATAGTGACGTCACTTGCTTGTATTGCCATACAAAATCTATAGGAGAGTTTTGTTCTGACAGTTTTAAAAAGTACGTCTATTGATTAATTAGTGGTGTCAACACGTCTATTTGCCCTCGACGGTAACGTTCCATCCTCACCACTGCTGCATTGCTCCCTGATACAGGGATAAATAAATTATTTATTATTACCACGATTCCAGTGAAACAGAAGCTCGAGAAGAAATACAGTTCGATAGCGGAGCGCGTCATATCGCTGGCGCTCGATAGCGTGGACTACAACGAGGAGCGGGCCGAGCAGATCCTCAACGCGGTGGTGCAAGAGGAAGAGGCCCCCAAGGTGGCCAAGCCACCGGAGGTCAAGGAAACCAAGCGGCCACCTGCCACCGAACCGAAAAAGGGGTGAGTTGGCATGCCTTTCTCATACATGTTCGTATTACGACGGAATAACGATGTTTTTTTTAATGTAGTGCTGATTTCATCAACGCGGGCTTACCCCCAACTGTGGCCTAATTCACGTAACAACTTCAAAGACATGCAAGCGATTTGATCGCTGGAGTCACTTTTCGCATTCACGTTTCCGAGTTTCGATTTCGTTTTTATGCGTATTCGATAGTTGCCTCCGCGGTATTCAGATGTTACCTATTTTGAAGTTTTGATTAATCTGATAACAGTGATTAAACGTCAAATGACGAATCGCTGAGTGCAAGATCGTCATCGCCGCTTGAGACTTGTCACAGGTCGCACGACTTGTCACAGGTCGCACGACTTGTCACAGGTCGTGCGACCTGTCATTGGCCTTTGATCGCGCCGTCGATGGCGATCTGCACGCGTTGGTGTGGTTGAAGTTGAAGCGTAACCGTTCTATCGAAATGACACGTGAATACGGATTTACGAATGCTTTTCAATAGGACGACTTCTGAACGTCAACATTTTGACTATTGCAAAATGCGTGAATTAGGCCACAGCAAGTATCCTTTTCATACAAGTACGTATTCACTGTAATACGCACGCGGGGGGCGGGGCAATCCCGCGTCCCTAATGAAATCCGCACGATATTACAAACAGCCCAAGGTTGCGATGTGCGAATGAATACTGGTTCTAAAGAAATGACGGTTAAACTTCACTTTGAACTAAACAAAAGAATAAAGGCATCGTTCTGATCATGCTTAAAACTGTCAGCCATATAAAGGCTGCATTAGACTAGGCGCAGACCACCGATTTTTAGTTGGCCGATAGTTGTGCCCGATTTTAAATTTTATGAAAAATCGGCCAAATCAAATCGACGTAATGTGCGCACTTCCATACATGTCCATACATGGACCTATAAAAAAAGGCGGACGGAACTCGCGCTACAACAAAACTGTGACGCAAAATTTTGGCGTTTGTCTATTGTGTGAGTGAATTTAGGGATGCCATGTTAGCCAAAACATTTTACCCATTTATTTTAAGAAAAACATAGATCGGCAGATGTTACTTGGAAATGTAGACAGAATTATTCCGTGCCATTTTAAAAGGATGAAAGGTGTATGCGTTGAGGTAGGCGCGAAATTTTCAATGTTCAAATTTTCTTACATTGTTTGCAAGTCAGTGTGTCAGGGTATGTACATAATGTTGATCAAAAATAATTCACGCAGTTACAAATTACGAATCTTGTGTACATTATAATCATAATCTTATGCATCATCAATATATTATTATTATCTCTGATAGATTTTTTTTAACATACAACCTGACACTGACTTGCAATCAATGTAAGAAAATTTGAATTTCGCAGTTCCACATTTTTGGGAAGGATCAAATTTGCCTATGAAAATATATCCCATTAAAACACAATAATTATGATAAATCATTTTATTTCCATAGTATGCGTAATACATAACTAAAAAGTCCTAAAATCATTATTAATTTCCCATATTTCGGGTAATTTTCCCACGTAAATAACTGAGAACACTGGTCTTTGACGTATTATTTTTTCGAGTGAATGACGTTCGATTTCAATTAATTTCAATATTTTAATGTCGGGAAATAAGTGATTGGATTATTATTTTACCTGTGAAATGTGATTCCTTAATTTTTGTTTGTTCGAACAGAACGGTTTTTACACAATTTCATCACACAAGACATGTCGTATTCGTGTTGTTTTTTCGCTGCTTAAATATGTCAACTGTGTGAAGTTTGCTCTCGAAGTGGTGTAACAGGGTGTGAATGTGTGCGTGCCGGCCTGTACGTACAGGCAAGCTGGTGTATCCTAATGTCACAGTATTTTGTTGATGAGACTCCGTCCGACTTTTTTTATAGGTCCATGTGTCCATACTGATCAACTGCCCGACTAAACTATCGGCCGACGAAAAATCGATGGTCTGCGCCTAGGCTTAGAGTAATACATACTGATTCTTTATTTAAAGACGAAAAGTGCAGCTACCGCCATTTACAACACAGCAATACATTTAAATGAACTTTGCCACTATTGTTTCATTCCATTCAATTAGATAACATCTGCCGAGTGATTTGGAACGGTACCTTGGTTGTATTCGTCAATCGTTTTAATACTTACATAGTAAATTACATCATAGTCAACATCGAACACATTCAAAATTTTAGGAACTGCCAGAACTTTATTTCTGATCTTAATCTGGAAACATTGAAACAGTATTCATTTGCACATTTAACCTTTCTACATCGGAATAACTAAGTTTAATTATAATAAGTCGTGCAAAGGCATTAAAAGTAATAAGACACAGACAAAGTATTAATGTTACTCACGTTGTCTAAGAAAAGCATAGACAATAACGGGACATCTTAAGCCAGAAGTAAATGCTAAGATGTGGACATGCAGCATAGAACAATCGAAATACAGGCTAAGATTTTAATACCGTTCGCATATGGTTCGTAGGGTCATTTCAATATGTATCGTATGCTCATGGTATTAAGAACTTATTTGTAATTGGATTGTTGCACGTCATATCAGTCATATAGTACTTCTAAACAGGTTTAGTAGATGTATTCAAATGTAAATTAAATCGAATAAAATGAGAATAGGGTATTTGCCACCACCAATCAATTAATGTACTTTTTATAAACTGTCAAAACGAGACTCCCATAAATGTTGTATGGCAATACTAACCAGTGATGTCAGTATTTTGTCAATTCAATTAAACTATGTTTTCAATTACAATGCAACCAAAAATATTAATTTATAGCCTGACCAGGAACATAAAAACCCTGGCATAGAGGCGCTTCAATTGCATTTGATAGTGCAACACTGAGTACAGTCGTATCTGTGTTAAATTAATNGTCCGAACCCTTGGTATTTCTCTTCGACAAATACTTTAACACATTGTGAACCACTTTTCTTTCACGACTATAAAAAGATTTTAGCAATTTCATTCACAAAATCAATTGCGCACATTTAAAATAAAGTTTGTTTACACTTTGACAGCAATAGACTGACATGCAAGGTGACATGTCAATGAAGTTTTCAGTTACTGTTGCCATTAAAAGAAATTAGTACCATTAGTTTTCCGCAACATGGCGAGGGTTTTTATGTTCCTGGTCAGGCTATACAAGTACTAATTTAAAATTATTTAAGTTTTTAAGACCGGAATGAAGTTCCTTTTAAAAAAATGTGCTTTAGAATTATTTAGGAGTGGTGGCAAATAGCCAATGAGGGTTTTCGCGAATGAAAGACCCGCTAGATGGTGAGACGTGGATGTGGGGTCTGACTGCTGCATGATTGGTGGATTTTGACATATCTGTCAATGTCATGTCAAAAATAACCAATCATGCAGCATTTAGACCGCGCGTCTACGTATTGCCATCTGGCGGATTTTTCATACGCTAAAACCCTCATTACATTCATCACTTTTTCGTGGTGTCTCAATGGTTAAGAAAGAAGTATAAATCGACACACATCTACAAAACCGTATTTCCTTCAGTTACACATTTTAAACCTAGATTATCTACTTGAGATTAATGTGAAATATAATCAGTTTTCATGACTCTAAAATAAGAACTATAAATAACAATATAAAACATACTATCACCGATCTCTTAGATTAACATTGTATCTTTGGACAGAATTTTACATGAGTAAACAATACCGGTGATATATTCAAATTGGTATTGAATGTAACATGTCTAAAATTTATAGAAAAGTACAATTATTTGTCTAAAATTCTGTACAAAGACGCCTTGTATTCACTAGGTGGGAGACAAATGTTCTGGCTTTTGTACAAAGATATGTCAGTCAATACCATCCAATGTCGTCAGACATTGGGTGCGTTTGGCGGAAAATAGAAAGTGTAAGCACGGTAATACTATCTATACAGTATTCCAACTCGGCCATATTTTTGAAATAAATGTCAACAGCCCCGCGGTACGTCACGGTATAACAACATGCGATAGGGCTGCTGCTCACCTACAGTACCCATTCTAATTACATCTGTCTACTTAGAATTTCTATCTAGTTTTGTGATTGTATTTTTTTTTATTTAGACAAAAAAAATACTTTGTGAATGGAATAGGATAAAAATGCGTGTTGTTTTGTGATTAGTAGATTTAATTTTAAAAAATATACTAAAATAATTTTGAATCTATTAATCATAATGAGTACTTAATGACCTGTTACTTTAATTTCAGGCGGGCGAAATCGTTGGCAAAAGCTGGTTTTATACAATATATAATTTTTATTTCAAATCAAACTGACTGAAAATTACAAATGACTAGTTTTTGACAAATTTGACCGTAAATGACGGTTAGTCAAACTCAATCACCTTAGTCATTTTCAACACTAGGCCATCGACGTCCGTTCGGCACATTCGCGACACCGCTAAATTTTTCATTTCGACCGCGTCCCGAGATTTGAAATTCGAAGGAAAGCTCGCGTTTCGTCGGTTTATATGAAGTTACAATAGGTACTGTATGATATTATTACAGTGGTGTAAGCGCTTATAAGCAAAATGGCGACCGCTCAGCGGTCACTACAAAAAAGAATTAATAAAACTTATAAGCGCTTACAATTGATATTTCCCGCCCAATGCACATTGTAACGTCGTCTTGAAACATTTGTCTCCTAATGGATAAAGGCTTCACTGTCAATACCACACACCAATTATCGATTCTGACTTGACTAGATCAGGCCACCACTTCGACAGATAAATACACTTTCAGATTATTTACCAACTCCCAAACGCTTCTTAGCTTATCACAAGAGTTATTGCGCAAATATCTTTGAGATTTAATATAATTTTACTCTATTATGTATGTTATAAGTACTTATGAATCACTTCTATGTTCGCTACTCGACTAATACTATAAGTTGGACTTGCAAAGCGAAATTAAAGAGAGATTTAACCGTTCTATTGAACCATGAACTTACAGCTCAATGTGGTGCCAGCTAAACATATTATTACATACATCTGGTACCCACAGTACAAGTAAGCTTACCCCCAGTTTTAATTTAGATTTTTTCACTTTTTAGTTCCAGTGACAAGATAAGTATCAACGAGTTTGTATGTTTTTCAGCGAGCTAGAAAGTGATTTATAATATTATATTGAATATTCAATAAAATATAGAAAAGATATTAGTGCAATCTTATCACTGACATGTTCATAATTTATTTCTAAGGAGGGTTTAGTGGCATTATCTCAATATATTTTTAAAAATTTGTGTTTTATTTTTATATTTGTGTCCATTAATGTAAATTATTGAATTGTACTGGCTTTATGAGGCGACTACACGGGTTGTCAACAATGTTGTGTTGTGTGCACAGGTGAAAACCAGAAGAAAACAAAAGCGCTACAAAAAGATATCTTATGTCGTCGGAAATAAGGACAACACTTGAGTTAGAATCGAGTTTTACAATTGTTTCTGTTTATTGATACATTAAATAAGCGCTTTTATAAACCTGTGCCATGAACTGGTTATATACTGGTCTGCGTAAAAGCTGCGCAAGATACTCAGTCACTAAATTGTCAGACTCTTAGTTATTGTTAAGAAACTTGGCTTAAGATAAAATCACACATAATAGTATGTTCTCTGGCATGGTCTTTATGAGACAGCCTGTATACAACGCCTACTTGATATCTTCGCATTTGGTCGCGGCGCTTCGCGGATAGTTGTAGGAGTGAGAGGTGGAATTATATTTCCACGTCTCTGAGTTGACAATACTTGACAACCCCTTTTTGTGTGACGCGGAAGAAATGTTTTGCGCACCCTCACCAATGCCGTGAGACAGAGTGATTTGTGGAACTCCCGGCGCACTGAAAAGGGCGCTACTCCGCCCTGAAAAGGACCGGGTATACCCACTAAAACCTCCGCGGCGTTCCGTCATCGCCCGAGTGGAGGTGTCGCGAGTATGCGGCCGTAGCCTTACGCCCGTATTCACAAACATTACTGTCTCACAGTGCGCGTGGACGCACAGGATCACACACAAACCAATCACAGATCTCTATTCAAAGCTGTGCGACTTCGTATAGCGTTGCAGCTTCACTTAAGCAAACATCGTTTGTGAATACGAGTGTTAGACTTCCGCGACAGAGTTGACAACCCCAGTTGCCCAGTTATGTACTCATAAGCGAGATAATGCCACGACAATGAATACAAACATGTGACCACTGCATGCGTCAACCCCTGTGGTATAGCGTCCGATTGGAGTCGCCGCCGCCGGCGCCGCCCGCCGGGCCCGCCCGCCGGCTGAAGACGTGGGCCGAGCGACTGAAGTACGTGTCTCGATGATTTGTGCTGGCCCTTGGTGTATTATAATAACGATAACAACGCTATAGAAATGTCAACGAGAACAGCGGAGTTGCTCCCAAAAACGTAATCCCAATTTCAAATGTTTCCAACCCTCTCACACTAAACGAGATGCAAGCATGACAGGGACAGATATACCCGACCGAAACTACATAAACGGGGGTTTAGAGTAATCTGCATATAGGACGCGCAACGAAAATTGAGGCCAACACGTTCTCGCACTGGTGTTATTTCAATACAAAACACAAACAACACATTGGACATTCAAGATTAATTAGCTACCTCACTTTTGTTAAATGTAAAAGCGAGAAAGAAAGCACTGTCAGTCCGCCTACGTCTTGCGCAGGCGGCGTATACAGTTACAAATCTTTGCATGGCTTGATAGCCTCAACCCTCGTTGTGCGACCTATACAGTGCATTAATTGCAATAAACAAATACTAATAAATGCTGTAGACAGGCCCAAGTAAAAGATATTCAGTTTCAGAAGCAAGACATTCAGGAAAGAAATAACATTTTGAGAACATAAAATACCTATTTTTCTAAAAATAGCTTAGTAGCAATTTTTACACTGATGTTCCAATTCTGTAGGACGCTCTACAAACAAAAAAATACAAGTAAAGCCTCATAATTTGACAGTCAATCACATTATGAACTATTGATTAGACCAACTCCTGCAAATTAACTTCTGAAAATCTGATAACAAATCTTTGACATACCAATACAGTTGCAAAAAGATAAAAGGGATTTACCTTTTTTTGGAGACAATGTCCGTATTTTATCTTACAGATTAGATTAATATGCATATTTTTATAAACAGTCATGGCTGAACCTGTTTATTAAATGTCTATAGTTTATCATCTTGAACAGACGTCATATCGCAATGTATTGGTAAGATGGGAATTCCTTAACAGTTGACTTTTAGGGCTAGTTTTTTTATCCGCAAATAACTGATCTAATGGTCAAATTCGGTAACTCATGGCTTTTAATCTATAAAATATTTATTAATTTCAGTTGTTAAAATAAATAATAATAATAATTCAGTAGGCATACTATAGGATGTAGGGTGTACGTAACTGTTTTGCTTGACTTCCTATGCAATTCCTAAGCGTGTTTATCATACCGACGATATAACCTTTGCCTTTATAAATGGCCTGTAAACCTAAAAACAGCCAAAATTGCTCTACAGACAGCCAGGTCTGATTTTATTACACTTTTAACAGTAATCTACCAGTAACATTTCTTCCAAATTATTAATTGAACAATTGAATTGAAATTAAAAAACACGCGCATAGTTTTACATCAACATTATATTTATTTACTACAGTCAATACATTACAAATCTGTTCAAAGTTAGCGTAAGATTCGAGTTACTTTAGATTGATTGTATTGTAACTTATCGCCTACATTTTATCTCGCTTGCCACTGGGCGATGCCAATATTTTTATAAATATTTTACCAATTATTTACTTTTAAGAGTCCAAGGGCCAGCACAGATCCTAGTAAGTACGTGTGGCAGAGTAATATGTGTCTTGCAGTTTATGAAAGTTTGTGTGTGAAAATGCATGTCGTTTCATATTTTGTAAGAACAATCCGATTAGTGCAGCGAAATCTAAAGTAAAACAATCATTATTTGTATACGAATAATGACAAAACTTTTCAGCGAAAAAAGATGCGCTCGGCTGTCTAAATTAACAACATTTTGCATGAGAAATAAAAGTAACTGTAATTTTGTAGGATTATTGTGTTTTGTGAACGTATTTCTTTGTTGTTGTCGTTAGACGGAGTTGTGTTGTTCAGTGTATGTGGTTGTTTATTATCTGCTAGAGTTTGTGAAAATTTGAAAAGCAACTATTCTATAAATCAGCCTTTTCACGCACCTGTAGGATATTTTTTGTCTGGGATTACGTAGGATCGACATTAATTCAATCATAAATTCAATTTGTCGTCTGTCCTAATGTCATACTGAATTTACACCCTTAAAAAACTAATTGCTTAATTTTTCGATTTCCGGTATTTCGCAGGCATAAAAATCCAAAGTATTCTGTGCTTCTGAGCCAAGGTAACTTTGACGAGGACTTTATTTGTCAAACTTAATAACATAGTGCCTCCTCAGTTTATAAGCTTAGATTACAAGTAAATCTCAAAAACATCATAACCTTTAGCCTAATCCAAGATGTGAAAAAAGTCATAGCCAACTTTTTTATGATGCAGGTGTGATAAAAGGCTGCCTTATTAATAGAAAACAGACTTTCACAGACTTTAATTTGACGTGTTGTGTTTGTGTCGTGATAGTGTTACTGTTAGAAAATAAAATATTTAATGGCAAATATCTTAGAATAGACCCAAGTGAAAAGAGTTTGAGAAGAGATTTTAGTGACTAGATGAAACCTAGATTGTCTATAGCAATAGGTACCCGTCATTACCATGATCATAGTTATTTTTATTTTAGCTTTCGCGGTATCACTTTCTCAGATTCAAACCTCCATGAACATACTTTTAATTAGTATACTTATTCTGCAATGTAGGCTTAGATTTTCAACCACAAGCAAAAGAAATGTAAATAATAGAAACACAGTGCATGTTGTTTCATTATTACAATCACCATCACCTTTTAAAATATTGATCAGTTTCAAAAGCCAATTAGATTATGCACATAGTCACGAAATTTTCAATATTCTTTCAGATTTATACAGATTTTAGAAGTTATTATGTAAATATTAAAGATTTTGTAGTTAACGTTTGTATATTGATATTTTTCGCTTAATTATTCTGTATTTATTATATGTGTACAGCGTATATGATTAAATAGTATATAAAATCGCATTATATATAGTATGTATAATGTACGTACGAGTATATGTTATATTGCTTGAGTATCGTTTGCCTGTGGACAATGTATGGTGTGGTCACGAAATACTTAAATGATACATTGTCTAGAGGCAGCTATCTGTATAGCAGTGTTTTAAGAGTGTTGGGAACGTTCCAGGCCGATTCTGAAGTCCAGTACGGGGTCTGACTCGAAGTATAAGTCGCACTACAGCCTGCCCACGACTGGGCCCAACCCGTCCATTAGACAAGGGCCCAAAGATTCCTTGCTATTGTAAGTACAAAATATCTATTTTATTCATCATCATCATTTTAGCCATAGGACGTCCACTGCTGAACATAATAAAAAAAAAACAAAATTAAAATCAAAAATATTTATTCAGTTTAGACCACAAGTGGCACTTATGAACGTCAATAGAAAATAATAAAAAAAGAAAAGGTAGCCCTTATGGGGCACTTTACATGTCTCCTCTCCCTTCATAGGCCTCCCCTAATGATTTCCCCAATGGCTGGTTGGTGGCGGCCTGCATCCAACGCCTTTCTGCTACTTTTATCAGGTCATCGGTCCATCTTGTTGGTGGACGTTCTACGCTGCGCTTTCCGGTACGAGGCCTCCACTCCAAAACCTTGCTGCCCCATCTATTTTATTACTCGTACATAATAAGTATTTATTTTGGTCAGATTTTGCGGGTTTGACGCAGACCGTCATTTATTTTGTTCAAATCAAATTAAATCAAAATTATCTTTATTTATTTAGACTAATTAAATTAGTACTTACAAATCGTCAAATGCTCTTAAAGGACCTATACATGTCTCATTCTTTTTTTGCCCTACCAGCGCTTCGAGACAAACATTTGGCAAGTGCTGAGAAGAAGCTTCCATTCAAAAAATAGTCACCTACTCCTAAAAGTTAAAGTATTGTTTCAAAAATGGTATCCTTTAACTTTTATCTGACTATGACCATTTTGCGAATGGGACGGTATGCGTCGAACCCAGCTTTTGCTCAGCACCTCCTCGCATGTATTTGTAAAATAAACTAAAAGGCCTATAACATTTTTGTGTTGACAAGACATAATAAAAATGAGGGTTTTCGCGATTTAAAAATCCGCCAGATGGCAATACGTAGACGCGAGGTCCAAATGCTGCATGATTGGTTATTTTTGACATGACATTGACAAATATGTCAAAATCCAAAAAAAACCCTCATTCTTTGATGTACTCTCAAAATACTATCCTTTGGCGTCTTTTGTTTTCTTTACCTTACTCACGCCGTCCTAACAATTATCATCAGTTTAGTTTGGGCAGCTTTATCGGTATGATAAATTATTAGCCATCAGGTTTGCCTCTGATAAGATAATGATTATCATGTTGTCAATATTCCTATTTTTCTGAAAGTTAGCGGGCAGCGCGTACTATTAATTATTATAATATGAATTTATCTAACAGGATGGACTATATGCCATGGAACGGGCCCAACCCGGACTTCCGTGGAGGTCAGATGGTTAAGGCCGAGGGGCCGGAGCCTGCCTTGAGGGAGAAGGCCTCGTCTCTGGCCCGGGGCCCGTCAGGCCTCGCGAAAGGCCCCGGAGGCCTCGCTAAAGGATCTATCTACCAGAAGATGAGCAAGAAATCCGCCAAAATGTAAGTTTGCTCCTGTTAACAATGCCTAATTGGATGTCGACGTGAAATTGTAAACTGAGCCATTTTAGTATGACGCGTGAGATTTTTGTAAACAGTTGGTTAGGTTATATCTGACTACGTCAGATTGTAATCTGACGGCACGGCGACACTAGGTCAGATTATAATCTGACAATTCGTCGTCGTCGATTATTGTGAGAGAAATTAGTGTAACTTAGCTCGAATAGCTGCCGCAGTTTTCTATAGTTGTACAAATAAACTGCAAACTATACAAACACTATGGGAAACTATACGTACCTTAGCACTTGGTCTGCAACCCGCATTGATTTTAATCTTAACTTTAGTTCACTCTTAATTCTTTTAAAAGGTTTTTTCTTTTGTTTTCCAGAATCGGTTAAATCGACGTGCTCCATGGGGCCTGAGTGTGATGTGGAGTTGTTTAAGTTACCTCTTGAAATACGAAATTTAAAATAGACGAGAAAAATATTTTTTAAATGTATTATATTATTAAATGTATGTATTTATATTGTATCATTAGATTTAGGTCGTAATATTGCCGATATCTCGTTTTTGCGGCTTTACTAAAAGTAATGTTTTTTTCGTTACACTTTACATTTTTGACATTGTTTTTATTATTCACTTGTGATCCGTTTAAGTATTATGATATTTTTATTTCATGTCGTAAGTTTAGGTAGTTTATACATCTAGCTAGATGGTATTCTAGATCTCATTAGTTCTCAAGAAACAGTAAAAACTATTTTGCCACTTCTAAGACATATTTTTAGTATTCCTTTTTTCTTTTGAGAGAATCTTACAGAATTAATAGTTCAAAAACTAAATTAAACAATACTAAAAGCAATAGCGGTAATAGTTTTCCTTACTTAAAAAAAAGATATATGATTTTTTAAGTCAAAATGTTTTTATGAGATTTGAAACAAACATGTTTTGATGCCAATACTTTTTAAAACAAAGTGGAATCTTAGTTCTTTGTATGTAATGGAACCGTTGTGAAACAACGTGAGATGCTATGAAAAGTACTAGAACTGGTAACTTAATTAAAGAAGTAAGTAAGTACGTTAACAGTAAGTTTTCAAGTTTGCTTCCAAACCAGGCAGGCGATTCAGAACCTTTTCATAGAATAAATAATACATACTGTAACAGAACGATGTCACCTTACCAATATCTAATCTTGATCCTACCAACAAAGTGAAATAACGACTTGCGAGTTGTAAAAGGTAATGTTTCTAAATCGCCTATTAAATGAAAAAAGCCTAAGATAAAGTTAAATATCAACAGTATCTTCCTTTCATGTGACAAATACTTAATAGTTTTAACAGTCATTTCTACTTCATCATAATTCCACTAGCTGTAATATTTAATTTGTTATTTTGTTTGTTTTGTGTGGCAGCTCAGCAGTAGATAGTAGTGAATAAGTTTAGAGATAATGTTGTATTTTTATGGTTAAATATTTTAATGGTATTTTTTTCGATGAACAAATGTAATGCTTCAACCATACCAACCAAAGCGTGCAGGTCGCCATCGATCCGTGATCGACCATAGGCGAATGACAGGTCGCGTGGACTGTCATGGGTCGCGCGACCTGTCATTGGTCTATGATCGCGCCGGCGATGGCGATCTGCACGCGTCGGTGTGGTTGAAGCTTAAGTCTATCAACATAGAATGTGATTTAGGGAAAATATTTTAGGTATAAATAGTCAGATTTCTAGATTAAAAGCCTAACTAGTCAGATTGTATAACGAATAAGGCTGGGTTGCGCCATCTTACTTTAACTTTAACAAACCGCAAAAGTCAATCAAACTCCATACAAAAGGTGTGCAAAGTAAGGTTGTGCTTATGCAACTCAGCCCAAGTTATTCATATCATTATACCGACACAATTTCAGTCCATGAACGCTTTTACGCTTTTTAACAAGCATTTGAACGTCGCATGTATTATACACAGCTCTAGTTATTAACTAAATGAAATATTATGTACTTATAGATATCAGCTGCCGAGACTTATCAATCATATTCGGCTAGTATTCAATAACGTTCGTTGACTAGTCATATAATATTACTATAGTATTTTGAAACTTGTTGCCTGACATCCTTTGTTAGTGGTGTTATAACATTAATAGTGCAATTTTGAATCTGCTATATTTTTCTACATAAATTAGCTCAATCAAATATCTGCTACAGAATCTAGGTAGGTAAGTTAGTGAATTTTTACAGCCGTATAAAGTCTTTCGCTGCCTTGAACGACCCGCTGTATTTTTATCGTGTGTAGTGTGTATGTGTGAGTTCAGTGAAGAGAAGAATATTATCGTAGATTAATTTTGAACTTTATGTCATTTATGTAAAGTTTCAAAAGTGGTTGCAACTATTCTGCCACCACTAGATTAAAAGTCAAGGCAGCGCGAGGTTACAATAGTAAATATGTTAATTCTTCATATTGCCTCCATAGAAGTAGTTTGTACAGTTATGCCCGTAAATCAACTGAAGATATTTATACTTGTTCCATAGTAGTACTAAGGCTGATTTTTATAAATTACGACAGTTCAGTAATGCACGTATAAGATGAACATTTTAATCCGTATAGAGAAGCACAATTATAATTCACTTGCAATCTTGATAAAGTTGAAAATATGTAGTAATATTTTAGTTACCGCCAATTAAAGTGTTAATAGTCACTAATAGTCGCGTTATACATAATAGGAGCTAAAATTGCTCCTACTTTTTGGGAGAAAATAATATTTGAGACCACTATTTACAATTTATTCTCAATATGACCATAGTATACTAATGACCTTCTCTTTAAAATCTTTAACTATTTTTTTATTAAAAGACAACATGACTTCACCGTGACCTAGCCTTGTTTTTATTCATTCAACTATAGTAAAATTTTGAATTAGACTTATTTTGATATGAAGATTTACTGGTGTATTTCTTTTAGTGCATCTGATGAGTGATAGAATGTTTTAAGTGTATGGTAAATCAAACCAATAAGTGAGCTCAAAGTGAAGTTTCAACACCTTGTAAAGCTAAGCGTCCACATGTCGGTATCACACGCATCGGACGTATCGCACGCAACGGATCGTAGTATTATTTATATAGAAACTCATATAAGTGCGTCCACCTGTCCGCATCGTACGCATCGCACATCCGATACGATGTGTTTCGTACGATGCGTCCGGTGCGTACGATACCGACAAGTGGACGCTTAGCTTAAAAAGGCACATCGAGATTTTTGTAAAATCAAAACAAAAAACTGTTAAATTCTAACTAAAACTCAACAACAACAACAAAATTTAGATGTGTTTTGTCTCGACGACAATAATGAAATTGTCGCACCTTGTTAAAGTTACGAATTAATAAAGCCAAATTCAGTATCCCATAGTAATATCAAGCAATAATAACACATAGAGTTGTGTCGGTTCTTCCGGTTCTTCCTATCACGATTAAAAAAATATTAATTAGTAAGGCACCACAATATTGATGGCCCTCCAGTAGTACAATCTTTGCCATCGAATAGTATGTGTGAATGTCGATAAATTATTTTTGTACATAAGCATAATTTAGAGCTAATTTATTAATTAGTAATTTTGTCATTCAGTATTAGTTATTAGCCTGAGAGCCCTCGAGGGACATAGGTAGGTACGTTATGGCTCTTTTCAAGTGTGCAATACTATTTTTTATTGTTATAGTATTAATTTATTCAATTCAACATGAAGGTGCAGTCTACAGCATCCGCTTATGTAAATTATTACCGATTTTAAACTGATTTATTAGAAAATGTTCGCATCTTATTGCTTTCGACTGTATCGTTTGTTTTATTTTTGCATATTGTTTTACTTTTTGATAAGTAGGTATTGTATTTGAGCACTGTCGCCATTAAACGATTGTTTATATAATATAAACTATATTTTTTACATAAAAAATGGCTTTTAAAATCAAGGAATGATCAGTAGACTTAATGAAAAATGCGTAAGAAATGGAATCATACGTAATACAATGTGGACGATATCCTGAGAGTAAAAAGTATCACTTTGTACGATTAGTAGCAGTTATTGCTTAAAATAAACTTAATTAAAATGGTGGAAATTATCTTAATAGTAAGGAATTTAATGTCAATACGTCCAAAGAGTGGTAATGGAAAGATAATGTGATAATGTTCAATGTAAATCATTTAGACATGGGAACGATATTTTGAGAAGCGCTTCACGCTAAGAAATGTTAGCCGGAAAACCGTCCGTGCTATTCTGAGCAACCTTGCCAACCGCAAGCTAATATAGAAATGTTTCTAAACGATTCCTTATTTTCCACAAAATTATAAGGTTTCTCATGTACTAAGATGAGTCGCGCACACAGATATTGTGGTCGCGCACGTATGAGATGAGGTTTCAATGCATATTTTGTTGAAATAACCTCCGAGCCAGTGCCGGCTGCGGCTGTTTTCGCGCCAATTTTACATTGTTGAGTAATTTTTCTAACTAACAAGGCTTCTTTGGGCAGATTGTATAGGTAGAAATAAAATAAACCTACGCAATTATTACATACCATATGTTTACGAAACTGTCAAGTAGCCAAATGTTAAAATGTACCTATATCTACATTTTATTAATATTTCCCATTACTTATTTCTTAAGGCGACACATATCTGTTAACCTGGCAAACTGGCAAATGCCCAAATGAACTTAGTCAATTAGGGTAAGTTTTAGTCAAGTAGAAATTCCACATTCCATATTTTTGTGAACATTGTAATTTCTTTCTCGAAATAAATATTGTTGGTTCTGTCCAATCACTTGTATCATTTTATGAAGAAACCCTTTAGGTCAAAAAACATCGTTCGTTTAGTGTCAATGATGTTATGTAGTACGCCGACCTTGGGCCAAACATAGTGATACCGACTACTTAATTTTTAACACCTGTAATATGTTATTTACCTATGTTCCACGAATAAACGAATTTTGATTTGATTTGTCATAGAATTTATCTAAAGTTTGGCGTCACGCTTGAGAGAAGCGATGGAGTAGGTAAATAAAGCATGCACCTTGCGTATGTGCATGTGGATTGAGTGATCCTTGCTTCAATCTTAACAAAAATCGAGGAAGTTTTACTTAAAATATGTTAAANTTTTGTTAGTTCTTTACAGAACTATACCCAAAGACATCGAAAATTTTGCCTCCGAAGAAATACCCATTAGGTATCCAACGGGTTTTGTAGAGGCAAAGTTCTTGCAGGGTTACGTACCGTTTATTTAAAAAAGTCAATTGATTTTGACATGTTTCCTTGAATAATTCGCGTCCTGCAAAGCCAGGCAGCCAGTAGAATTACTTCCATCGCCTGATCGCTTCAGATTTTAACTTGCTAGCCACAAACCTCAATTCCAGCCTCTAGTAGCTACGCTGTTCTTATAGAAATACCTGCTTCTGATTCACCTTTACACCAATTATAGCTTTCACATCTGAAGAATATGTAAATACCATGTCGATTTTTAGCAAAGAAATCCCCTGACTCAAAATCACATGCAAAGATTAAAACTTAAACTTGTCTATTAAACAGTCAGTTTTCTGTATGTGAAGGTCGATTCAATCAATTACAATCTCACCTAAACCATATGTAAATGAAACAAAAAATGCAGTACATACCAAGCCTAGAAGGTCGAAGCTTGATGTTCACTTACTGAGGAATTTTACCGGTTTTTCTTACAGATGCGAATCCCTTACCCTGAATGGTACGAGGTACTGCGAGTGGGGCTACAATGGACTGGGTATAGACTACCAGGTCTTGGCCGGACCTGCCTTCATGGCTGTCTTCACTGTGGTGGGTGTCATCCTTGGAGTCGTCGCTGATAAGTAAGTAACTCTTTTTGTTTGTTCTGATATATCTTAGATTCAAAGCTGTACCGCAATTTAGCATTCTGCATGACCAAAAGGTAGACTTAAGCAGAATGCTTTTAGCTTTATTTCCACCCTTTGTAAAACTTATTTGTGTCTACAGCTTACTCATCTAGTCTCAAGAACGTGTCAAGTTTTTTAACATACACATTTGGCCCAAATCTGCTGGCATAGAGTTGTTATTCTACTTAGCCTACTGGTAAATCTACCGCTGTCTTTTGCCTCAGACACCAAATTAATATGAGCACGGGCAGAGGCTTGTTTTAAAGCTTTGAAGAATGAGCTTACACTTTGTTAACTGTGTTTCTTGATAGACTGATCAAGTCATGTTCCTTTAGCAAATGGGAATATCTTCAGAACTTAAGGTATTCCGTTTTCCGTAAAAAAACATCAGAGTGAAGCTAATTGTGATTTCTTTCTCAACAGATACAACAGAGCCCGCGTCCTCTCTTTTTGCACGGTCGTCTTCGTCATAGCGATCCTCCTCATGGGCACCGTCAAGGAGTACTGGCACCTGGTCATCCTCCGAATGATCATGGCAGCAGGAGAGTCCGGCTGCAATCCTCTGGCCACGGGGATCCTCACAGATCTCTTCCCTGAGCACCAGAGGGCGTTGGTGCTCTCGATCTTCAACTGGGGCATCTATGGAGGGTATGGTATTGCTTTCCCTGTGGGACGGTATATACCCGATCTCAACGCTTGGGGACTGGTGAGTCAAGATTAATTTAAACTTAATGTTATTCAAGTTTGGAAGGCCGAATGCCAGACATCAGATTTGTTGATAGATATTATGTCAATTGTCCATTCCTGATTCGTATCTCTTCTTATGACAGAGTTGGAGAGTGTGCTACTACGGAGCGGGCATCGTCGGTATAGTCATCGCTGTGCTGACCTTCCTCACGCTTAGGGAACCTGAGAGAACCACCATTGGAGAAGAAGGTAAATTACATAATACGAACAAGGTGTTTCTTTATTGGTCAATCATTCGATGCAAGAAGTTGACATTGTGCCGTCAGTGAACAGGGATTTTCTTGGCAAGCTTGCTCCATCATAGGTCGCATCTGCATGGTGTTGACTTTAAAGATTTCCACACACTTCATGTTGACTTATTTTATATCTTTGCTCTCCAGAAGTTTAAGAATTAGAATCTCTCGTCTCAAAAGTTCTGGATTTGATTCTGTTTTTTTTTTTTTTTTTTTTTTTTTGCTAGACAAGGCAGGTATTTGACCGCAATCGCACCTGGTGTTAAGTGAGATGCAGTCTAGGATGGTACGTTATTCATTTTTCTCCTGTGAGGTTAAAATTGAAATAAAAGACAAGCACAACATAGGTTTTATGCCATTCTAAACTGAATAACAATGATGACGTCACCCCCAGGCGCTGGCAACACCAAAGGCGGAGACTCCACCCTGGAGTCAGGCAAGAAGATGCCGCAAGTCACCATCTGGCACGTCATTGCGCAACCCAGGATCTTGCTGCTGTGTATTGCTGCTTCCATCAGGCATTGCGGTGAGTACCACTTCAAAATGGTCCTTGTGTGTTAGTTGTATAACAAGGATCATGTGTGTGTCATGTGTAAGTCAATACGTCCATTTGCCTCTGGTAAATTAGAAAAGGAAAGTGGTGCTCAGTGGAGACTAAAGAAAAATCCTGATGATGATAAATGAAGACAACCACACATAAAGCTAAACACAGTGGCTTAAACAGCTGTAATAGATGCCATTTGTGAAATAAAAATGTTCAGTCTGACGTCTGTAGATTGCAAACTGTGCCACATAATCAACAAATCAAAAGCTCTACACACACTCAAAACTATAAAGAGCTTTTGATTTAAATGCGTAAATCCAAAGACGTCTCTAAATAACTTCGTACTTAATTACTTATTAATATTATCATTTAGGTAGATATGTATGTTACATAATACTTGTGACGGCAATGAGAAAATGCAGCTGCTGCAGCAGCTACACCTTTTATCTACCCTATCGTCAACTAAGTAGATTAAGAAACGCAGTTTATACAAAATGAAAGTGTTGGTATCATTGTCCGAATTCATATTATTCATTTATACTTATGGCTCTTTCAAGGAAACAAGATTTCATACACACCTGGTATACAATGGCTACCGTTTGCCAAACAATTTGTAGATCAAAGATTTTAGAATAGATAAACTTAAAAGGTTATTGCACCGTTCTCGTGCTGCGATTTAACAAGAGTTCCATTCTGACTAACAACTTCGATATAATCTAATAGTTCTGTCTTTTTCCCTCACCTTGAGTTACGGGCTTGTGCGAAAGAGATGATAGAGTCTAAAGTCGAATCATCGTAAATTGTTGTAAGAAGTAGACACCTAGAAATTGCATTAAAATATTTGCATCAACGGATCACGATTTCCTCTTAGTTTCCTAGTGCAAAATGCTTTTGTGTATTATAGTATTACGTGATTTATTACCGTTTTATATTAGATTTTTATGTAAATTTATTGATAAGAACCCTTGTGTTGTCATGGTCCTCAAGGCCCTAGTAAAGATTCTCAACATTCCTAACAATAATAACTTTTTGGAAGACCTATTGTAGAAATTTTTATAACAGCTCCTTAGCTTTTGATTTCGTTATAGAAATGTAGAGATGCCTTTTTCTCTTGATTGTTATAGTTAAAACTTTTGGATAAAACCACTTCTCGTTCCCCCCTCTGCAATTCCAGTGAAGCCAGGATGCACAGATTTTGCACCAATTAAACTTAAACCTGAAGGCTAAGTTAGGCCGTAGGTAAACATTGTTATTGGAACTTCAACGAAATGAACAAGAATAAGCTTAATATCCACTTAAATTGTAAACTATATGAAAGAACTAGCAGCCGCCCGCGACTTCGTACGCGTGGATACCGTTTTACCTCCTTAGGGGTGGAGTTTCGTAAAATCCTTTCTTAGCGGATACCTACGTCATAACATCTACCTGCATGCCCAATTTCAGCCCGATCCGTCCGTTGTCAAATTAAGGAATATTAAAATATTACTTTGCGATAGTCCCCAATTTCATAAAACACAGCGACTTTAAAGGAACAAAATTTTCCATCAATAATAAGGTGTTTAACAAAAAAAAATCGTAGGAAAGTCCCTATTGTTAAATGCACACCATTAATTTTTTGCAAGGTTTAATAATATCCAATCAAACCATGACTTGTAGTCTGTATTATGGTGACACGTTTTTGTGTCCAGTAAAAAATGAATCGTTCAAAAATCCGCCAATGACTAATATTAGCAAACATTGATTTACAGTCTATAAATAAACAGCTGGATGCAATATAGCATTGTAAAAATATAACTCAGAACTGATACTTTATTATTTCGTGCCCGACTGTTTTAAGAAATAAGTTAGGTAGGCTAACACCCTCGAAAAAAAATAACTCTGCTAACACGCCCGTATTTACAAACGATGTTTGCTTAAGTGAAGCAGCAAATCGAACGCACAGCGTTGAATAGAGCTCTGTGATTGGTGCGTGTGTCACCCTGTGCGTCCACGCACAATGTGAGACCTCATAATAATGTTTGTGAATACGGGCGTTAGTCATCGTAATAAATAGTGATATCATACAGATATCCGGCATAATTATTTCAATCAAACTTTTATTGCCATAGCCTTACGTAGGATGTAGGAAAACACTTTGGAAATTAGGTAAGCATTGTGTTACCTCTATTAGGTTACTTTTAGGAATGACTTTTGACTTTCTGGTCTAAAAATATATAGGTAACTACCTACATTGTAGAATCATGAACTCCCGTCAAGAAATTACATTCTACCTAAACTTACAGAATATCATAAGTGGTACGTAAGTAGGCTAAGTATATTAGAAATAAGACAATGTACTGTAGAGCCAAGAGCATGAATAAACCCTAGACTGCTATAGAGCAACAATTTTTCTTTTGGTTTTTGAGTTGTTTCATAATTTGCCTATTTTCATAAAGCACACACCCTGTATAAAGCAGCCCACCACCCAGCTGCAAACGTAACTTTGTAGACCAGTCACGCCGGCGCAAGGTCGCCTGCGAGCCGGAAGCACGAGCTAACTATGTCATAGCAAAGCTTTTGACGGATATTTGAAAGGCGACTTAAAAATGCTAAGACAGATTTTTGAGAAATTACCTCAGAAAATACCTGTCTAAGATTGACAAAAATTAAATAGTAATAGCGTGCTGCATCGTTAGAAAATGGTATAAAACTAAACGTGAAGGCATAATGAATAACAAAAGGAACAGACGAACTCATGAAAGTAGCAGGAAGACGCTGTTCCAATCTGGAAACCATTGGGACTATTAGGAGCCAAGGCCTATGTTCAGCAGTGGACGTCCTGTAGCTAAAATGATTATGATGATAGTTTCAGTAGATTAGTAGAGCCAAGAAAGACCAAGGATATAAGAGTTTATATCCTTGGTCCTTCTTCTAAACACCAAATTCTGACGCTTTTCTCACAAGTTCACAACTAAGTTCAACATGTATTATATACTTACTTACTTTCCCAAACCCACCTAAATAATCTTCATTTTATGATCTTTCATCTATTGCAGAAATCCATTTCCTATCCACCCCTAGGTATTATGGTATTTACATAAAGTATAATGTAAGTTCCTACAGTGTAGTAATTACGAGTATTTAATTGACATTGTCAACTAACTGCGGTGATTCTAATTTATAATCAATGGTGGCAATCAAACGGAAGCAAAAAGCTATAATGGATTCGATATTGGCAGCGGTCTGTTTTGTAATTAAAATAAGTCTGAATTGATTAAATATACTTATGTATTAAGTCTTTGTGTACAAAACCATGGCACGAGCTAAGTAACTATTGGCCTCCGTAGTCGAGTGGCATAGACACCTGTATTTATGGAATTGCTATAAGCTCTAAGTTGCCAGATTTTATGCCTGTCCAGCCCCCTTAGACAAAACGCACTTTTTGATCGAATCGAAAATCGAATCCGTCAAAACTCCATACAAAAAAGGGGCTTTGCGACCACTTTTCGACTGGTTTGCGATTATAATTTGCACTTTGTCTAGACCCACAGATGAGTTAATTGTTTCGATTTTGGATGTCGTTTGATTCTGCAACGCGTGAAGATCGCCATCGCCGACGCGATCATAGGCCAATGTCAGGTCACATGATCTGTCAATGGTCGTTTTATCTGCTTTGAAATGAGCAAGCAATGTATAGATGACCCACGCTGAACTGTCCCACCAAACTCAATGACAGGGGGGCGCCACAATCGTTCAACTATAATGGTTTCCAACATGGCAAAAATCTGAACCAGCGATCCGGTATTGACGGTGGCGCCCCACTGTCAATGTCATCGACAGGACAGTCCAGTATTTTGGAACTATAGTGTTGTTGTGGTAGAGGTACGGTACGTTTATCGTAGATATCTTTTGTAATTTTAAGTATTTCGTGATAAACAATTTATTTCCTTCTTTCACACTCATTTTTATTCTCTTCTCCAGGCGGTATGTGCTTTGCATACAACGCGGACCTGTACTACCGGGATTACTTCCCCGACGTGGACCTGGGCTGGTGGCTGTTCGCCGTCACCGTCGGCATCGGCTCCGTTGGCGTGGTGGTGGGAGGAGTCATCTCCGACAAGTGAGTTTAACAGCTTCACGCCTTGTTAGAAGCTAGGCTCTTGTATTTTGCTACTTAAGTAAGTACGTACATTCCTATGTGCGAGTAAGTAGGTACCTATTTACCTACAATGAGGGCTATCGTTTTAGCGCTCACCAGTTGGCGCCACTGTAGAGTAAGGTCCTGTTACTTGCTAGTAGCGAAGACAGTGGCGCCAACTGGTGAGCGCTAAAGTGGTAGGAGGACTATCGCATTTCCACTCATCAAGATGGCGCCTCTGTAGAGTAAGGTCCTGTCAATCGCCAGGGGTGCCAACTGTTAAGTATAAAAACGATAGCCCCCATTGCATCACGTAAACGCGAGTCGAGGCCGCACCTGAAAAACGTGATGTGCATGAGCTGTAAGACTGTTACTGACACCTACAGCAATGTAGATCCAAGAATGGGGTCGTTGTAGGTTTGGAACCATACCTAACTTCACAGATGATTATTAAATCTAGCACATTTACTTAATTAATTGAAATGATAAGAAGCTTTATGTAGCAATAACCTTTGGGATGCAGAATTCTACTGCTAAGATCACACAGTTGAACAACCTGATTTTTTTCATTCCAGATTCGTCGCCAAAATGGGCATCAGATCTCGAGTGCTGGTGCTGGCCGTCTCGCAGCTGATCGCTACTCTTCCCGCCTTCGGCTCCGTGGTCTTCGGGCCCCTGTGGGCCATGATCACCCTGGCCATCTCTTACTTCTTCGGTAAGGATACTTGGAGTACCCATGTACTGTACTCCCGGGAGAGCTGCAGAGTGCAGACTAACTCGTACATTACCTTTCACACTATCTGATTCTAAACCTTAACTGAAATAATGGCACAACAATGGTTTACCTTACGTTTTGATCCCGTGTCACAACATGACTCGGAAAACTTTCACATTTCTACATTCGTTGTGGGTCCAATGAATGTCATTCTGCCAGATAGCTATGGTGACGTAGTAGATCCAGTTAGGTACAGGACTGTGTCGTAAATTGTAAATGATTCAAATTTTATTAATGTTAAAAATTTTACTGTTAGCCTGTATCTCTCTCTCTCTCTCTCTACTCGTTCTAATATCCACTGTCTGAAATACATGATTTGATAAGACCCAGGGGCTCGATTTTTTCCTGGATAAAATTAAAGTTTTAGTCTTCATGAACAGATAGTAGACCTAAACCTGTCTGTAATCTTATGCTTATCTTTAAATTTCTTTTCCAGCGGAGATGTGGTTCGGCATAGTGTTCGCTATACTGGTGGAGATCGTGCCTCTATCAGTGCGGTCCACCACCGTCGGAGTCTTCCTGTTCGTGATGAACAATGTCGGAGGCAACCTGCCGATCCTGGTGGACCCTGTGGCTAAGGCTATTGGATACAGGGAGGCCATCATGATCTTCTACGCCGGGTTTTATGGGATCAGTAAGTGTGCTTTTAAAAAAGTATTACAAAATGGTCGAATTCACTGCGCAACTGGCAGCCGTGACGTCACATCGACACCCTGGTACGGACGAGGCGAACGCGGCGAGGTGCTCAGTTAGCTCGATTTCTAAAAATAATTATGTCAAAACTATTAGTCTAGCCTCTACTTTTTAGGCTGGGTTGCACCTTACTTTAACGAACGTCAAAAATCTGTCAGACTCCATACAAAAAGCACCTGTTATCGCCATAGTTACTGTCAAAGTAAGGTGGTGCAACTCAGCCTAAGCGTAGGTGCTTGTAATCGCAGTAGCCAGAACAAAGAAGAGGCTTTTAATAATAGTCTGGAAGTCCCTTCCACTATAGGGTGGTGACCGTCTAATCGGACTGACAATTTTACATACGCTCCGACGGACGTCTTGAAATCATTATTAGATTCATCACCATTCAACATTGCAATTAGGTAACCTAACAAAGGAAAGTTATTTATAAACTGGGATTCAAGCACAAATAAAATAAACTGAATCCTCCTATTTCTTTAGGACATACTTTTCATCCTTTGTCAAATCTCTTTACTAAAACTTATTTCCCCTACAGGCAGTATCCTGTTCTTCCTGACCATGTTCCTCATGGATGGACCTGTAGAAACCAGCGAAGCCACCAGCGCTCCAAAGACCACAGGTCTCGACAACCGAGCGTTCACCCACGATGAGACCAAAAGCGGGAGGAGTCTACCTTCACTCCCAGATGACAGTCGGTTGTAGGTCGTCAATTGACTAGGAACTTTATAAAAACAGTGACGTATTGGGTTCCAATTTTGAATTACTCGTATGTAGGTAGGAAGTTGACACGATTAGTCAATTGACGTACTTTTTATGAGCGACTAAGTTTAATTCAGTTTCAAAAAATCATTTTTTCTTTAAGAATGAGAAATTATGACGTCAATTTCAGAGTGCGAAAGAATTGACTAATTTTATCGATTCCCAAGTTACTAAATCATATAATTTAAAAGTCAGGGCTATAATGAAGTGTTTTAGAGAAGTTGTGCATGGGAATTGTTGATAAACAATTATAATTCGATTACTTAGAGCCGTATTATTATATAGCGCGCGTGCGGTTTACTTCTGTCACTGTGACAGTATGTATCTCTTTTTCTCTTCATAAAAGGGTAAAAGCAACAGATATACTATCACGGATAGTAAGTAGGTACTGCCACTGTGTGCCACAGGCCCACGGCGACCAAAAATTCAACCGTGTGCGATGCGATGGAGCGGGCTATGCTCGGAGTTTCCCTGCGTGATCGAATCAGAAATGAGGAGATCCGCAGGAGAACCAAAGTAACCGACATATCTCGCAGAATTGCTAAAATCAAGTGGCAGTGGGCATAGCTCGTAGAGACGATGGCCGTTGGGGCACGCGCTTTTACTTTGTATGATTCCTATTGGCAATTGGAATTTTTTACGGTTCAAATGTCAGTTAGTGGTATTTTGCAATAAAAATGTGTATTCTGTGTTCTGTCGACTGGGATGTGGTACAAAAAGCCAAGCCAAGAAGCACTCTATTTGGCCAAGAATGACTAAGGCTCTATGTAAATTCTTGGCACAAACTTAAGTTTAATTAATGTTTTTATTTTATTTTAATTGAAGTACAAACTGTTCAAATACTGCATTAACAGGTTAATTTAGTTTGTTAACCCTGTCAATGAGTACTCTTTCAAAAAAATATGACTATGTATCATATTTGATTCATTTGACACGAAGGGATCTACCCTATTAAATACACAAGTGTCCATAAAATAGCAGAAAGAAAAATTATAACCCCCTTACTAATAAAAAGTTACACAGTTGTTGAACACTATTTTAAAATGACTTTTCCATACTAAACGTCACTTTAAAACACTGTTCAACGAGCGTGTAAGTTTTATTAGTAAGGGGATAAGTAAGTAACTTGGTATTCAATTAACTGTATGTTACTGAGAGTGATCAGTCTTTAAAATTTGTTAATTGTGTCATTGGGTTACATCAACCTTCTATAATACATAAAATCTCAAGATCAATTAACTTTTCTTTACAAACTACGATACTTAATTGGCTATTTAGTATAGGGAAGTGAACACTGTATTTGCATAATCTCAATAAAATGCGTTAATGCTTTATATAAATTTGAATCTCATGTAAAATAGCATACTAAGAGAATGAGCACTTAGTATTAACATTTTTATGATGTTACTAATTAGATATTCAAATAAATAAGTACTTAATATGCAATAAGTTTTCATACATAAAAATCCATGGCTATCAGGAATTTCGTAGTAAAGTTTGATCAGAAAATACCAAAATATGTTACTTACTACTATGTAGTTAATGATAAAGTTAAGTCTAGAAAATACAGATTTTCTAATTACTCTTAATAATAAAAAACATAATGAAAGAAGCAGTTTTTGATGTGATACGAATTTTGTACATATTTATTTTTTGTTAAGCATCTAGTTATTGTAAATAAAATAAAATGTTCAATGTTTATCTTGACTTTGTTTATTCAAAAAACTCATAAACTTAATTAACATACTTTAAAATTAAACATACTTTGTAACAGTGGGGGGGGGGGGGTATGTGTACCTACAGAGATAAATATAAACAAACGATTATAATTTAAAATAAAGTATATTGTATCAACAAAGAAAAGTAACTAATAAGTAGTTGCAAACTATTAATTTAATAACAATGATAAACCGGCTAGTTAAGATAAGAGGGCTAAGTATTGGGGAACGAAGTATAGCAACGTATATTATAGAACGCCGTGCGGTTCGCTAACGAAGCCAACACGGGAACGACAATATACGCGCGGGGTAGCCTATGCTCGGGGAGAATCAGGCGCATTCAAAGACCGACCTAAGTCGATGCAGAGATGTGCGCCCAGAACGCTCCGAACGCAGACTGGCCTCTGTACGGCGTCGACGCCTTTTATATGCTCCGTCCGTAGCGGGGCCGCCGCGTGCGGGGCAGGGTGTCGCTGCGTCATCGAGCGCGGGCGGCGCTGCGTCATCGAGCGCGGGCGGCGCGTCGTCGTGTTACAACTTTTTATTCTACAGCAGTCAAAATCTTACTTTTGCCTTGAGATTTGTATTTGAATAATTTTTCTTTCCTTCGTGATTTCCAACATTTTGTTTCTTCTTTGGATAAAACATATTCCCCACTTACAACAGTAGCATTCAGTTTTTCTGAAAAAAAAAAATAATATAAGTAAGCATAAAAGTATGGCATGTAAAAGATTTTACAAGTACCCAATGTTTTGGTATAAACTAATAGTATGTGAAGACTTATTGTCCATACAGCTTCTATCAGGGGGCATTATTAGAAAATAATATTGTTAAATTATTAATTCAATTATTTTTGTAGTCTGATTAATAAAATATTTGAATTTGAATATGACATGTATCAAATATGATACATGTTTTTTAAAAATCAATGTTGAACTAGATTTTTTTTAAACTGTGGATCTATGTTTTGCCTATGGATGGAAGGAATATTAAAATTATAGTATTTATTCACCATTCTCATCCATATTATTGTCTTCAGTATCCTTCTTCTTTTTTCTAAGCTTCTTGGCCTCAGCGTTGTGTGACTCTGTGTATGTGTCCTTAGCGTCTTCATGGGATAGGTACTCCGAAGAGTCCCTAAATAATTTTACACCACCCTTGATTTTCCTTTTCCTGTAAAAATGCAAAAGAAATATGAACTCAAAATGTCACTAAGCCATAACTTCGAATTATTGACAAAAATACAGGTTATGTACTTCACTATCAACAGGACAACGGCTCTCTTTAATTTGCTAAGCAGCAACAATGGAGTAATGGCCTACGCTCCTTATGGGTATGTTAATACTTACTTAAAATTATTTTCAACATCCACAAACTTTATCTTCTTATCAATTATCGCTGATATTTTGGCGCCAATCTGCTTCTGCATCTCTGCTGGTACCTTCACATCGTTGTAGTGACTTGCTACCTCCAGATATCGTTCAGATTTTAATTCTGGTACCTCTGAAATTGTATGTTATAAAAACTCGTTAAACCTTGATAAAACTCAAACTCTGTGCTATACGAGCCTATAGGATTCTGTGTAAGATAAAATAATATGTTAATTACGTTGTTAACAACTAAATAAATAGGTCTATTAAACAAACAAAACCTAAGATTCTAGCCATACCTTTTGCTTTGCTTTGTTCTGGCTTTTTACCCCGTGATTGATCAATCAGTGTAGTGAAAGATGTATCCACAGCTTCTCTGAAGCGAGATAAGTCCTCGTTATCAGATGAATCCGACATAATTAGGCAAAAATTTTTGTTTTTTTTATTAAAAGTGCAAATAATCACGCTACCATGCTGCAGTAAATTTTGACGTTGATTTATTATTATTAGTTTACGAAGCTAGTATACAAAAATTTACATGTTTTTCTTTCTTAATTGAAATTAATTTCCACATTTTTTAAATCTTGAAAAGCTTGTGAAATCAATTAATTCTCATACAGTTATCTATTATAACGTATAGATGGAGCGCAAAAAATAGTAATTTGTAAATAATTTGAGAAAACAAGTCTACAACCAAAACATAACACTAGAGGTCTATTCGGATTCCGAATTTCGGAAACGCTCAGCTAATTTCAAAATCAGCTGATTGTCAAAAGTATGTTCCATTTTTGCTGATAATGTTAGTTTTGAGAAAATCGATCTAAATCCATTAAAATTCTTTTTTTTCTTAACATTATTTGAACATTTTCACAAACGTGTCAGTATTTTGACACATTAGTTTCCACAAGAAAAGAACATCCTTGTCTTTGAGGTTATCAATATCAAAATTGTAAAACATCGAACTTTAAAAATAATTATTTAATTTTCACACAAAACTGCAAAAATAACATTCGAATATGACAGAATATAAAAAGCCACCCCTCGACCCTGATTTGGGAAAGTTTATGGAGAAGAGTGACTACGATTCCCTGGCCAAATATCTTGTTGGAAACAACAGTAGGTTTCGCGAAAACATTATAATTCCAAGAGTTCTGGGCCCTGTTATTATCAAGACTAATGAAGAGAAGATGATTGAGGCTGCAGTCGAAAGCTGTCCTTTCAAATCTTTCACTAGTTGTGTTATTGGTAAGGTTATAAATCCTCAAAATTTTACGACCATTTTTTTACATAGCCCCCTCGTATTTACGTAAAAATATTTTTTTCTTCAGGATATGGTCTCGGAGCAGCTGTCGGTTTGTTCACGTCGTCCCTAATGCCAAACGTAACAGATACCACAGCTCAACAAACTCAGACGGCGCGAGAAATATTGAGAGAAATGAAAACCTCCATGCTTAGTTATGCTAAAAACTTCGCGATGCTCGGCGCAGTGTTCTCTGGTATTGAGTGCTGCATAGAAACGGCTAGAGGCAAGTCGGACTGGAAGAATGGGACTTACGCAGGAGGAGTGACAGGGGGATTGATAGGATTAAGGGGTATGGCTACTTTTAAAATTGTATTATTTCAATCATCCCAAGCATTCGGTTGATTGGTTTCATTTACCAATAGGCTTAGATTAATAAAGCCAATAGGTAATCTTTCTGCTTCATCATCATCATCATCATCATTTCAGCCATAGGACGTCCACTGCTGAACATAGGCCTCCCCTAATGCTTTCCACATTGATCGATTGGTAGCCGCCTTTCTTTCTGCTTACTTACATGAAACGCTAAGCCATGTATCAGGATGATTTCAATACAAGTCTTCAGTCATTCAGTCTTCTAACTCATGATGTTTTCAATAACATATTTTTTTCTACTTTTTTTAAATTTTGAAATATTTAAAAAATCTATATTTTTTAATTTTCATACAAAATAAATTTTATAAAATCCGATTTGTATGAAAAATAAAATAATTAAAATGAAGATATCAATTTTCTGACTTCACCATACCATTTATATGACCATGTTAACATGGGCTAGTGTCGGCTCATATACCCATTTACCTAACACCCTGTATAATATGCTAGTGGCCACCAAAAGATGGCGCTAATTGTACACTCCGTCGCGATAGCGGGCTTTGCGTAATCACGACAATGTTTGAGTGTTAATTTACTACTCAGAGATTATCAAAGTTAGTAGGAAAAAATGCTGTGTTTATTATTAATAAGTATTTACAAATTATTGATGAGATGTTTGTTTTACAGGTGGTCTGAGGGCTGGTGTATTCGGCGCAGCTGGGTTTGCAGCATTCTCCACAGCCATCGACTACTACATGCATCAAAGGGGTTAATTAATAATATTGTAGTGTTAATAAAATAAATAATTTAGTTCAATCGTTTATCATTAACAGTTTTTTTTATCCCGCTTTTATTTATGAATTATTCAGAATTTATAACAAAAAAAATAATGCTAACATTTTTGACCTCCGTCATCTCCCTTAAATATTGACAAACTCGAAGAAATCTGTGAAAATAACGCTATTTTAAAAATAACGTTATTTTGAAACGATTATTAGTATCGATACTATATCGATTATATTTGATGGTGGCCACACCGTAACTGCCATTTTAAAAAATCAACAAAAAAGCAACGGACTGAAAGCGAGCGTGATTGATTTTTTGAGAATTTCTTCAAATCATGTATTGAATGGTATCAGAAACATATTCTTACTAAAAGAACAATATATCCCGAGCTTATCTATGTGCTAATTTTTGAAGTGCGTTTCTGTTTTGACCGAGAAAATGAAGGATCCGTTTGCGTCTGATGCCGTCGATTCTCCAGCTCATAGTCTGAAGAATATCGATGGTTGTTACAATAAAAACTTATTTAAAACTAAGTCCTTTGCTAATTCCCGTCGTGCCTTACAATCGGGGGCGGATAAGATTTCCAGAACTTGTAGGAGCATCAGAAACACCTTCGGAAATTTGTCACAGGTGAGATAATGATATTTTCTTGCGCGTGCTATTTTTCATCGTATCTCTTTGTTTTTTCGTAGAGATTTAAATGAATTAAAGGTAAATTCAACAGAATAGATCCTCATGCACACTTTCATAATGAATTCAGTGAATTTAAAAGGTATTTTAACCATGAATCACACACCTCATTCACAAAGAAAAAGTGATGTGTAGATGCCTAAGTACAAAGTAGTTTATGAATGATTTAATGGAATAATTACCTGTTTAGTAGATGTAAAGTTACATCTTTGAATAACTGTTTAATTATTGTCTTGCTTTAATCTTTTATTTGTGCATAAATAGCAAATTCTTACTATAAGAACACCTCATAGTAGACAAGAAACTCAAACTAGATTTTAGTCAAATTAAATTATCATACTTGATGGTATGCATTACTTATAAAATCACAGCATGTAACTTCAACATACCTATCCCCAACCTAAGCAGGCATATAGCACATCTACTGTGAAGTTAAAAAATATTAAATCATAAAATTCTATTGAATGCTTGTGATTTAACAAAATATTGTTGTTCAGCATTTCAGGCTGGGAGGCAGGCGGCGTCACCGGCTGACAGAGACTGGGTCTCCGTGCCGAGTCCCAACTACACCGGTAGCCAAAAAGAAATCGGTAAGTATTTACTTCATTCATAGGTTCGGCCAAACCAACGCGATCGCCATTGCTGCACGCCGGCTGATCCCGTTGGTTTGGCCGAACCTTAAGACTTATAAACTAACAACTCCAGCTCGCCAGCACTCTATCTAGTAAAATTCGTTCAGTTCTGTTACTACAACTAGCCTTTTGTCTGGCCCCTCTAGAAAAAGATGATATGATATTTTCTACCTGACTGCACCAGAAGTAGGTTTGTGTTTTTTCATTTCTGCTTTTTTATGCTCATAAAATATCATATGTTGCTGACAAAATTGTTAACTATTTCAGATATTAGCTAGAAGCCCAACCAAGCTGTACAGTCCGTTTGGCATCGAAACTCCTCACAACCGGGACTTCAGGATGTCTCCGTACATGCCTGATACACCTGATCATGGGTAAGCTACATTTACACTTAAAAATAAATTAAAAACTTACTTTAGTAAGGCCCCTCGCCCACGGCAACTTTTTTAGTGAAGCAGTAGCGAATGTAGCGATTCTGTCGCGCGTTCGCATCGGGAGAACGAAGGGAGGGTTTCGTAAACACGCGACAGCATCACTATAAAAAGTCGCCGTGGGCGACGGTCCTTATGTAAAGTTCAAATTAGTTTTCTGTTGCATCTAAAACAGGTCTAACATTGCAAAGTTTTTCAAGTCCAGGATCGCGTAATCGGTTACACGCGATCGTAAAACAAGTGCCTGAAAAAAGAGTTGTTCATAGTTCTCGCCCTTAGTTACTATGATTCGTAATATAATAATATAATTCGGTTTGGTTGGTAGTAGGGCTTGTTCGCCTGGCTAGCTACCACCATCGTACATAAGTCTGTCGCCATAACAACAATGTTAACAGCATTGTTGTGTTCCGGCAGTTAGAGGTAAGATAGCCAGTTCCTCCGTGGTTGAGGATTCCGGGTGAAGCTCGCTTCCACCTTCGGCCTGATCATCACTTACCATCAGGTGAGATACAGGCCAAGAGCTTCTTCGTTGTGGATAAAAAAAAATTGTATTGCATTTAATAATATTACACAATTTTTTCCAGATTGTCGCCCAAAAGACGCAAAGGGCTGACGCAACCATGGCACCTCCTAGCCAAGAAGAGACCCCGAGCCCTGTTCCACTGAACTAGTCCCTTATACACGCACAATGTATCCCACCGCTTAATGTAAGGTTAGCTTTCGTAATTATTATTGTAATCGGTAAACGACACTTACAGCGAAGAAATATTTGATAAAGGTTTTTTTAGTGCAGTCGACAGCACATTTGATTATACATTTTTGTTGAAATAATACATGGTGTTGATTTCAATCCTCGCCATATTTAGGGAGTTGATTAAATAGCTTATTCTGAGCACGAATCAGTAAAAAAATTTACTTCGAAAAAAATTTAAAACGAACTAACTTTAGTTAGTCAAAGAAAAATACCTACCTACTTTACTTGGCTTCCTTCAGTAGGCTATCCGACATGATAAGCTACCGATCCGCGTAGATCAATGGGTGCCGCAGTGTAAACGTATTGCATATTGCGAGCCACAGTACAGTGAAGTCGCTCGGAGGAAAATATTTGCAAAAAATTCCACTTTCGTTTGTAATTTATTTTTTGGTGGATAATGAGTTTATTTAAGTCGTAATAGATCACTTAAATAAATATGGCGAGGATTAAAATCAACACCCTGTATAGCAGCTATTATAATTAATTACATAAGATACTATGGTGTTAAGCTTGATAATAATATGCTGTCGTCTGCACATTCTTGTGCCTTTTAACTCATCAAGTACCAGGGAGACAAGACGCAATATAAATTGATAGCTCAGTCTAAGATAACTTACTGCCTTTAGGTGTTACGGTATAGTTTTTACATTCTTTTTAGCTGTAAGTGTCGGAAAATTTATGCAACTGGTGCTATATTTAAATGTATTATCTGCGTACAGCTTGAATTGACTGATTATTGACTGGTTTGCATGGAAGGCTGATATCTGTGGAGACTGTGGATGAGATGTTTGTAATATCTTAAAGGCTGATCGAATGTACTGTGTGGTAATAAATGGAACGATGGAATTATCATTGGAATCTCAATAATTTTTTTGAGACTAAGTAATAAGCCTATAATTTCATAAGTCACCAATAGATATGGCTTATCATAAGCAGCTATCATTTCATTTATTAATACTTTACAAAACTTTCCAGGGTATACTCTGCAAAACTCATAAATAGATAGCTGGTGCCAGTGTTGACTTATTAGCAGGGAGCACTTATTTTAAAAGCATGTTATTGCCAGCTGTTATACATGATGTATTTGAATAAATTGTATTATGAATGTGACTTTCTAAGCAAGTCTCAAGCTTATAAAAATAAGTCTCATTATGATGAAATAAAAACTGCGGAGTAGGAATGTTACAGTATTAACTATCTGAATTTTATTGATCTTAAGGTTGCCTTAGATGTATTTAGATAGAAACAAAATGGTTAGGGCCAATGGAATGGTGATGGCAAGATTTTTCCCATGCATTTTTATTGTTGGCAATATTATTGAAAATGTGTTGCCAGTGATTTCATTCAGTAATCTGATCTGTATTTTCATTTCGACTTATCATTTATTTAAAATCACTAAACAGTATTATAATGTATCAGTATTTATACTAAGCCAAAATAAGGTGTGAAAAGTGATTTTTATACAGTTACGCTTCGCTATGACAATATTATAATCCTGCTGTAATGCTTAGGATATAAGAAGGTTCCGATTTATCTCTTTAATATATTTTTAGGCTATGACTTGATTTACATTAGTTTTATTACGGTATATTAGTTTTCTTAAGGTATTCTCTGTTCTACGTTTCTTCGGAATAATTTGGAGGTGATTCTAACGGAGGGTCAATCTCTTTTCTTACAAAAATTAGAGAAAGACCAAGAAATTCATTGCTGATAAACAACAAATACTGTTAAATTCGGCATATAATCCGAGTTACTTTTTCCTCCAAATTATTTTGTAAAATCCTACCAGTGAGTATTTAGTGTTTCTTTTATGGGTATTATTTTAGATCTGTATGGACACTATGTGACCATCAGTTTTCTTTATATTGTATATTTCGAAAGACTGATCATCTGTAATACATATGTATCAGATTTTGATTTTTGGAATACCTGAGTGTATGATGAGGCTCAAAAACATTCTTTTCATAATTTGTATTACTTAATTTAATTATGTAAAACATTTACATGTAGCATTGCAATGGCTATTGAAATCATATTATAATTTTTTACTTCACATGTGTTTTTTATTTGGAAAATCGATTTGTGTCGTAAAATTTCCATCTACATCCGTTCAGTAGTTTAAGTGTGAAAAAGTAACACACAACTGTCACATTTATAGGATTAGGAATTAGAAAAAAATAAAAAACAGCATTGAGGTATTTACTTTTATTAGAAAATGTTATACTTTTAAAGCTCATTGCCTTTTTCTTGTGATGAGGATTTGGGCACGCGTGCGAATCTTCAAAATAAAATCCTAATATAACGGGGATTAATGAACTTTTTAGTTCATTATTCCCCATTATAAGCTCCAATTGGCGTTAACGGGGATTAGTGAACAAAAAGTTCACTTATCCCCGTTTACGGGGATTGTCAACGGGGAATAGTGGAATAAGCCCACGCAGGACAAAGATTTACTATTGTATTTGTGTAGCCGGCGTAATAGAAAAACATGTATGAAATAATGAAATGCAAATCCGCACGCGTGCAAAATCCTCATCACAGAAAAAAGGCACTAAGCCATTGATAAAAATAAATCAACAGATTCTCTTTTAATTTGATAACAAAACACCTATCTACTTACATACTAAAGTTATTTGAATACTGATCTATCTCATAGATCCTGTACTCAGTCTCTTGTGCACGAAAATTATACATAATTAAGTTTTTTTAATGTCAGAATGCTTGTCGTCATACAAATGCTAGTAAAATGTATGAATCACACTATGATACACTATAGGAATCTTATGCTAGATTTAATACGCTAAAACGCACCGGATCTATAGAATAAATAGTGTCAGTCCAAAAGAATTTAACAATTATATAAGGCCGGTTCGAAGTTATAAATATTTATCTAAACAAAAAAACTCAAATTACCTAGTATTATTTGGCAGTAATTTGAAAAAGAAGTACTTCAATGTCTTCGATATGGTCTATTTTGATCAAATTAGATATGTATCGCCAGAAGTATTCTTGAAACATTAGAATTACGACTTGCGCTATTATCGTTGGAATTTATCGCGTACCTACGATAATTCGATTTTTTATCATGAGTGACGTTTCACAATAAATACGATTATTATTTTCTTGCTAGGAACTTTCAGTATTGGCGGGGGCAGTATAAACTTATTTTTATACCCGTATGTACGTAGCATATTGGTTAAAGATACGTAAATGACCTCTTACATACCTAACTATTGACCTATTCCAAAAAGTTATCAATCATTTTAACATGAAAAAATACAGGATACCGCATTTAGAGAAAAAAGCTGCCAAGCAGCATCCATTTGCAAATGAAATTCGCACTTTGTCGTTAAAATATTTCATTATAAGGCCAGATCAGCTGTACAGACTTCTAGAATTTAATATTTTAATGCGTTTCCTTTATTTCACAAAAAAGGAAACAGATATAATAGGCAATCTTTGACGTCTTTTATTAAAAACGCACCTATATTTTGAAACCAATATCTAGTAGAGATATCTAGCTCGTTGAGGTCACATTATTTACTTAAAAATATATCTGTCCTATTTACATTTTTACACAAACGTAAACTATAACTTAGGACTATGAAATTAATATCAACGCTTAACATATAATATGGCAAAGATATGAATTTTTGATAATACAGTAGAAAAAACCCAAAAAAACTTACATTTTAATTCCAGAACCACAAGACTAGTGGGATTTAATTATCCATAAAAAATTTTCGTGCAATTACAAATCACAGACCTACAATATGACGAATTTCCGCCAATCAAATTTGTACTTAATCGTCTCGTTGCAAGGCTCAGAATCTATAGCGGAAATTCATCATGTTGAGGATAGATACATTTTAGTCTAGGCGCAGACCACCGATTTTTAGTTGGCGGATAGTTGCATCGCACTATGGAGCGAAATTGCGATTTATGGACATAGCGATTTTTTTCACAATTTCTATTTGAAAAAAATACCTATCGATAGGTTACGTTATTCTGATGAATAAATGCTGCACAAGTTTTTCTCTAAAACCAATAGTTTGACTGGAAAAAAATATTTTCCATTTTCGTTGTATGGAATGAAACATAAAGTGGTCGATTTCGACTAAGCCTTGACAGATCTTGCTTTGAAACTACTTGAGCCTTGTTCTATGGCTTGTTGACTATAATCCTACACTAACAGCGCGCGCACAAAGTTGCCCGTTCAGAAGTTATGAGGTTCCGAAAAATGAAAATTAAAGTAAGTAAAATTGACTTTTCTTTAGATAAGACGACAAGAGAAAGGTTAATTACATTACTAAAGTATATAATTTTCATGTTTTAGTTGAATCTTTAAAGATTTATACCCAAAAAAAGATACTTTTACTTACTTTAATTTTCATTTTTTGGAACCTCATAACTTCTGAACGGGCAACTTTGGGCGCGCGCTGTTAGTGCAGGATTATAGTCAACAAGCCATAGAACAAGGCTCAAGTAGTTTCAAAGCAAAATCTGTCAAGGCTTAGTCGAAATCGACCACTTTATGTTTCATTCCATACAACGAAAATGGAAAATATTTTTTTCCAGCCAAACTATTGGTTTTAGAGAAAAACGTTCATAATATTTATTCATCAGAATAACATACCCTATCGATAGGTATTTTTTTTAAACAGAAATTGTGAAAAAAAAATCGCTGATTTAATTCCTTTTAAGTTTATTAAAATGTGTTTTTAGCAGTAATTTAAGGTTAATTTACATTATTAACGTATAAAATCTTTATATTTTTGTTAAATCTTTAAAGATATTCCAAAAAAAAGTCACTTTTACTTACTTTTTTTTAATTTTTCAGAACCTCATAACTTGTGAACGGGCAACTTTGGATGCGCGCTGATAGCGTAGGATTACAGTCAACAAGCCATAGAACAAGGCTCAAGTAGTTTCAAAGCAAGATCTGTCAAGGCTTAGTCGAAATCGACCACTTTATGTTTCATTCCATACAACGAAAATGGAAAATATTTTTTTCCAGTCAAACTATTGGTTTTAGAGAAAAACTTGTGCAGCATTTATTCATCAGAATAACGTAACCTATCGATAGGTATTTTTTTCAAATAGAAATTGTGAAAAAAATCGCTATGTCCATAAATCGCAATTTCGCTCCATAGTGCATCGGGCTGTTGATCAGTATGGAGATGTATGAAAGTGCGCACATTACATCGGCCGATTCTTCATACAAATTAGATATTCTTCATACAATCGGGGCAAACTATTGGCAGACTAAAAATCGGTGGCCTGCGCTTAGGCTTAGAGCGCGAAATGTCGTATCAGATACTAGCTGCTCGCGACTTTGTATGAGTGAAAACAGTTTGAATAATATTTCCCGTTTTTGCAACACTTTTCTTTACTGCTCCTCCCCTATTAATTGCAGGGTGATCATAGTATAGCTTAAAGCCTTCCTCGATAAATGGGCTATCCAACACAAATGATTTTCAAATCGGGCCAGTAGTTCCTGAGAGTTCCTGAGATTAGCGCGTTCAAGCAAACGAACAAACTCTTCAGCTTTATAACATTATTAGTATAGATCGGAGATCAAAATTGAATCCATACAGTTTAATGTTAGGCTCTGAACTTAAGATGAAAAGGTTATTTGAATTTAAATTTTAACTACGTTTGAAAATATAAAAATAGTATTAACAATAACTTGAAATTTTGTCAGGCACATTTTATGTCCTTTAAAATCTAATCTAAACAGCAACCTAATCTAAAATTTAAAACATGTCATACGGATATCTAAACTTAATAAAACCTGTGGATCTATTTGTCCTTTTTACATCACATTTTTAAAGGTAAAGCTTCTTGTATTACAAAAATATAAGCTTAAAAATCTAAATGCCAGCTTTGACGCACCAAATAATGTTTTTTGATACTTATATAGTTTAGTTATATTCTCTAGCGTCTAAGTAATACTTAATATTTTATACAACACCCTGTACTGCGAAACTCTAAGACGCTCCATTTTTTTGAAGCACCATAAACTTACATAATCTATATATATAAAAATGAAACCCGTTTCGCGTTGTCACGGCATCACGTGTGAACGGCTGAACCGATTTCGATAATTCTTTTTTTTAAATGTTTGTGGAAGTCCAAGGATGGTTCTTACGGAAAAAAATATTAAGAAAATCTCTACGCTAAGGCGGTACGAAGTTCGCCGGGTCAGCTAGTCCGTAATAGATTTTGAATTATATGTTAAGACATAATAAGTAAGTAAGTAAGTTTGCGTAAGTTCCAAAATCGGTTGAGGATGTTTTGTGGTTGATGTGCTAACACAATTTTTTTACTCTCACTTTGCAATTTGTCTATAGATATAAAAACTGCACAATGACGTCACTTCTTAGTAAATCTATAAATGCATTAATTTCGAAACGTGATACACGGTTAGACCCAAATTCAAATATTATTGTAAGTCAAAAAACAATATTTAACTATGAATTTATGTAGCTAGAGCGTCTTAGAGTTAAGCGTTAATTGTTTTAGTTACTTAAGTAAAAAATAGAAAACTTATGACAAAATCACCACAGATCGTCATGAACTAATTAACATCTAAAAGGAAGCTCTCCGCTAGAAAAAGTCCCCAGATCTGCGTGGAAATTTCTGGAACAAAATTATCAGTATAAATAGGTATTTGAATTTAAATTTAAATGTAACTTTTATGTAAGCTTTAATACATGTGTCATTGCGTTTTTAAAGTGAAAATTGAAGTATTTCCAATCGAGAACAATAACATTGAAAAAAGAATGAACTATACATGGCCAGTAAATAACTAAAGCATGATCAAACATTTTACAAAAGCCGTCATTATTAAATGTATGTAAATAAAATAATAATTTTCTCAAAAAGAGTATTTCTAACACTAAGGCAAATACTTACATAATGATATTATATTTATAATAAGAAATGATTACTAAATAGCCGATTGAGAATGATAATGGTACTATAAAATATATTTCAATAATACTTCTAAATCTAACAATGTTTTCATTTACAAAAAATCTGTAAGACCTTTATCTACGCCGTGAAATGAATAGAAAACATAATGAATATTACACAGCATCAAATGATCTCCATGATGTATAATAATTCTAGAAAAAAATACATATCAAAAACTACCAAATATCGTCATACGTTATCAGTTCCCTGTTCGGTACCGTTTGAGATGTTATACATACAGAAGGGCTGGGTCCGTAATTCTGCTGATGGACGTGTCTTTTGACCATGGGTCGCGGGGACCCGCGCATCGGTCCCGGGGACCCTCGCATGTGTCCCGGGGACCCTCGCATGTGTCCCGGGGACCCTCGCATGTGTCCCGGGGCCCTGCCTCGCATACGGAAGCCGCGCCCTCGCCAGTTGAAGTTCGGTTTGAACACAACCTGTGGCCTGAACTCCTCTGAACTGTCATTGGAAGTATTGGAGTTGCTGAAACTCCGTTGGATAGTGAACATGTGAGGCGCTCTGTTGAAGTCCACCGTTCGCGTTATGGCCGGCTCTTCGGAGGGTTTGTTCTGGAATTTTATAGGGTATATTAGACTATGGTGTGACGTCACTTCTTAGATGTAGCTGCTATAAATAAATACGTTACATAGAATGCTACGAAAATTCAACAATATACCTATCAATTATTATTGTAAGTCAGAAGTTAAATGAAACTCAATATCCCTTATTTTCCCAACAAAAATATAATTATTTTCTTTGATACCAAGTTGTCTTCATAATTTTTATCTCTGGACTGACTTACCTTTTTGCATTCTTACTTGAAAAATCGACAGCCATAGGTGTAATATGAACCTAAGACTTTGAACGTAAGTCCACATTCCTTGGAATGTTTCATACTCAATACTCAATTATGTTTATTGCTTCCATAATACATGTAACAGTCGAGCTGTGTTTAGTAAAATTTTTAAATATGGCGCCGAGTTGTAACTTTGATCTGGGGGCACGGCAGTGCCCCCGCCAAGTCGAGCGCGAAGCAAACACTGCCGTACCATCCTTTACTGGAACCATTTCGCCGCATTTTCAGGCCCCTATTTGAGAACCTCTTGATAAGACCAGAACGCAGAAATTTTCGTCATCTAGTAAGCTATAATCAGATACTTTAAATCCAAAATTTCAAGTCTGTAGGTCATTTAGTTCCGAAGTTAAGCGAAAGCAAAGTTTCGCATTTACGACACTCACTCACTCACTGATGATCATCAAAATAGAACTAGTACTTCCCATTAACTCAGAGGGCTGAAATTTGGTACAGAGTTAGGGTTTAATGGCCACATAAAGGGAAAACTATAAAAACTAGGAAAATCGAAGATCTGGTGTAACCACATTCATAATCAATACTACTCCGGCCCCGTGGTGTTCGCCTGTATCGCTCACCGCTAGATGGCGCTAGCACTAGCAAGCGGTGTCCAGATTTTTTTCCTTTCTAGAGAAAGTCGTCGATTAAGTTGAATGTTGTGTAATTTGCATTTCGTTGATTTCGTTTATTATACTGTAAGGTTCGCTTAGGTTATGTTATAATTAAAAACAATCTGATTCGTTGTCCATTTTAAAGGTCGTTGAGTTTATTTGTGTTTAATATCGTAAAAAAATGTTGATAAACGACGACGTTAAATAATTTTGCCACGTTCCACAAAAAGAAGTGAAATCCCACCAAAAACATTCTGTAAAAAACTAGCCAAGTCTCGATGGAGCTGCTTGTTTATCTCTAAAAAGTAATGAAATCTAGACAAAGTCGTGCCAAGTCTATGGTTCCTTACTGCGATTTCTTTATTATTATAGTTAATGTTGTGTGACTTGGCCGTTGAATTCAACGGCCAAGTCACACAACATTAACTATAATAATAAAGAAATCGCAGTAAGGAACCATAGACTTGGCACGACTTTGTCCAGATTTCATTACTTTTTAGAGATAAACAAGCAGCTCCATCGAGACTTGGCAAGTTTTTTACAGAATGTTTTTGGTGGGATATCTTTTTGAAGATTCAAGTACATTGACAGCTCATCAGAATTGACATTTAATATACAAAGGCATAGGCGATTATCACACTGCGCCGCGTTCCGCCGCGGTACGCGGGACGACAGATTTAATCATTGTATGCAAGTACCTCAGTTTGTATAAAAAACACGCGCGGCACAACACACTGACAACGCGTCTGCGCGCGGGATTTTTTCTATGAAATCACGCGGACCGCGGCGGAGTGCGGCGCAGTGTGATAATCGCCATAAAATACCACAAAGAAAATGTAACTTTATTATAACTCACCATAGTGTCCAGGTTGGTTGTGTCCGGTGAAGTATATCTCTTCTCTCGCTCACTGACTAGCGGCTTAGCCACCACCGGCTCAATCTCAGCTGGCCTCGGCGACGGCTCATACAGGTTCTGCAGAACTGGCCGGCACATACTAGCATCTTTCTTCATCTTCAGCAACTGCTCATACATCTCCCTATTCGCAACAGACAACTGATTCTCGAAGTGACCCAACATTCCGTTCCGCAGAATCTTCTGGTCAGTATTCTTCACGATAGCCAACAAAGCGTCCAACAGCGGCAGCTCAGATGGTAATATACATATCCTCTCCAAAATCTGGGTAGCAACCTCCAATGGAAAAGTCCTATCTTGACTCAAAATAAACTTGGTCAGTTTTATGAAAACCGGCTTGAATCTCGAGAAGTTCTGAGTGTTCGCGATCGCTTGCATGAAGATTTCGCAAAGCATCTGCCCTTGATGCTTGTAGCACAACAGGTCTTCGCACACGCTCAAATCGACCGTATTGAGATGCAACAAAACACACTCGATCACTTCCACTTTTAACACAGCGTCTTCCCAGCAGCTGTCGTTCTCTTTCATGACGAAATCCAGGCCCATTTCAACGAGGATCCTGGTGAGGTCCCTCCTTATGCACTCGTGCACAAAGCACATGCCATATTTCCGCCGCAAAGTCGGCCAGTTGCGCATCAATATGTACTCCTGAATGAAAGTCTCCTCGCTGACTCTCACGATCTTGGCGTTTATCTCGTCGTAAGTCGGGACCACGTGAGGGAACCGGCAGCTGGTATTTTTGCAACTGGACAAGATATTGAAGAAGCAAATGCCCCGAAAGACTCCACTCTTCATTCCCGCTAGGGGTTTAAAAACGTAGGCCATCAGACACGGTTTCTTGTTCGGCGTGGAGTTATTTCTCAAAGGCGTAACGTTCTTCTGGACTGGGGTGTCTCTGTATTGTTCGGAATCCTTGTTGATGGACGTGGAATCGGCGTTTTGTTTTTCGCAAACGGGTCTCGTTCTGACGTCGATTTGTTTGTCGATCGCTGTGGGCACGTAACTGATCCTCTTCGCCGGCTCCCACTTGTCGCTGTTGACGGGAAGGGGGACGTATTCCTCGTACTCGCCGGCCGTGCACGACGTGGCCGAGCTGTTCACTCTGGAAGACTCTATGCCCGTGATGCTCTCGGCGAATAGCGATAATGCGTCATCATCGTCGTAGCTCTGCTCGAACGGGACGTGCTTGACTTTGTCTGATGTGAACATGTTCTCGCTACCCTCAGATATCGCACAGACGACTGGCTGGGCGATTTGATCGTTCGGATCGCGGACAGCTGGGGTGTCTTCTAAAACGTGTTGATTCGAGTCCAAGAACTTGTTTGTGTTTGGCGTGTCCACCTTGCTCGGAACAGGTTCCATTTCATAGGTATCTTCGACAACCTTGCCCGTTAGCAACGTCCTCAAATGTCGACACTGAGTGATAACCTCGTTTTCCTCTTTCAGCACTCTAAAGATATCTTGAATATCTTTTCTGTCCATGTCAACTTCTTCGTGCTCGTAGCCTATCCAGTTGATGATCTCCAGATCGAAATGTTTCAATTTGGACGCGAGCTTGTCTATCACGTTGGTGATTTTACTAATCTCTTCATTGTTAACGCTATTTTGACAGCTATTTAACGGGGTACGCGATTTGATTGGTGATACTGACGATGTGCTTAAATCTAACGAACGAGATTCTAGTTCTGGTGGGAATTCTTTGAAACTCCTCAAGCTCTGAGGTGGGGAGTTTTCGGAAGAGTCACTATCCGAGTCTGAAGAAGATGAACTATCAACGTTCATATTGTTTTCTTTGATCGTGGACGGTGGGCGGTTCAACGGTTGATTGAGATGGGCGGTTGTCGGAGTTATTTTGATGATGGGCATTTTTTTGTCAATCCGGACGAAATCTGTTGAGCAAACTGTCACACACGATGTCGTGCTGGAACTAGATATGTCTTTAGTCCAAGATAAGCATTCAGATGTTAACGAAGTTTTGCGGGAATCTATAGCACCTGGTTCGACGTAAGGGTCAGTTTTGGTGGTGTCAGCTGATGAGGTGAATTCTTTTTTCAGAGTGGGAACTCCTACTTGATCCAAGATGGATGGAGATTGGAGGACATCCGTTTTCTGAGATTCTTCTGTTTCAGTCTTACCTGTGTTTAATTTTCTACTTCTAGTGTTACACCTGGTAATTGGTGCTGCGATGGGCGAACTCTTTTTTGCTCTTGGAGTCGTTTTCGTTGTTTTTGTTATGCCTGAATTCACGTCGGTAAGTTTGGTCTGTTTCAAAGTCTTGTTTACTGGAGTCAATGGCAAGGATTTTTTACCTGCAAAAGGAAATATTTTCTGATTTTATAATCCTAAAATCCACAAAAGTAATATAGTAACAATAAGCCTATCCTACAACTCCACTAAACTTAGACTATTTGAAACTAACACACCACTTCATAAAAGACGAAAAATAAAATTTTTCATAAAATTGACTATTTAACTTATGAAGATTATGACCTTCCATCGCTGATTCACTGTGGGCTAAGAATAAGGCTGCGTTTCACGCAAGTAAGTTCGAGTATTTACGTATTTTTTAAATATTTTTCTATTACAAAAACTACACGACGCACTACTAACAAAATACTCGTACGGACTGAATATTGACCGGAAAGTCGGTGCATGCCGCCAGATTACGATTGAAACAGCATTTGAAACCAGCAAGACAATGCTCAATTATCGGCTGAACCAGTGTTTGAAATAATAGAACTACTATACAGGGTGGAAATTTATAATGTCACCTGGAGGGAAACTACTCTTAATATTGTAGATAGAAAATTTTACTCAAAGAAAACATTCCTTTATTTTCGAAAAGAAGTAGAACTGCATTCAAAGATTTCCTAAAATTTACTTGCCACAATCGGGAATCGAACGAACTAAAATCTGTTAAAAATTACATCCTGTATTTTTATTGCATCGATCGTTAGGGTTAAGTATAAGTATGAAATCTCTCTAACAAACTTTATAAATCAAATGAAAGGAAAACCATGAAATCTTAAATTATTTTAATTATTTACCGAAAATTTTATGGTATGGTAGTAAATTTTTGGAAAAAAATTGAAAATCTTTAAATGCAGTTCTCTTTCTTTTCAAAAATAAAGAAATGTTTTCTTCGAGGAAAATTTTGTATTTACAGTATTAAGAGTACTTTCCCTCTAGGTGGCATTACAAAATTTCACCCTGCATACCCCTCTCTCTCATACAAACCGAAATGCTAAAATGTGCGAGAACGACAGAGGCGACAATATTAGAATTGGACATGGAGAACCGTACATTGTAATGCCTCAAATATGCACTTTCAACAGTGCTATAGCAGGTATCTTGGGTAGAGTTCGATCTCGCGCCTTTATACAATTTTTGTCGTATAATAGCACTTATTTCCAAATAAATGAGATGCTACAGTATGTAACTTGATGAGCTAACCTAGCTTGGCCTTACATATACCTACATAATAAACTAAAATATTTACATAGCAAGCATGTATAAGCCTTATTTTTTAAGACACCATCATCATAATATGGCCATTTAGTCTCCAATACTTCTATAATTTACCAGAGGCAAAAAGATTTATGACATTATGTATGAAAATAAACTTTAAAGCTAAGAAAAATAGCAAAAAATGGGATAACAAAAAAAAAAAACAATGAAGCCACGATAGCCGAACGGTGAAGGGGTCGGACTGGCCGACTCGTGATCCGGGGAACGCGGGTTCGATGCCCGCCGCCGCTCGACTATTGTGGTGAGCTCACTCGTGACACAAGAATATTTAGCTTAGTATGAGGGGCTAACGGGTCTATTAGTAATGTGTGTAACAACAAATTACTAATAATCTTTTAAACAAATAAGAGAAATAGATAATTTCACTTACCTCTAGTTGCTTTGACAGTTTCGGGTTTCTTCTCAGCTGCCTTTGTGGGATCCTTGCGAACGTATTTCCTTTTCTTAGGTACTGCTACTTCAAATGCCTCTGTAAAAACATTTTGCTTAATTAGATTTTATAACTTCTAAGATCTTAGGATATATCATACATCTGTTGCTTATGTATTGACAAATTGCACTGGGCGAGTCGCATTGAAAACAAAACAAAGAAGGCCTGTATAGCATTTTATCTGTGTAGGAGACTCATTGGTAGTAGATGGGGTCTTAACCCAAAGATAACACTTTGGCTTGACACATTGGTTATCAGGCCCTCTATCACTATAAATTATTCTTTCTTTCTTTCACTTATGGATCATTTTGTGGCCCAGAACACAACTATCCACAGCAAGATCAAAACTCCAAAGCCTGCAACGTCTAGCAAGCATAGCGGCCACTGGTTGCATGTGAACCACACCATCGGCATCACTTGAGTACCTCCTGAATCTTAGATTTGGATCTCATCATTCAGGAGGAAGTGCAAGCAGCCACTCTAAGGGCTATATTTCACCGGGACACCATGGCGGCGCAACCAGTCGCCGGCTACCAACAAAATGTATGCAGCTCTATAGAGAGTTACTCACCTGGTGTCTGTTTGGTTGCGCAAAGCTGCATACATTTTGTTGGTAGCCGGCGACTNCCAGTCGCCGGCTACCAACAAAATGTATGCAGCTCTATAGAGAGTTACTCACCTGGTGTCTGTTTGGTTGCGCAAAGCTGCATACATTTTGTTGGTAGCCGGCGACTGGTTGCGCCGCCATGGTGTCCCGGTGAAATATAGCCCTTAGACTTAAAGGAAACGGCCTATGGAAGGAATAAATATAGGCTGCTTCTCCAATATCACTAACGGACTAGATTTTAGTTACAGACGGACTAGATTTGGAACTATTTGTCTATCCAGTCCAGAAAGTAAGCACTCCTGCACACGACGCCGTCGCCGCGCCTTTGCACTGTTTATACGCGCCGCGTGAACACCGCTGCCGCGCGCTGGCGAAATTATGCTTTGATGGCGCGGCGGCGGCGTCGTGTGCAGGGGCCCTAGGACTATTTTGTTGCAAAATTGCATCTTTTTCAACGAGTGAAGACACCACATTAGATGTGATTGTTATGTACAGAACATTCTTGATCTTATTTATAAGTAGAACTTTATAGTCAAACAAGCCGTACCTTCTGAATCGGTGGGGATACTCGCACTAGTGCTAGGTTCAGGTTCAGAACAAACAACCGCTGGTTCGGGAACTACAACTGTTGGCTCAACTGTTTTTTTGGCTCTCCCTCTCTTGGCTTTAGGCTTTGGTGGCACAATGATGTCTGGTGTCTGTTCTGTTTCAACTTTAGCTGGTTTTTTACAGAGTTGAGCGGCAGCAACTTAAATAAAATGTATGGAGCAGTAAAAAAAAGGTTTAAACAATAGATGTAGTTTACAGATAGATTGAATTGTGTGTTTAAAGTGATACTTACAAAGCTAGAACCCTTATTGGGTTATTACAATCGCAGTTTGCATTTAATTTTTAAACTAACAAAAGATTTTCTATCAGTGGTATGTAACAAAAATCTGTCATAGCAATAGTATTTTCAGCAGTCAATTTAAGAATTTAACAAAATATAAGTAATGAGGGTATTGCACAAATTTATTTGACAGAAGAAAATAAGCAGCCACTGCAGACTGTAGGTACAAGAGTCTCAAAACAATAATTTTTAAAATTAATGAAAGTAAATTAATGTGAATTCTTGTATCTTAAATTACTGGATGAAAAATAGTGTATTGGTTACCTTCATTGGCCAAATCCATCTTCCTTTCCAAATATAACTGCTTCTTAGTTAGTTTTGGAGTTGGTACTATAATTTGAGTTATTTCTGGCAACATGTTCCCAGAATTATCTACAATGTTGGGTTAAATTGTTAGATACAGTTGAATTAAATCTATTAGGTTACAAAGCCGCGACAAAAGTGAATTAAGCGACGTTGCGATAAATTAAGAAATATGAGAACTTGAAAAATATTGTTTAGCTAAGCAAAATGTACTTACTTTCTGGTGGAATCTTAATTCTAATCACAGTAGGAATTTTCAGTTTAGGTTTCACTTGTCGAACTCTAGGTTTTGAGGGTTTCTTCCCTGGTGCCTTTTTAGTTGGCGTTTTATTTTCTAAATTTTTCTTTGGTGGCATTTTTCGTTCGAACTTGTTATCAAGGTTAAGTTATTTTTTTGGCTTACCACGAATATCAACGGAGACTAAAACTTTATTGAAGCACTCTTTTATTTGGTACTGTACTCCTTTGCCCAAAGTAAAAGGTTTTTGAAATACAAAAATACTTTGGAAATTGTGCAAAAAATGTTTTGTTTTGAAAGCAACACATATCGCACATATCCGAAAATATCCGAATGAATGAAGTAGAAATAAAGAATAAAGAATATCGTTACAGATGCGTTCATATGAAATAGATTTTACAATTATTTTTAATTAAAAAGGATATTTAAATGCAAATTACTAATAATGTTCAGTAGTATCGCATACCTTGCGATATTTTTCTGTGCATAAAATAATTATATTATGTTGATTCGGACACAAACACAATATTTAAATTTAAGTATTTTTAGTATGTATCCGATTGAATTTACGTAGAGGTCAAAAAGGTGATATCTGTCAATTTTAGGGAGAGAAGGTCAAAGTGAGGCATCAGCCGGTCTTTATCGAATAAATTTTGATTCCAAGTTCCAATCATGCCCGGAAAATATAAAATTGTAATGATTCGCCACGGCGAAAGCGAGTGGAATCAGAAGAACTTGTTCTGCGGTTGGTTTGATGCTGACCTTAGCGACAAAGGTAAGTTTTTACTAAAGACACTTGAAGGGCACGCTAAATATTTTTATTGTAGGTAGGTATTGTATAAACCTTAAGGCTATAAGTTTACTAATTAATTTAATGTCTTTAAAGTGATAAACACAAATATGATTAATAAGGTTAAAAACCTTGACCTTAACAATGACCGTACAAACACTACTAGGGGGGTTACCTACGCCATAACGAATGACAAATGATCGAAAATCAAAATATCGAATACGTTTCATCGAACGATCAAAATATCGAACGATCAAAATATCGAAAGTCGATATAGACGTTTTTATTAAATTTCATCATGCATCATTTCTTCAAGTTTATAAATTTTGAGAATAATGTCCGTGGGGACCTATTATAAGCCTAGCCTATCCCAAAAAGGAAAGATCAGAAATGATGCGTGATGAAATTTAATAAAAACGTCTATATCGACTTTCGATATTTTGATCGTTCGATATTTTGATCGTTCGATATTTTGATCGTTCGATATTCTGAACGTTCGATATTTTGAGCATTCGATATTTTGATCGTTCGATATTTTGATCGTTCGATGAAACGTATTCGATATTTTGATTTTCGATCATTTGTCATTCGATATGGCGTAGGTAACCCCTACTAGGGTAGGGTTGCTAACTTGTTAACCCATAATAAGTAAATAATGGTAGGTAATATTATCGTTAAATTTTTTTTCTTGTGAATTTTGAAACTTTTAATAAGCAAACGTAGCAAAAGTTTTATTTAATCAAAAAATTTTTTTCATTGTAAATAACAACTAGACAATTTTTTAGTGTTATTAGAAACGGTTTATCCGTTTCTAATAACACTTTAGTTAAGTAGAAAGGGAGGTTTATGACGTGCCAATTAAAAGAGAAAAGTTTTTAAAGCATCAACAATATAGATCTAATTCTAATTAATCATATGTAACATTTTTTTTCTCTAAAATGATTTTTTAAAATTCATTTAATAAGATTTAACTCATTTTATGAACTTTTTTAAATTTATTAATATTATTTCTTTATAAATTATTATATTTTTGTCTCGTTTTTTTTATAAACTTTATCCAGCTTTATGTTTCATTTGCAGGTCGTGAAGAAGCTACCGCTGCTGGTAAGGCGTTGAAATCTGAGGGATATCAATTTGATGTCGCCCACACCTCTGTGCTTAAACGGGCACAGATCACTTTGAATTCTGTCCTGCAGGAAATCGGACAGACTGACCTGCCTGTCCAGAAGACTTGGCGCCTTAACGAGAGGCATTATGGTGGACTTACGGGTCTCAACAAGGCTGAGACAGCCGCTAAATACGGTGAAGCTCAGGTAACTATAATAGCATGCAATCGTTTATACTATACAAAAGTGCATGTCTATCTCTCTTACCTTATTATACCCACCAAATTTATTTTTTGAATCAGTAGGTTTTGAAACGGTATCTATTATTTATATAATTATTTGTAGAGTTCCCATTTATATTTTTAAACAGGTTCAGATCTGGCGCCGCAGTTTCGACGTGCCCCCACCACCCATGGAGAAGGACCACCCGTACTATGACACCATTGTCAATGACCCCCGGTACGCTGGCGACCCAAAACCCGAAGAATTCCCCATGTACGAAAGCTTGAAACTCACCATTGAAAGGACTCTGCCTTACTGGAACGACGTCATCGTCCCTCAAGTAAGGAACAATAAAACTGCTTTATTACTACTGACATTTCTTGCTTTTATTATTTTATACTATTTATTATGTATTTTTTTACAATATTTAATTGATGAAAACCATTTTTTAGATCAAAGAAGGAAAGAGGATAATCATCGCAGCGCACGGAAACAGCCTTAGGGGCATTGTTAAGCATTTGGATCGTACGTATATTTTCTATTACATTTATGACTGTAATTAACTTACTGCTATAATATAATTCATTTATTGTAACATTCATTATAATGACTATGCTTTTTCTTTTACACTTGCTTTGATAAAGATTGCGATTTGTTCGCATAAAGATTAACGTTATAATAACACTTACAACAGCCTAGAAGATTCGTTGTTTATTTTATCAACATTGCGGAATCAACTCAATTGTAATAATTATTATCTATTGCCCACATTTTCAGAACTCAGTGACGCTGCCATCATGGAGTTGAACCTCCCCACCGGTATTCCATTTGTTTACGAACTCGACGAAGACATGAAACCAGTAGATTCCATGGTCTTCCTTGGCGACGAGGAGACCGTAAAGAAGGCTATGGCCGCCGTAGCTGCCCAGGGCAAAGCTAAGTAAATGTCTCCAGTTCTGTATGTTACTACATTATAATAATATTAAGTACGTATAGTCATTTTAATTTATTGTTGTTATCTTGAAGATAATGTATGCTATAATAAGTTGTTTGAATACTCTATGTGAAACATATTGTGTATGTATAGTAAATTATTATAGAGATTAATACTGCCTCTGTAGTGTTTGCTTATTAATAACAGGTAATGTTTGTTTAATACAATTCTTATTGAGTGTTAAATGCTACTGATTTGAAATTGAATACACGTTCTAGAATCTAAAAAATTGCTTTAAAACATCTTTAAGATTTTTTAGATCTTTGGAAAATTGCCAATTTGATGCAATTATCTAGATTTAGCGTAAATATCTAACGTGATGTGCTTGTGAAATTATAATAAAATTTAACAAGATGTCGTCAGTTTTATTCGGGCAAATTTGTTTTCAAATCCTCCATTACTTGATCCATGTCTACGCCTGAAGATGTTGAACCTTTTTCATTCTCAGTAAATAATCTTCCAGTATACTTAGAAAATCCTTTCTGCTTACTATTTGTGAACTTAAACTTCGAATAATCAACTTTAGAACTTGAAGCTTCTTCCACATCCATACTATTGTCCGTCTTCTTTTGTTTGGATTTCTTGGCTTTTTTATGTGTTTGTTCAAATCTAAAATCTTTTGGAAGTTTGTGAACTTCGACACAATGTTTTAATCGCTCATCAGAAGTCTGGAATTTCTCTTTACATTCTTCTATGTAGCAACAGAACTGGAAATTAGAAAAACATGTAATAGATAAACTCATTCCAAGTACAAAATAAGTATGTCTTCTTCCTCGCAAATGGAAAATACCACATTTTCCAAAAAGGGCCTAAGTGAATACTTTCAAAATGAGTTACTAGTTACCGAAGGTTTTCGCTCGGACATCACAGCAAAGAAAGAGTCGTGTGTCTCTTGAATGTGTATATCCAGCAGATGCGGCGAAGGCAGCATCTTCTTGCATTGAGAGCAGACATATCTGTGGCTCGCATTGTAATGGCTTTCGTATTCTAATAGTGTGTCTGCTGTGAAAACGCAACCAGGGACGTTGCACGTAGTCTTTATCCTAAAAGAAGGAAAACAACATCCGATTTTCATTACTATCTACTAGTAAGGGGTAAATAATATGATAATAATAATATGTATAAGTCCTATAAATATAAAGGTATCTTCCCATTCCCGTCAATATTAGTTTTGAAATCTATTTACAGCCTACTGGAATCTGTAACTCGTATAGCCTTAGTATCCGTGGATAAGCTAGAAATGTACAACATTTTTCCAAGTTACACGATAGGTATTTATTCCTTGTTTAAGATGTTGTAGTAGGTTCTTAAGTCACTTAATTTTATAATAATATAATGAAAAGAGAACAATTATAACACAACATAAAAGGACCATTTTCCTTCCTATTACGTTGCATCCAATAAGAGTTATGTTCATCATTATTAATAAGTACTGCTATATTAATGATAATATTATTAATTTTTTCCTATATTTTGTTTGAAATACCTAGTACGTAAATACCTATATAATTAACTAAAGTTACTTACAGTTCGTGACACAGGTTTTCGTCGTCTAAATCGTAAATGCCGAGGCGCGGCGGAGGTTTGTCACTAGCGAATAGAATATCGTCAAGCATCCGCCGACCTACTCCATAAATTTTGAGGCTATTAAATATACTCGTGTTTAGTTCCATACTGTCGCGCAAAGTTTTCATAATAATTATACTGTTTTTTGTGTTTAACCTGTAACAAATGAAAAGTACTTATTTCAGACATAGGTAGGTAATAAATGATGATTTATTGAGAAGTATTTTTATATAGGTATAAGTACAGCAGCATAGTACTTAAATGAGTATGTTCTTGAGATAGAGAGCGGTACAAGAAGTTGTTATGTAACAGAAGTGTCGCGGTCAAAGTATGCACTATGCATTTCTGGAGTCTAAATGATTTTTGACGAAACCAAAACAGAAACACCTTCTGCATGACATTACAACCGAAGGAGTTTCTGATTGAAGGAGAAAATATTTGGGGACAAAGGACATTGTCAGAAACCGCCTAAAAAACCGCCCAAAAACATTAACCCATCATAATTATTTTCTATTTTTTTTAATACATTAAGCACCCTTTCATTCTAATGGACACTTAAGCATTGAAAAATTAAATAAATAAGTCTTTTAACGTTTATTCTATAATACTATTACAACTTCCGGACGTTTTGGTGCGTGGCATGGTCTAAAACCTATCAAGTTCCATAATTTTTGCCGATAAAATCTGTACGAGGCATTACCGTACTTTATTGCTGGGAGTCCATGTATAGTGATGTTCCTGCGGCCATCATAGACAATAAAATATCGATTTTGAAAATAAAATAAATCGATTAAACTGCTTTGAAGACTAGATTTGCGTTAAAAGCTAAAAAGATATTGACAGTTTGACACTATTACAAGAAGATATCTAAAGTGTCCAACTGGTCGAAGGTCGTAAATAAAATAAAAATAATTAGGACCATAAACTGATATTCATGGTATCATAACTGTAAAAGTGTCAGAATCCGATGTTGAATCCAATGCCAGTTGAAGTGTGAGAAACATATATATTTTTTTTTTATGTGACAGGAGGCAAATGAGCAGACGGATCACCTGATATCAACCTAGTATAGTTGCCAGTCTCTCATAATCTATGCCAATGAGGGTTTTCGCGATTGAAAAATCCGCCAGATGGCAATACGTAGACGTGAGGTCCAAATGCTGCATGATTGGTTATTTTTGACATGACATTGACAGATATCCACCAATCATGCAGCATTTGGACCTCGCGTCTACGTATTGCCATCTCGCGGATTTTTCAATCGCGAAAACCCTCATTCATAGCACATGTATAATAATAGACCAAATGAACTTTTATAGATTGTGAAAGAGAAGATAAAGATTTTATTATTTTATTAAAATCTTGCCACGAGGTAGTTTTTCAGTAGAAACCAGGATTGGATAATCGCTACAGGCAAGTATCAGAACATTTTATAAATATTTTTAATCGATTATATCCATGTGAATCGTTTTAATAAATTGTCATTTTACTTTTTCAATTAAAACTTTTTCAATCCCTAGTCTTGTCAAACTGTCATAATGTCAACAAATTATAAATGTCACGTCAGTTGACTCAATTTCAGTCTTCTGTGCGTTTATTGTATTTTTATTTCAATGAAATAGTGCTAAAGGGTTAGTACTAAAACTGAAAGCCTTTTTTCAGAAAGAAAACCAATGTGGTGCCCTTATTATTCATGCTGTTTGAAAGTTACAAGTCAGTGATACAGAGTTGCCGACATTATAACTCCGTAGTGATACCATACCAAAGAAGAAGTTTTCCTAAACACTTGTGTTGTTTTTATATGTGATCGAATAAAAAGGATTAATTCTACTGCTCAAATGGAATAACTTATCCCAAGAGACCGAATAAAAAAAAAACCTCTCCATAGAAATTATCACCATCACGAGGATGTGAATTTTTTTGAGAATTTGATATTGGTCCTGTAAGAAAAGTAGTTGTATTTCAGTAGTAGAATCAACCCTTCTTGTTTCATCAGCAAGAGTAACTATAAAAACGCCCTGTAGGTAGGTATTATTAAGCTGAAGAGTTTGTTTAGTGTCAAAGACTGTCACACAGTGTAACTTAAATTGGCATATTATGATAATGAACATAAAAACTTAAATAAATATTTATGTTAATATTTTTTCTATTTATTTATTTTCCCAAAGCTTCACAGTGACAGCTGAAACAGCAATACTGTTAACAAAACAGTAAAACTAAACTTGGAACAAACTGTTACAAATATGAGGGGTTTAATATTTTACAAATTAAAATAAAACCGCATGTTGCTTTACTTTCTCGTATAGGTAATAAATGTAATTAATGGCTAGATTATTAATGTTACTTTGTTACCCTCAATAGTGAGGAAATCTTATAAAATGGTAACCCTGATTTTTATTGTCATTCAAGTGCTCTTTCTTCGCATAGGCTTCTGTGATTTGGCCAAGGGCCACACACATTGCGATAACATTATGCGACATTGATTTGACAGCAGCGGAGTGAAGTCTTGCGACTATGCAAAATGATACCCTGTAATCGTAGCGCATACAGACATAGACGGGGCGGGGCACATAGCTCGTAGAGCTGATGGCCGCTGGGGCAGGAAAGTTCTTGAGTGGCGACCACGAGCCGAAAGACGTAGCGTGGGCAGGCCTCCCACTAGGTGGACCGACGATCTGGTGAAGGTCGCGGGAGGTGCCTGTATGCGAGCGGTGCAGGATCGGTCTTCGTGGAAATCCTTGGGGGAGGCCTTTGTCCAGCAGTGGACGTCTTTTCGGCTGAAACGAACGAACGAACGATACGTATTACCACTATTTACCAGACATTACTATTTATTGCATACTCGCCGGATTACACGTAGGAGCACGCGCGTAACAGCTTCGGCCTTGCATTATTATAAGATCTTGTTCCGCCCTTTTACGAACTTCCTCCGTGAGGATATCCCCGCCGAATTCTATGATGAACCTATCAAAAGTCATATTCTGCAATGTCAACCCACCACAAGGTGGACCGACGACCTGATAAAGGTAGCGGGAAGGCGCTGGATGCAGGCCGCTACCAACCGTGCGATGTGGAAGTCATTGGGGGAGGCCTATGTTCAGTAGTGGACGTCCTGTGGCTGAAATGATGATGATGATGAAGAAATGAATGAAAATGACAAATCTTCGAACGTGTATAATACCGTGCCAAAGTAATCATATAATTTTGGCACCTTAATAACTATTGCCGTTTTTGTTGTAAAGATCATGCAGCGCTACTTGCGGATATTATTGGAAAGAAAACTATGTGGGCTCTAGATCTGAAGCCGCTTTAACGAACACGAAGTGCTCATACAATGCGGCGTATTTTCTTCCAGTCTTTAGTCAGGACTTTAGTCGAATTAAAACCCCGGTTGAACGTGATATAGCCGCACTAGAATACGATGCTTTTTTGCATAATCGCAAGACTTCGTTCCGGTGTCGACCGAATGTTATCATGATGTATGTGGCCCAGGGGTTACCGTAGCCGCTAAGGTTTGAAACTTCTTGCTTAAAATATTGTAGTCTTTGGCATAGACTACGATGGTAGTCATGGAGATAGGAGTTTGTTATCTCGTGTCAGATGTAAATGGTGAAAAGAAAACTCATGATTCGTGGTATTTTTATGTAATATGTAGGTATTTTATAAAAGTGGAACCCCGAGTGATCTCCAAAACCCATTCTATTATTATATACGATTCGGCTTCGATATCTATAATACAATAGGAGTTTATTTCATGTGTCAGATGACAAGGGTGGAAACAACCTACGATTCATGTTGTTTATTTACGTGCAATATGTGGGCATATTGTAAAAGTGGAATGCCGAGTTGTATTTCTAAAACTTGTTCTATTATTTTATACTATTTGGCTGCGACTCGGCGTGACGACAATACAAAACATTTTTCGCGAATCGGTGTTCATACATTCACACAATACATTAGACGCCATGTTGTCATAAACGACATATTATAAAATCGCTGTGATTTAATATTCTTAATCATTAATTTTATGGCAAGTGTCCATCAGGAATCATTGTTCTTACACAAAGAATCGTATTATTTCGCTTTCGGGTAGTAATATGTCAAAATTGTTGGTTCTTTAGGCGAACAATGTATGGAGAACGAACATTGTCCTTTGGAGCCAGATGTGGTTAGCTACAGTAGATTAATTGAAATTTCAGTTTAAAATTTGAAAAAGGTGATTACAGTATTGGCTGGTGAGTGGACAGGCTTAAGAAGATACATGTTTAAACCAAACTCAAGATGAATAATGTCGACAAACGACGGCATATAAAGCTAAAAAACGATAGTATTTTAAGTAAATTCTAATAACATTTATAAATATTGTAATTACACAGCTTTATAAGAGTTGTTGTCCGTACATGAAAATACTCTTATGATTCATCAATGATCTTAAAATACAGATATTCGAAATAATTGTCACTGTGATTCATCAATATTATGGTAAAGGTAAAGATAGTAGTAGATTATCCACATTGGCGATAACTAGATTACTAATGTACCTATACGAGACCTGTGATAATGATTATCTAGATAACTCTTGTACATTTTGTAACTTTTCCTTTTTCCACACTAAATAGACTTTAGTGAGCCTTATAATATTATTTTTAGAAGTATAATAATTAACAATTATAAACCGTTATATTTGTTATCATCACCCACGTTATATTGTCGGTCACTTAGGCTAATAAAAAAAGGTAATATACATATTGATGTCTAAAAACTCACGCCATAGGTTGTATACATAGAAACTACCTACATAATAAAAATCAGCTAACATAACTAAGTATTTAAGTATTTCTGGTTTATATTTCCATTATCAGACAAAAAAACATATTTTATGCATATTATATGGTATGGTGAAGTCAGAAAATTGATATTATCATTTTAATTATTTTAATTTTCATACAAATATTATGATTTTATAAATTTTATTTTGTATGAACATTATAAAAAATTAAAATGATGATATCAAATTTCTGACTTCACCATACCATTTTATATGCATTGTTAACATGGACTAGTGTCGGCTCATATACCCATTTACCTAACACCCTGTATTATTATGTACTTACATGCCCAAAAACCCACCCAGATGAAACTTTTAAGTTAATGAAATCTTTAAATACCTACTTAAATTTACGGTAGGTTAGGTTAGGTTAGCTGAAGTATTAGAAGCGGTTTCTGCTCGTCACGCTTACGATAATTTTACGATAATAAATTGTGCAAGTCATGGTGATAATCTACTTTTTATAAATACCAATCTTGCCAATGCTTTTGGGTTATTTCAATGATTTGTTATTATATACCTACTAATAAATATATTTTCGTTCCACATACTTTTATATTGATGAACGGATTTTGATGAATTTCGGCTTTTTTCATAGAGTGCAGACTTCATGCAGACGCAGTTTCTAGCATCCACTATATTTCGTAAGTAACAGACCTACTTATTTATTTTATTTTCGTTAAAATTGTGATTTCTATCAATAAGCTATTTTTCATTTTCTGAAGAAACAACTACCTAGGTTTAAATCACCAATCTTTAATGTTTGATTAAATTACAATATACCTATAACATCCAATGATTTTTTAAGAGCGTTGTAGCAAAAAGTTGGCGTTCGAATTTTAGGTTTTTATTGCTTGACGTCGCGTAGTGAGTGCGCAAACTGCATTTATCTGTACAATTTCAACGCTGCGTCGACTAAACGATCTTAATCCGTAGTTGTATCGTACCTAAGACAGTACATCATACATAATAATAAAGAAATAATGTATAATTTACCTATTTGATTTTTTCTCAGATCAGACTTTTAGCAAAATCAAGTTACGTAATTAATGTATTTTTTACACTAGTAAATCCCGCGACAAGTTTTTAATCTTTAAATTGATTAAAGTAATAAGTTGATGGGTTTGAAAGAATTTATGTTTTATTTTATTCTTTTTACAGCATCAAAAGCTTGTTTATGAAAAATATTTACTATTTAAATTTTACTTTTGACTTTTTAGTTTTTATGATGCGGGATGGAAAAATTAAAATTTATTCTGATTTTGTGACGTTTCCGCACATAAATATGGATAGGTTAAATAAATAGAATGAAATGTATGAAAACGAGCGTGCCATTTTTTAAACGTTATCTATAATATCTGTGTCCATCAAAGAGCTCGTAACTAAACATCGTAAGCGCCATTCAAATTATTATCTAAAAGTTAATAATAAATATTTAGTTTTTGTAAATCTAAACAAGTCAGGAAATCAAAGAGGTAAATACTGATATCATTGTGATTTTATAGAATTTATTATTATAAACCACGGTCGTATAATGCTAAAAAATCAGAGGTAACTTTAAGATTTTTATCCATAGAGCAAAATTTATCTAATCGTGTTTTTAAACAGTTATCCCATTAGGTACACATGCGTTCTGTAATACAAATCCATCAAAAACAATACTTGTCAAAAAACCAAGTCTCACTACTCAGTTGTTCTACGGTAAAAAGTTGTGAGATCCATGTAATACCAAGTCCAGTCCAGGAAATCATTAACGTTTTACATAAATATATTGACTTGGCCATCGCATGAAAACACGTGTAAATTAAATTATTTAGTGCGAAATGAAACAAAATTTTGCATGCCTGTGTAGACATGCAAAATTTCAGCTCAATGGGAAAACGGGAAGTAAGTAGAGATGGGCCGACTAGTCGCCGACTAGTCGGGAAAGCCGACTATTCGGCATCATTTGTAGTCGGCCGACTAGTGACGACTATTCGGCAAAATATACCGATTATAATCGGCGCATTACAAAATTAAATATGTGAATTAAATAAAACTCATAATCACCAAGATGATTATAAGGTAGACCAAGGGCGTTTATCTAAACCACTTTTGACTGCAAAAAATCAGTAAAAAGTGGTTTCACCTGATGGAAAATCAGTTTAAATTCATACAAAGTTAAGATTAGTTAAAATTAACAGGAATCATCAAAAATGTGTGAAGTTTATGTAATTTGTCCATATAAAAATTATGACACATTTTTTCGGGGAAAAATGCATGGAATTGCACACCTATCCTGCGGGGAAGTGGTAGATTATGTCGGGCTCCTCTCATCAGAAGGATGAGGAATATCCACATAAATAACCCCTGAGATCTGGACAAAGCCATCAACTATCACAGTCCGTCCCGGCCCACCTGTATGGCGGGCCCTGCCTATCCGACGGTGGTGGTAGTCCGTGCTAAGCAGGCGGGGGTACCCCCACGCCCCAGCTCGCTGACTATCAGAGGAATCAGTGGGCCTAGGATGCGTGCCGCGATAAGCGCAATTTTGCCCATACATTTTGACATCGATAAGTAAGAATAATATCACGGCGCGCATCCTAGCCTAGCAGGAGGCGATCATATTGTCACCTCCTCTGACCCCTCCACCGTCGAAAATTATAACATCTACCTTAAGTACTGTTAGGTGATTGTAATGTTGCTTTTTATTTTTTCTCATACTAATGAAATCTCATTTCTCAAGAAGTTCTTTAGAAATCTAGATACTCATATTTCTTTGAGAAAATCTAGATATTATTCTTCGGATAAGTAGGTATTAGAATGATCGGCATTGCCGATTAGTCGGCCGACTAATCGGCAATTTGAAAACCGATTAGTCGGATAGTCGGCAAAGACCATAGTCGGCCCATCACTAGAAGTAAGTAAATTTTAAGTTGCAAGATTTTACAACTCCAGATGTCAAAGTAAATAAAAGCTTGTAGATAGCTTTACAAAGAAAAGAAAGATTTATGAAGAAAATAAAAAGTACTGTCTACGATACATTTGTTAGGCCGTGTTGCACCGTCTTACTTTAACATTCTGTCTAACATAAAACACCGGTTATTATCAGTTAGGGTCAAAGTTAGGTGGTGCATCTCAGCCTTAGTGTATTTTAATTAAATTTAATACAAATAAGGATGACGAAAATAATCGATAAGTGATCTCACTCGAATATTTCTTATAGTAGGTATAAAATAGTGAGTGGTTTGTTTACTATATGGAAGTTTAAATAGTTTCAATGAAGATTTGATAAGAAATTGCGATATAAAAGTATGTTCCGTTATTAAATTTATGTTTTTTTCTGGAAATATACCCATGGGGCAGATTTGAACGAAATGGTTGGGGCACCTTTGAACTTTATAAATTTTCTTTTTTAAGTGGTATTATGAAACCTTAAGTTTTCTAATACTTCGTAGAAGGTTTTTACATAAAAAATAAGCAGATTGCTTTACTGTGACAGATAAAATTTCAAGCTGGATGAAGTCCGGGCAAAAGCTAGTTTTAGTAGTTGATTGATATTTTTTAAATTATGCAGTTTTGTCTTTGATGTGTCATTAAACAGAAAGTTTATTAGTATTTAGTTAATTGATATATCTTATATTTACTTTTTTTTAAATAATATCCCTAAGTTTTGTGTTACTTTGTACAGAGTGATGTAAAATAAAATAAACATGTTAAATTGATCCCAAATGACACGGGATCATTTAAAATTTTGTTTATTAATTATTTTAAAAATACACATTCATAAATATTCAGTTTTATTTCATTGAAAAAAATACTAATTCAAAACTGCCCCAGGCGTGTTCAAGGCTGCCCCGACTACGGGGCAGTTTTGAACATTTACACGTCTGTGCAAAAATCTAAATATCTTAATAAGCGTTCATGAATAATTAAGAAGAACATCATTATTTTGTTGTGTGATAACCATGACCTCTATCTAGGAAGAAAAAATTAATGAAATCGTTCAAATTTTGAAGATATTTAATAAAGTATGAAAATTGTTCAAAGCTGCCCCCCTCTCCCCTACCTGGACATTGAAATATAGCGAGGGAGAATGATATGAACCTCCTCTGTTGCAAATTGTCTGTGGTACTTTAAGAATGATACAAGTGACATCTTTGTGGAAAATATCTTGATCTTATAATAACAGAAATGTAGCTCATTTATTAAGTTGAATAAAGCCTAGTTTCTGAAGGCCGTATCTTTTCATTTGTAACAGCTATAAAATATTTTCCCACATGTTCTGTGATGCGCAAACAGCGCAAAAGACCGATTTCAAAAGTCAATGTCAAAACAAACAAGACAGAAGTCTACTTAGTCACATTAAATAAATTGACCTTGTAACCCTACAATGTCTACATTCCCCTTTACAATAAAGTTTATTTTACAATTGTCATACAAAACATCACATTGCTCCTTTATAGTACATAGGTATTCAAGGTCATCGTTTGTATACCTACCTGCTAGTACTTATGTAATTTAGAATTAAGAATCAAGTTGGCGATGACTTCAACACAAATCAGCGGTTTAACTTCCTGCTCATAACAGTTTTATCAACTTTAGTCGGTTATTGAGGCTCGTATCGTGACTGCGAATGGTCGTAGAGATAGTCTGAAATAGGCACTTATCAATAAATGTAATCAATATTAAATGGATCAAACTATTTAGTGCGTTACACCGCAGTCTGTTGAGCAGCCGTCTCATTTATTTATTGCAAATAAATAATTTATACAGTTTCACTTTTATATTAATTTTAATAATAATAGTGCTGTTTGAAGTGATCGTTTATAATTTTCATGTTTTTAATTTATCAGAGTAGTTTATTGTGTTAAGAGTTTTGCAATTGACTAAAATGGAACTACGTCAAAGAAAGGTAAGAATTATTCAAGATACTTGTATCTGTAAGAATCTATTGTTTTTTTTGCATTAGTTTTGAATGTAAATTTAGAGGTTAACTAGGTATAACCATTTTTGACATTAAATTTAATTTATACCTTAGAAACAATTTTGATACATACCTTTTGTTTCTCCCAAATCACTGTAACTTAACAAAACAAGATAGATTTTATGCTAGCTAGTTTTTGTAAGTTGTTTCTTTCCCTATTTTTTATTTTCATAAATATCCGAAGTTTGTCCGAACCGTATTTTGCATCAAAAATAACGCTATAAAATTAAGATGCATTGAACGCAGCAATTAATAACCGGAACTGGAAGTCCTATGCTGATTCAAACTACGACATTGTTGCCTACGAATAAAAAGAAGTTTATTTGGCACAATACGGGCACAATGCAATACGGGAATACCTATCTTGAGGCTTCATTTTTCGCGAGAAGGATGCTGTTTCGTCATTACTAAACATAATCTAGCATGGTTTTTTTTAAAATAAAGTTTACAAAAAATCCGTAGGCACAAAGACTATTTTCCTTACGGCTCTTGTTATGTGTCACTGTCACTCGCGGTTTTTTTTTCACATCCGATCCGTCATTGTGTGACAGCAGAAATCAAATCAAGAAGAAATGTCACACAACAGAGAGAGATTTTGTACATTTCAATGTTTTTGAAAATCTTAATTCTATAAAATTTATGTAAAAAATTAAGTTTGTATTAAAATATACTTATTGTTTGTATGGAGAATAATGGATAGTGTGTCGTGCGGTTGTGATGTTTAAGCGTAATGGGAAAATTCAGCACTTATAGGTATTTAGAGGTAAGATGTTATAAAATTTGGATTTTCTTGTTTTCTGTGAATTAAAAAATACTTTTAGTATGTTATGAATTAAGAATACAGGTGAAAGTAACCTGGGACATCGTCTATACATGTTAACAAACATATCTATTTCTATTTATAAAAATAACCCAAGCAGTGTACCTACAACCTGCATGTGCCTACTTTTGTGGTGATAATAATTTTAGGAATTATTATTTAGCTTGATATAGTTCTGCACAATGGAATTAACTTACTAGTCCCTTAACACTTCTGGTAATTCCTTAGAGCCTCTATACCTTATAAAATGTATTGTAATTATGCTAACATTGGGCCTTCTTCCTAATCCATCTGGCCAGAGTGGGGAGTGTAGCCAAGTCCTCCATCCTCTAGTAAAATAGAGAATATTGTGCTCCTGCAGTGGAGACTAAATAATGATGATATACCTCATACAATTTTATTTTATTTTTTAAAGCAGTGTTTTTCAACCATTTTCATGACACGACCCCCCTAGTATGAAAAAATATTTGGCGACCCCCCGACCGTTCGCTTTCTTTTTCATGCATTTTATAAAGTTACAAAAATGATTGTAGGGACCGAATACCTCAATCCATACAAAATTTTAATGCATTTGCATAATTAAATTTTGGATAAATCTGCCTTTATAACTAACTAGCTGACCCGGCGAACTTCGTACCGCCTTAGCGTAGAGATTTTCTTTATATTTTTTTCCGTAAAAACCTTGTACAGAGTATTAGAAAACTACAAAAAAAAATCAGCCAAATCGGTCAAGCCGTTTTCATGTTATGTCGTGACAAAGGAAAACGGGTTTCATTTTTATATATACAGTCAAACCTGGATAAGTGAGAACTGGATAAGTGAGAAAACTCTATAAGTGAGAGTAATAGCCAGGACCCGTCATTTTAAGCTCCCAAAACCTCTATTAGCGAGAAACAGAAACCTCTGTAAGAGAGAGTCGTTTTTCCCTCATAGACCTCCGTAAGTGAGACTGCTACTTATCTATACCTCTATAAGCGACAGTCGAGCTTTATTTACAAATTTAACATGTGCTATTTTATGACTCATTCTTAACTTTCGTGGAACTTCCTACCATTGTTTTTGTATTCTTGTCAATATTGTTCCTATTCTATTTCGTGGAACTAAATACATATAACTTTATTGTTGTTATTTTATCGCATTCTTTTCAAATGGACACGTGTGACCCCTATAAGAGAGAAATGCTACCCATGTACCTGCATTAGCGAGAAACTCGGGTTAGTGAGAAACCTCTATAAGCGAGAATGAGATTGTGCTCCCTTGAACTCTCGCTTATCCAGGTTTGACTGTATAGATTATTTTTTACTGATGTAGTTTTTACGACCTCTCGCGACCCCTATGGAGGCTTCGCGACCCCCCAGGGGGTCGCGACCCACAGGTTGAAAACCACTGTTTTAAAGCATTAGAAAATTAACAATGCTACATGAACAATATTACTGCTTCATCATCATCATCATTTCAGCCATTGGACATCGACTGCTGAACATAGGCCTCCCCCAATGGTAGCAGCCTGCTTCCAGCGCCTTCCTGCTACCTTTATCAGGTCGTCGGTCCACCTCGTGGCTGGTTGTATTACTTAGAAACATTACCAGTTTAACTACAGTTAACTAATAATAAGCATAATAAAGATAACCACTTCATGCGCTGAAGACAGTAGCTAGGTACTAAATGTAATAATAGACAAATAAAATCACCGGCTTAACAGCTGCCTGAAGCACGAAGTTGTCGTTTGCTGGAATACATAATGAATGTAATGTGTGTGGTAACCATGGTTTGAATCATTAAACTTGACTGTATTGTACAATTTTTAAACAAAATCTTTCTCATTACTGACCCACATCAGACGATACATTTTTGTTTTATAATAGTTTTTTTGCAACTATAGTAGAACGCCGATTCTCCGAACGCCGCTTAACCGAATCGCCATTTATTCGAATTGGTCCTAAGCGTGATATAAAAAATTAAAACCAAGTACTTTTTTATTGTTTTGCCATAACAAGTTGGAACTCGCTGGAGTCCTGATATATTTCAACTGAGCGTTATTGTAGAACTGTGTTTGACTGTTTTTAGGGTTCCGTACCTCAAAAGGAAAAAACGGAACCCTTATAGGATCACTTTGTTGTCCGTTTGTCCGTCCGTCCGTCCGTCTGTCAAGACCCTTTTTCTCAGGAACGCGTGGAGGTATGAAGCTGAAATTTATATCAATTACTCAGGTCTACTGTCCCTTGAAGCTGTGAAAAAATCAAACTTCTAAGCCAACGCAATCAAAAGATACAGCCGTTTATGCCGCAAATTTTCGACACTTGCAAGGGAATCAAAACCTACAGGGTGCTTCCCGTGAACTCAGAATCTTGAAATTTGGTACGAAGCAACGTCTTATAGCATAGATAAAGGAAAAATTACGAAAACCATAAATTTTTAGTTACATCGCATAATATATATTTTTTTAATAATTTTAAACTTACTACCCATTTCCTCATAAACGCGTAGAGGTATTAAATTGAAATTCATACCAAATACTCAGGTCTATAATACCTTTAAGCTGTAACAAAATCAAACTTCTATGTCAACGCAATCAAAAGAAACAGCAATTTAAGCTGCATATTTTGAAACTCGCAAGTACTCGCAAGGGAATCAAAACCTAAAGGGTACTTCCAGTCGACCTAGAATCTTGAAATTTGGCATGAAGCAACGTTTTATAGCACACATAAAGGAAAAATTCCGAAAACCTTAAATTTTTAGTTACATTACAAAATATATATTTTTTAATAAATATAAACTTATTACTTTTTTCCTCATGAACGCGTAGAGCTATCAAGTTGAAATTCATATCAAATACTATAAAATAAAGGATTACTTAAACGATAAAGAGATCTTTGTCTTAAATTTATGCTCCTCCATCTTTCCCCATTGTAATGTTATGAATTTCATTTTGCAATAAAAATACCATAGTTATGACTCGATTGTCGTAATGAACGAACTTTGTAAACCTTGCAGGTTTGTACGGAACCCTCGGTGCGCGAGTCCGACTCGCACTTGGCCGGTTTTTCTTTATTACCAGGCTGTGTCCGATTATCCGAATCGACTCTCCGGTCCCAATTAATTCGGATAATCGGTGTTCTACTGTGTTTATTATCACAGCCTTTATTTTATTTGAACAATGTTTCAACAGTTTAGTTTGATATTGTCCTTCAACAGTTTAGTTTCTGTCATTTCAAGTAGTTTCTTATCTGATAACTGCTGCTGCTATCTCTAGAGTATGATTTAACTGTCCTGATTTAATTTCTCTTAACTCTTAATTCATGTTTTTTTTTGGTAACAACCCCTTCATAATCAACACTAACACCACATTTCTGCTATTACTTAAGTTGGCTTATGTGGAGAGGTGATTATTGAAATCTATGGCATAGTTTTTCGGAGATTTGTTACCGGCCGTGGCGTATTATTGTAGTTGCTTAAGATTAGAACTTAAAGTTCTAATTCTAAGTAGGAATCAATATCAAACTATTTATTTTATTTTATAAATAATTGGCTTTCGCTAAAACTCTTGGGGGCGCCCGTAAGCGGTTCAATATCGAATATTAGTATGAGTAATGCTCGCAGGTGCACCCGCGCGAAAATTGTAAAATCAAATAAGCGAAGGCCCTTAATACCTCACTAAAGTCCGGTCGCCGAGCAGATAGAATCTCGTACAATGAACCCATGCTACCCATCCTTATCACTCGCGCGTAATTATATTTCTGTCGCGCTCGTACACTCACTGCACCCGTCGCATAGTCACCATGATAAGGATGGGTAGCTTGGGGTCTTTGTACGAAATTCTATCTGCTTGGCGACCGAACTTTTTACCTTTTACCAACTTTTTTACTAACTAATCCTTCATATTCTTTCCAGTTGAAAGATGAGACCGCCGCGCCTCCGCCACAGACCAGCTCAAGGAGAGTTATAACGCAGCCACGACGGCTGAAGAAGGTGTTCTTCCTACTATTGGTAGTGGTGCTGGTAGTCACTTATTTAACGGGTAAGTCAGCTACATTTATATTGCTAAGGCCTGATTTTTTGTCGGATAACTTTTTACTGAAGAATAAGTTTGGCACATTGACAGTTTCTATATGGAAAATATGTCAAAATGGCAAGTTTGTTCTTTAGTTAAAAGATAACTGACGATAGAAAAATCGGCCCTAACCCCCTTTAATAAAGAGTTACACCTAGGATGAACTTTTGAATTTAAGCCAGAGTTCAACTAGGGTGTAACTTTTATTAATAAAGGGTAAGAGTACAGAAAACAAGAACAATATATGAGTTTGAAGATATTACGGTCTTAAAAAATTCGCAATTTTGGCGAAAAAAAATGGACACCAGTAACAAAGACTTGATAAGTTATTAACTTTTTCTTGAAGATAGTTTTCTTTCTTTTCAAATATAAAGTAATGTTTTTGTTTGGAAAAAAATATATCTACAGTATTATGAGTAGGTCCTTTCCCTTCAGGTGGCATTACAGAATTCCACCCTGTAAAGGTGTCGGACTAGTATACTCGTGATCCGAGGAACGCGGGTTCGATTCCCGCCGTGGACTATGGTGAACCCACTCGTAACACAAGCATATTTAGCTTACCACGAGGGGTTAACGGGACTGTCAAGCTTCCAGCTTGAATCGAGTTTCTTTTTATCATTAATACGGGCCTAAGAATCCGATCCGGCCGCGTATCGGAAAACGCAGCGTGGAACGTCCACCCACAAGGTGGACCGACGACATCATAAAGGTAGCAGGGAAGCGCTGGACGCAGGCCGCTACCAATCGATCAACATGGAAAGCATTGGGGGAGGCCTATGTTCAGCAGTGGACGTCCTATGGCTGAGATGATGATGACGATGAAGAATCCGATCCATTTCCATTGTAACTATTGGAGTAATTACTCAACCAAATTAGTCATGATTTGTTCTAGTAGTCACCACAATCTTGGTTCAGCAAGCATTAGGTCACGCGCGGGACGAAATGTCTTTACTAGTATTATTTACTGTAATGTCATGATAATAATTCCTTTGAACACTAGATACAGTCAGATAAATTAATAAGTTGGATTTTTTGATAAAAAATGTTAGTTACGTTACAAGATACTTTAAAAATAATTCTTTAAAAATTCTAAAGTAAAGCAATACAACTTTCAAATGTAACATACTAAGTGAACTGGATAAGGAAAAAATGAAGGAGAATTTATGAGACATTAAAATTGAAAATCGTGAAAGACTTCATAACCCGTATAGCAATTCGTAGCATAGTAACAATTTGTGTTGTTGAAATTAAAATTCTAAAACGTAATCATAGGGGTTTGAGATAGTTACATACATCGTTTCTATTCTATGTTTTGGTATACTCTATCGGTATTTATTGATTTATTTGGGTCATTTAAATTTAAAATCTGTCTATGCTACAAACATACGTACTATACTACAAACATAGTATAAAACAAAGTCGTTTTCCGCTGTCTGTCCCTATGTATGCGTAGATCTTTAAAACTACGCAACGGATTTTGATGCGGTTTTTTAATAGATAGAGTGATGCAAGAGGAAGTTTTATGTATACTTAGCACCCGTGCGAAGCCGGGGCAGGTCGCTAGTTTATCATAAAGAAACTACTTAGTTCTGGTCTCAACGAATGTCTGAGTTCTAATTACGTAAATGTCTATGTCGAACCGTGAAATTATTTCACAAAACATTGAATTTGCATGTACGTGTTTAACCGGCAAATAGAACGGACCGTACAGTTCCAATAAAGAGAGAAAGAGTAGGCTCTAAGCGTTAATTTGATGAAACTTTTTTTTCATTAGAGGCCAAAAAAGTCAGTTCTGTCGAATGGCACTGAGACATCACTATAATTACCGTTTTATTAGAAACGATAAAGTAGAAAAGAGGGAATAATTACTTCTCCTATTAATTTTTCAATTCATAATAATTATGGAAATGTTTTTGAGATTTCGTTGTTCGACGCACAAGATTTTTGTCGTATATGAATATGAAAACTACGAATTTTTAAGTGCTTTATTAGCTAATTTGCCATTGGGCAAATGAAGGATGTGGCCTATACCTACTCGCCAATAGCTTAATGCCTTTAGATTATTTATTTATTTATATAATTCACTGTGGCCTTACAGTTTTACCCAAAACGTCCATCAGCGACAGAAGTACATAATACACGATTTACATACCATACATTTGACGAATATTATATCAAATACCATGACAGTTTATTCGAGCGAGCCTACTCTTTTTTTTGTCTAGTTTAGTGTAGCCTAAAATCTGTCATTGTTATTTCTCGTATTGTAATTTTTAAAATGAAAAGACGTCCTTAACATAAATTATTAAATTAACTAGTGAAAATCTAGCGGCGTCTGTTTCTAGGTCATAATTTCTCAAACATTCTTCAGCAGGGGCTCATGCCACACATACATAAGTTTTACGGATTTAGCTATAAAATAAAAAGAAAGAAAAGCATTTTTTTTATGTATTATATTATTTAATATAAAAAATTGCACAAACCTTTTGACTGACTTAGTACATAAATTACAACATTTTGTAAATATTAAATTTTCTTTTTTTATGATGTAGGTATTTGTTCAATAGGAAGTACCCATCTAATTTTAATACCATAACGTATAAATCTGTAAGGTGCTGAAAAAAGTTTTTTCCTGCCTTTGTTCTGTTTATTAGTTAAAGAAACGCCTGCCTCGCTATTATAGGTTACAAAACACATAATATTTTAAGTTACAAAATCAAAATCATCAAAATGAAAATAAAAAATATTTTATTCAATTTAGACCACAAGTGGCACTTATGTACTTCGAAATATAGTAAATAAAAAAAAGGTAGCCCTTTTATAACTTTACTTTACACTCTCTTAGTGATCGAGATCGTAAAAAATATTTTACGATCACTCAACACCGGACTTGTAATTGAAATCCAAGTTATATTTGTTTGTTCTCCCGCTATGCGCTCGCGCATGTTCATTGTTTGGGAGTTATTGGCAATAATAACATTCACTGGACTGTTACTCAGATCAAGTTACGGGCTTGTAGTTGTAACTTGACCGTTGTCGTTTACACTCAGTATAGCATTGTCTTTTAAACTGACAAGGTTTCAAATAAGTTCTGTGTGTGTATTACTGATATCTACTCGATTTTCTGACGAAAATGTTGTAATGTTTTGTGTTTGTGGTCATATTTGGTACTTGATAGTAAGTTGAGAAGTTTTCTTAGTGGTGTGAAGTGAGATGGCAAACGCAACGGTAATAGCGCGCACGCTTCCAGTATTGATAACTGGTAGGTTTAAGTTAAGTAATATAGTGCAGCGATCGACAACCGTTTTTCTGGCAAGGGCTACAAGATGGTGGCAAAATAAAACTAAAGTGAACTTTGAAGTTGTGACCAACCCTGCACTTGTGTAGGCCCGGTTTCTACCAAGATTTGTGTACATTAGCCTATTTGTAGGACTATGAAAGTAATTGATTAAATTCATCCCTGTATCACTTGAATTATAGGCCTAAACTAAGTAGAGTTACTTTACGTAGTAATAAAAAGAAGAAAGAAAGAAAGAAAAATAGTTTATTTGGTTCAAACAACGTTTTACACAATTTAAATAACATAAATAATTTATTGAACCAAAATGGCTCCTACTCAGCTTGTACATCCAACAGAATACCAGCATTCATGTTCTAAATGGAACATGAATGCTGGTATTCTGTAGGATTACTTCAATTGAAGTTAATTTAATGTAGGTCTGTTTATTCGTTGATATTCGGGACTTGTTTGTACTTATCGTACTATCACCGTGCCTAACCGGGATTCGTATGTGAGTTTCCAGGTGGTTATTAATAAATATAAATATCAGAAATATTTTTATGAAAATTAGTTTCTTCCACGTCATTATTCACTAAAAATTAAGAAGTCTGTAGTGACATTTGATAAATTGCTTCCGACTGTACGCTGCTATCAAACAAATATTTGATATCTTCATGCAGCGGTGCATAAAAGCTTCTAGTCTTCCTACATCTTGTTCTCAGATACAATCGTATTCCTTACTTGAATTTTATTTAAGTTTATGTGGTTTACTGGTGTCCATTTTCTTTTAATGTCCATATAATTTCAAAAAAGTTTCCAACCTAACAGTCCTTAACAAAAAAAAATTGCTACATAATCTGTGGATCGAAAAAGCGCGCGCATTTTTTGACATTGACAATGCACACGGCACTGGCTTTCATGTTATTTATCCTGGGCGCATGTCTCATAGGTCTGTTCGCGGGGCAGTCGCAATGGCTGGACGGCATCGCGAAGACTTTGGGGTACCAGAGCGTCCACCATTATGCTGTGATCATAGACGCCGGGTCCTCAGGGTCGAGGGTTCTGGCGTACAGATTCAGGGTGCCGTTCACAGGTGAGTTTTATTTAAAAATAAGAAATTGCATATTTATTCCGTTAGACCGACGACACCATAAAGGTAGCAGGAAAGCGCTGGACGCAGGCCGCTACCAACCGGGCAACATGGAAAGCATTGGGGGAGGCCTATGTTCAGCAGTGGACGTCCTATGGCTGAGATGATGATGATGATGATGATGATGATTCCGTTAGAGCTCAATCCAATTTGTTGGCCCAGTTACACTATGCGAGAAATTTATCGAGACCTATCAGTGTAAGTTAACAAGCACTTTAGTTAGTTTCGCCGTGCGTTGCACATACTTCGGTGTGCACTGTGCGTGCTCGCGTTTCGTCTCGGTCAATTTCCCTCATAGTGTAACTGCGCCATGAGGCGAATATAGCCCAAAAGTGTCAGCATCGGATTTCGGGTTCGACGATCCGTAGTTCGAACCCCGTTGACCGTTGGATCATTGTGAGTGAACCCATTCCTAACACAATCATTTAAAAAGGTTATTAGAGGGGTTTTAACTCAATAGGGTAGTCTGGATATGCGTTGTTACAGGGTACGGTTGTAACTACACGAATGTTATCGAGCAATAGTCTATAATTGTGGGGTACAAAGAGAAGGGCATGCGGGCGACAAATCCATACAGAGTTGTTACAACTGTACTCTGTTACAACTGTACCCTGTTACAACTGTACCCTGTTACAATTGTACCCTGTTACAACTGTACCCTGTTACAACCGTACCCAGTCTCCCCTAGATGAAAATAAATCTGGTTCACTTTATTCACATAAGTTTTTCTTTCCAGTATTTGGCGATAAAGACATAGATTTAGCTGAAGAGTATTTCGAGCAATTAAAGCCTGGCTTGTCGTCTTTTGCCGATGAACCTGCAAAGGTATGCTGTTTTATCTTTTATTTCATGAATTTAAACTTTGCATAATATTTAAATTCAGTATCAGAACTCAGAAACCAGAACGTAGAAAATTAAATGATTAATTACATGAATCGTATAAAATTATTCTTTTTGATATAACGATTTAATGTGGCAAACTAGAGTTACTCGAGAAAAAATATATTAAAAAATTTTATTTTACCAATAAATAAAAACTTATGGCAACAATAATTTATATTGGTGCAAAGATTATCTTTGATCTTGCTTGAATAAAAACCTTTTTAAAGAACCGAAATTTTTCTTTTTTTTTGTCTTAGGGTGCGGCCACAATAGTGAAGCTGATAGAGTCAGCTCAGTTCCTCATACCGGAGGAGAAGCGACGCGACACGCCCCTTTTAGTTCGAGCTACCGCGGGCCTTCGGTTGCTGCCCAAAGAGAAGGCACAGCAGCTGTTAGATGAAGTTAGGGACGCTATTTGTAGGTGAGTACCTTAGAATGTTGTTCTGACCAAGCAGGGACGCCATGTCTATAGTCTGGTCTGTGAGCACGTAGAATTTTGTCCAATGACCCCAAGCTACCCATCCTTATCGCTCGCGCGTAATTATATTGCTGTCGCGACTGTGCGACGGGCGCCCGCAGTGAGTGTGCGGAAATTCTACGTGCTCACAGACCGGGCTTTAGATGAGTGCTGGCGCGCTTATTGTCCAGAAGGAAACGGATTCTTAACGGTACCTAACCTCGTTTCGGTGAACGTCTCTCTGCTTGACGTACTAACGCCTTCAAGAATAAATAAAGATAGAAAAGAAGATAGCTTGCAGTGGCTGAATGAAAAAAAAAGGGAAGATCGTATTTTATGTCGTTATTTGGAGGAGGCTTACCTCCTTTTTCTGGAGGAGAAGCGACGCGAGACGCCACTCTTAGTTCGAGCTACCGCGGGCCTTCGGTTGCTGCCCAAAGAGAAGGCACAGCAGCTGTTAGATGAAGTTAGGGACGCTATTTGTAGGTGAGTACCTTAGAATGTTGTTCTGACCAAGCAGGGACGCCATATCTATAGTCTGGTCTGTGAGCACGTAGAATTTGGTCCAATGACCCCAAGCTACCCATCCTTATCGCTCGCGCGTAATTATATTGCTGTCGCGACTGTGCGACTGGCACCCGCAGTGAGTGTGCGGAAATTCTACGTGCTCACAGACCGGGCTTTAGATGAGTGCTGGCCCGCTAATTGTCCAGAAAGAAACGGATTCTTAACGGAGACCACGTTTCGGTGAACGTTTTTCTGCTCGACGGACTGAGGTCTTGAAGAATAAATAAAGATAGAAAAAGAAGGTAGCTTGCAGTGGCTGAATGAAAAAAGGGAAGATCGTATTTTATGTCGTTCTTTGGAGGCTTCCCTCTTTTTTCTGGAGGAGAAACGACGCGACACGCCCCTCTTAGTTCGAGCCACCGCGGGCCTTCGGTTGCTGCCCAAAGAGAAGGCAACAGCAGCTGTTAGATGAAGTTAGGGATGCTATTTGTAGGTAAGTACCTTAGAATGTTGTTCTGACCAAGCAGGGACGCCATGTCTAAAGATGAGTATTGCCCGCTTATTGCCCAGAAGGAAACGGATTCTTAACGGAGACCACGTTTCTGTGAACGTCTCTCTGCTTGACGTACGAGGGCTGCACTAAAAGTATCGGGAATGGAATATTTCCACTGTTCCTATCATTTAAAATCTTTTTAATTGCAAACTCCTGGGTTTTAAAAATTGAATACCATTTATTTATTTAAAAAAAANGGAGAATATTTTAAAAAGCAATAAATACATTTTTAAATAGTAATGTTGTTTCACTTCCTTGATTCCCGAAATTTTCAGTGCCGCCCTCGTACTAACGCCTTCAAGAAAGATAGTAAAAGAAGGTAGCTTGCAGTGGCTGAATGAATAAAGGGAAGATCGTGTTTTATGTCGTTCTTTGGAGGAGGCTTCCCTCCTTTTTCTGGAGGAGAAGCGACGCGACACGCCCCTTTTAGTTCGAGCCACTGCTGGGCTTCGGTTGCTGCCCAAAGAGATGGCACAGCAGTTGCTGGATGAAGTTAGGGACGCTATTTGTAGGTGAGTACTTTAAGGGTAGATACAGAATCATCATCAGGTCATTTGGTGTTCACTGCAGGAGTACGACCCTCGAAGTTTCTAGTGGCATATGTAGGATTTGGCCTACACTCTTCTGAAGGATAGAGAACAAAATGTAGAACAGATATAGCGTAAACGGATTTTTAAACATTCTGGGAGTGGGTAGTCAATGCGAAAAAACGCTCAACGGTTGGAATGTGCAGCTGTCAAAATGTCCATACGGACCGGCTGTTAGTGTGGCAAAAAGTATGAACGTCAAAAAGTCCCAGTGTCAAAATGTACATTATTACCATGGTTACAATGGTTTAGGGGCCATCCATAAAGTACGTCACACGAATTTCATGATTTTTTGACCCCTCCCCCGTCCTTGTCACAGGTGGTCACATTTCTGAGACCCCCCCCTCCCTAGTGTGATGTCACATGTTTTGCAATTTCACATCGAAAAATTATTAAATTAACAAAAAATAGCAACAAATAGAAACAATAAAATCACGCGCGAGGTACGGTGCATTTGGCGGCATTATAGGCCAGTAGAATTAGATTTTAAATCTGAAATAATTCCTACAAAAGATTTTATTGATTTAATGGCTTCATTGATTGCCCATTAAAACTCTCCTAGGTTTTCGACTTCGACGGAGTTGTGCTTAAGTGGTGGGGGTATTTTTTAGTTTAATTTATTTATTTCAAATTACGCGATTAGTAAGTACCTCTAGAAATGTGATGTCACGAAACTTAGGACCCCTCCCACCCCTTGTCACACCTTGTCACACTTTGTCGACACCCTCCCCCCCTCTTTACGTGTGACGTACTTTATGGATGATCCCTTAGTGACAAATGGTACACATCACAAAATACAAGTACAACAAAAGGTGTGATAGATAAAATGATCAACTGATATATTGTGCTCATGATTTAATTAATAAAATTAAATGTCAAAATGTTCAATGTTCTTGTAGTCCAGCCAATAAAGATATTTTGGACATTTTTACCTTGATGCATTTAAACACGTGTTCACGTTAGCTATTATACAATAAGACGCTTGTTCGAATAAACCCGAAGACATTTTAACTTCAGATCATTTTAACCATTGCTCATTTCGACGTTCATACTTTTTGCCACACTAACAGCCGGTCCGTATAGACATTTTGACACCTGCACATTCCAACCGTTGAGCGTTTTTTCGTATTGACTACCCACTCCCAGAATGCAATTTGGCCTACACTCTACAGAAGGATAGAAAACAAAATGTAGAACAGATATAGCGTAAACGGATTTTGAAAGACCACGTTTAGGCAAACTTCCCATTCGATGGACTGACTGACTGCATGAAGATAGTTGACAGCCGGTTGGATGGAAATACCACATCTAAAATAACATCAGTAGGCCTAATCTTAATGCGCGCCGTGATAACTTTTATCGACGTCTAAGTGTATGGGCAAAATCGATAAAATGGCGTGATAACCGCTTATCGCGGCGCACATCTTAGGCCTGCAGTAGACGGTAATACTCATATCGATTATAAACATTTATCAAAGAAGATTACCGTCAATTAACGTCGTGATTTGTTGTTTACTTCCAGATTAGGCTTCGATAAGGTGAACAATGATAGCGTGCAGATTATGGACGGCTCAGACGAAGGAATCTTCATTTGGTACACTTTGAATCTCTTACATGGTGAGTACCTATGCAGTCTGTCAGGTATAGTCTGGTCCGTGAGCACGTAGAATTTTGTCCGATGACCCCAAGCTACCCATTCTTATCGGTCGCGCGTAATTATGTTGCTGTCGCGCTCGCACACTCACTGCGGGCGCCCGTCGAACAGTCGCGACGATAAGGATGGGTCGTGCTTTGTGTGGTTCCCTTGGGGAGGCTTATGTCCGAGGACTGCCATGGATTTAAATGATAATGACGATCTCGTATATTATGGATTTGATGTGTTTTACTTTTTAACTACAACAAAAAAGCTCTGGAGGTTCACGCATCGCGCATCATTACGTTCACTCCTCGCCCAATGTACGTGCGTCTCTACTGGCCTCCATAGAGGAAGTGCGTACGGCACTAGCGCGTCCCCGGCCATCTTGTTACCGACTCTCTCGAGCGCGCCGCTCACTATTTTCTATTTTAAAATGTAAATATACCTTAACGTAGTTGTCAAGATTACACTAATCCTTAGTAAAAACTTCTCATAAAATCCTTAACACTGGAGTTGCAGTGATGTTTATCGTCAGTATCTGATGTTCGTTCGTTCGTTCGTTTCAGCCAAATGACGTCCACTGCTGGACAAAGGCCTCCCCCAAGGTTTTCCACAATGAACGGTCCTGCGCTGCCCGCATCCAGGCTCTTCCCGCGACCTTTACCAGAACGTCGGTCCACCTAGTAGGAGGCCTGCCCACGCTACGTCTTCCATCCCGTGGTCGCCACTCGAGAAATTTCCTGCCCCAACGGCCATCGTCTCTACGAGCTATGTGCCCCGCCCACTGCCACTTGATTTTAGCAATTCTGCGAGCTATGTCGGTTACTTTGGTTCTCCTCCAGTATCTGATGTATAGCCTGACCAGGAACATAAAAACCCTGGCATAGAGGCGCCTCAATTGCATTTGATAGTGCAACACTGAGTACAGTCGTACCTGTGTTAAATTAATAGGCTAACTTTATGTATCAGGATTCAGGATTACGGGCTAATTTGATATTTTCATAAATTAACGAAAAAATATTATTATAGGTAACCTGATTTAAATAAATTAAATGAAACCATCAATCGAGCTAGTAGATTTATTTTATTATTCATCAATAATCAAATTCAGAACTTGAATATTCAACTGCAATGTCTGCTCATGAACGCTTCAAACTCGGTACTTCTTTCCCAATCCCATAAAATTCAACACTTAGAAAGTGACAAAATTTTTAAAATAGGTAGTTGAAACAAACCACAGCTAATTTTCATAGTGGACTGTACTATACGATAAACATGTCAGTCAATTTGACAACCTTTGTCGGAAACATTATTCAATGAAAATATTGTCCGAACCCTTAGTATTTCTCTTCGACAAATACTTTAACACATTGTGAACCACTTTTCTTTCACGACTATAAAAATATTTTAGCAATTTAATTCATAAAACCAATTGCGCACATTTAAAATAAAGTTTGTTTACACTTTGACAGCAATAGACTGACATGCAAGGTGACATGTCAATGAAGTTTTCAGTTACTGTTGCCATTAAAAGAAATTAGTACCATTAGTTTTCCGCAACATGGCGAGGGTTTTTATGTTCCTGGTCAGGCTATAAAGTGGATATTTGTCAGACTCAATGGGCGGGTCGACGATGGCGGCGCTCGACCTCGGCGGGGGCTCCACACAAATAACGTACGCGCTGCCCGAGCACGAGCGCGCCCGCTACCCCGCGCGCGACCAGCACGCCGTGGCCGCGGGAAGCGCCAACATCTCGCTCTACACGCACAGGTATGATGTACCCTGATATACAGGTGCGGGTACAACGTACCCTGCTCTATACGCAATAGGTACGGTGTACCCTGCTCTACATGCATAGGTACGGTGTACCCTGCTTTAATAGCACAGGTAGGGTGTACCCTGTTTTACAAGGATAGGTACAATGTACCCTGCTTTACATGCACAGGTACGATTTAACCTGCTCTTTACACGCACAGATATGACGTACCCAGCTACACAAGCGCGGGTACAATGTACCTTGTTATACACGCATAGGTACGGTGTATCCTGCCTTGCACGCACAGGTATGATGCACTCTGTTTTACGTGCATAGGTACGACGTACCCTGCTTTACACGCATAGGTGCGCTGTACCCTGCGTTACACGCATAGGTATGATGTACCCTGCTTTACACGCATAGGTACGGTGTATCCTGCCTTACACGCATATGTATGATGTTTCTTTGATCAGTGTGACACGTTTACGCACAGGTATAAATAAAGCAGGTGAGAGACGACAAAACTTACAGCTCGGCTATAGATGGCGCTTTTATGATTAAAAGGTTTTTTTGTTATTTTCAATATCTTAATATTAAGTTGTTTTTAATTCTAAAACGGTCTTTTATTTCTGTCAATTTTTTTAATCATTATTGACCTGTATCTTTTTCTATTCCAGCTACCTAAACTTAGGTTTGCTGGCAGCTAGATACGGCATCTTCCGACTAGAGCACAGCAGTCGCGGCGGTGCTGACAATACCACAGAGTTCACCTCCGTGTGTGTAGACCCTATCGTACAGAAGGAGAAGTGGACTTACGCCAATAAGCAGTATTTTGTTAGGTAAGTGGCGCTTTTAAACTTGATAAAATCTTTTTTTTTATCCACAACGAGGAAGCTCTTGGCCTGTATCTCACCTGATGGTAAGTGATGATCAGGCCGAAGGTGGAAGCGAGCTTCACCCGGAATCCTCAACCACGGAGGAACTGGCTATCTTACCTCTAACTGCCGGAACACAACAATGCTGTTAACATTGTTGTTATGGCGACAGACTTAGGTAAGATGGTGGTAGCTAGCCAGGCAGACTTGGAACAAGCCCTACCACCAACCAAACCGAACAGAAAATTCTGCCCCCACTGGGAATCGAACCCGGGTCCTCTGTGTCTGAAGCAGGTGGTCTAACCGGATGTGAACTCGCTAGCTTTCGCTTAACTTTGGGGACTAAGCTTTGGAGGTATGTAAACCTTCGTTTGATCAGTTATTTCAGATGAGACTAGAATATGTATTATTAGAGGCCGGTAGATCTATTCTCATAAATAAAACACTGGATACTTAACTTTCACAGTATATTGCCTTATTTTAGATAGAATTCATCACTTAGCACAAAAGCGCGCGGAGTCGTCTCCGCGCGTCCCTCTATTCTGACGTTTGATTCTCGTGTGACACTGACATAACGTCAATGTCACTATGACAGCAGCTCAATGGCTATAACGATACCGTTATTTTAACGTTTTATATTTTTCACAATCAACAGTATGTTGTTAAATCCCCACAATGTAATCTAACTAATGAAGTGACAAACCTTTTTCTGAGCAGTTAAACGCAACATTAATTTCATCAAAGTTACCTAAAATCGAATCATGTCTACGTAACTCGATTTTCGGGGCTTTCAAAGAAGCTGTGTCATGTAATTTATTGGTTATTCGTATCAACTACCCAATTAAAATTGAAGTAGTCTACTTCTTCGGTTTCGAGAATGGTCACGTCGATTGTAGAGGCGGATATAGCTCTCCGCGAAATCTCCCGCCTTTTCTCCCTGTTGGCAGACTGCCTGTTGCAGTTATCTACTAAAGCCTGGTCTGCGAGCACGTAGAATTTTGTCCAATGACCCCAAGCTACCCATCCTTATCGCTTGCGCGTAATTATATTGCTGTCGCGCTCGCACACTAACTGCGGGTGCCCGTCCCACAGTCGCGACAGCAATATAATTACGCGTGAGCGATAAGGATGGGTTAGCTTGGGGTCATTGGACAAAATTCTACGTGCTCACAGACCAGACTACAGTTCTCAATTTTTTTTCATTTCCATTCTAGCGGCGCTTCCCGCCAAGGCCTCAAACGGGACGCGGTATACAACCGCTGCCACGCGCTAGTCAGCCGCTACGTCAAGAACACGCTCGACTGGGAGCCGACGCAGCCGCCGCGAGGCAGCATCGCCGCCATGAGCTACTTCTACGACGTGGCCGCGGACATCGGCATGATCGGTGAGTGTATACACGCGCAGTATACACCGCGTGTGTATAGTGAGACGTCACACAGCCGCCACCAAGAACACGCTCGACTGGGAGCCGACGCAGCCGCCGCGAGGCAGCATCGCGGCGGTGAGTGAATACACCGCGCGCAGTATACACTGCGTGCAGTATACACTGCGTGCAGTATACACCGCGTGCAGTATACACCGCGTGCAGTATACACCGCGTGCCGTATACACCGCGCGCAGTATATACCGCGTGCAGTATACGTCACCTGCAGTATACATCACCTGCGGTATAAACCGCGTGCAGTATACGTCACGTGCAGTATACACCGCGTGTGTAAAATGAGACGCGGCGTCATACAGCCGCTACTGAAGAACACCTTCGTAACTTTTAACCCGCGTACGGGTTCACTTAGGTTTCGATCTCGCGTCATTCTAAAACTGCCCTTATTTTACTCAAAATTACTCATCTCAACGTGTATATCGTTCGTTGACGTGATGAAGGGTTCTTATTGTATAGCCTGACCAGGAACATAAAAACCCTGGCATAGAGGCGCGTCAATTGCATTTCATAGTGCAACACTGAGTACAGTCGTACCTGTGTTAAATTAATAGGCTAACTTTATGTATCAGGATTCAGGATTACGGGCTAATTTGATATTTTCATAAATTAACGAAAAAATATTATTATAGGTAACCTGGTTTAAATAAATTAAATGAAACCATCAATCGAGTTAGTAGGATTTATTTTATTATTCATCAATAATCAAATTCAGAACTTCAATATTCAACTGCAATGTCTGCTCATGAACGCTTCAAACTCGGTACTTCTTTCCCAATTCCATAATATTCAACACTTAGAAAGTGACAAAAAACTTTAAAATAGGTAGTTGAAACAAACCGCAGCTAATTTTCATAGTGGACTGTACTATACGATAAACATGTCAGTCAATTTGGCAACTTTTGTCGAAAACATTATTCAATGAAAATATTGTCCGAACCCTTAGTATTTCTCTTCGACAAATACTTTAACACATTGTGAACCACTTTTCTTTCACGACTATAAAAAGATTTTAGCAATTTAATTCACAAAATCAATTGCGCACATTTAAAATAACGTTTGTTTATACTTTGACAGCAATAGACTGACATGCAAGGTGACATGTCAATGAAGTTTCCAGTTACTGTTGCCATTAAAAGAAATTAGTACCATTAGTTTTCCGCAACATGGCGAGGGTTTTTATGTTCCTGGTCAGGCTATATTTCATCATCATCATCATCATCTCAGCCATAGGACGTCCACTGCTGAACATATGCCTCCTCCAATGCTTTTTATGTTATTCGGTTGGTAGCGGCCTGCGTCCAGCGCTTTCCTGCTACCTTTATGATGTCGTCGGTCCACCTTGTGGGTGGACGTCCCACGCTGCGATTTCCGGTACGCGGCCTCCACTCTAGGCCAGGGTTTCCCAATTTTTTTTTGCCAAGGAACCCTAATTGATTACACATTTCCTAGCGGAACCCCCGTACTACTCCGCCCGCACGCCCTGCCCCTCCCTTGTGCGTAAACAAGTCGGTGCGCGCGAACAGCGTCGGTCACGAAACGTGGGATAATATTTTTTCCGGAACCCTTGCGACCTTTCCACGGAACCCCAGGGTTCCGCGGACCACCTTTCGGGAACCGCTGCTCTAGGCCACACTTCGTTCGTTCGTTCGTTTCAGCCAAATGACGTCCACTGCTGGACAAAGGCCTCCCCCAAGGTTTTCCACAATGAACGGTCCTGCGCCGCCCGCATCCAGGCTCTTCCCGCGACCTTTACCAGATCGTCGGTCCACCTAGTAGGAGGCCTGCCCACGCTACGTTTTCCAGCCCGTGGTCGCCACTAGGCCACACTTATTGTATTTAAATTCACTAACTTTCAACCTTAATATCCTTCACAGATGTGATGAAAGGCGGTACTGTATCAGTATCTCAGTACCGGTCGCACGCGGCGCGCGCTTGCTCCGGTTCTAACGTGGAGCAGCCGTGGGCGTGCATAGACTTGGTCTACGTGGTCACCTTGCTGCAGGACGCGTATAAGATCGGCGATAACGAGCCCATATCAGTGAGTACCTACCTATACAGCGTCTATACAGCTTATACACCACTAAATTTTAATCACCGAAAAAAAAAATTCTGGGTAATGAGTTATTGATACTGATCCCATTTGTGCAAAAAAAAGAGTAAAATAAAGTGACTCAAAATATCCTCCTAAAATCGGTAATTTAGTGACACACGCGTCGCTAGCACTATTTAAGTACGATAATGTAACACTTATTCGAATTAAAAATGGTCTAAGTTAGCTAAGTATGTAATAATAACACTGGAAGCGTGGTCGAGGCGTGAGCGAGACAGACAGATCGATGCAACGTGCGAGCGCGTACGACTACTCTAGCGAGCAGCGGAGTGACCCAGCTGTGACGCGTAAAATACGGACTAACGAAAATTTAATAAAAAAATTAACTTCATGAAAACCATTTCTTTTTCTTTTGCTTTCAATATTCCACACGTTTCTACATAACCTGTTAAAATTTTTTCGGTGATAAAAATTTAGTGGTGTATAGGTCTTAGAGTAACCGTGATTGGCATGAGTATATGCTCCGGTTCTAACGTGGAGCAGCCGTGGGCGTGCGTGGACTTGGTCTACGTGGTCACTTTGCTGCAAGACGCGTATAAGATCGGCGATAACGAGCCTATATCTGTGAGTACCTACCTATACAGCCTCTATACAGCTTATATAGGTCTTAAAGTTACCGTCATTATGGCATGAGTATATGCTCCGGTTCTAAAGTGGAGCAGCCGTGGGCGTGTGTGAATTTGGTCTACGTGGTCACCTTGCTGCAAGACGCGTATAAGATCGGCGATAACGAGTCCATATCTGTGAGTACCTACCTATACAACCTCTATACAGCTTATATAGGTCTTAGAGTAACCGTGATTGGCATGAGTATATGCTTCGGTTCTAACGTGGAGCAGCCGTGGGCGTGCATAGACTTGGTCTACGTGGTCACCTTGCTGCAGGACGCGTATAAGATCGATGATAATGAACCTATATCTGTAAGTAGATACCATTTTTATGAGAATACAGCGTCTATTATAGGTTTTATAATGTCTTTAGAGTGCCGCTGACAGCGAGCTCATATTCGTGAGTACCTTTTTGCATTAGGAAATTCATGAGATTGTGTTCTTTCTCACCCAAGCGGCGGGCCCTACTCACTATAACTCAACGGCACACACAACTAGACGGATCTGCGAGGTATTGTCTTGCTGGTTATTCTTGCGTGACTACCTTCTTACCAACGGGGCGAGCCCTACTCACTGTAACTCGACGGTATCCGCCGGAGCCCAATGAGTTGATAGTTGCTATAGTCTTTTTCATGTAAGATGATCCGTATGACACTTCAAGGTTATCCATATTACGCATACTACATAATTATGCAGAGTATTTTTGAAAAAATATTTGTATTTTATTAGCAATATAATAAAAAAAAATTAACTACTTGTCTTGGAATATGTAGTAAAATCTGAGTCTATTGATGATATTTTAATTAAATACGATGTAAAAATATTTTTTATTTAATGTACGCAATGTGTGAAACGGAATAGATTTAGTGCTGGGGTATTTGTTGTATAATAAAATCGATTATTTCCGCGGTTCATTAATCGATTGCAGTGAATACTTAGTTATTAAAAGCATCACAAAAATCAACTGTATTTTTCGATTATTGACTTTAATAAACGCATTGAAAATAAATTAATAGTTTTTCATTTAAAGAAACAGAACCAGTACTTTTTAGGAATCGTTTTTTTGAACACGAACTATGAAATTTGAATATTATTAATAAAAAATTGTTACAATAATATTTGTAATTAAAAAAAAAACATGTTTTTTGTTAAATAACATCTATACAAAATATTTCTCTAAAAGTAGGTTTTACTAACTCTTCGAAAAAAATCGATAGATAAATCGCTATGGTTTATAGTTCCAAAATACTGGACTGTCCTGTCGATGACATTGACAGTGGGGCGCCACCGTCAATACCGGATCGTTGGTTCAGATTTTTGCCATGTTGGAAACCATATAGTTGAACGATGGTAGCGCCCCCCTGTCATTGAGTTTGGCGGGACAGTTCAGCGTGGGTCATCTATAGTTATGTGACATCTCTAAATCTTTCAAACTCGAAACGTCATACGGATCATCTTAGGTGAAAAAGACTATAAAGCCCGGTATGTGAGCACGTAGAATTTTGTCCAATGACCGCGAACCGAGCGAACATCGGACTTTCTCTAGCTAGAGTCTAGGGAAAATTATCTTAAGAAGAAAGGGGGAGAAATATGCGAAATCCATGGTATGAGTGGTGATAGATTAATAATTATGTATAATTAATATTAATACTTCAAATTAATTCAACAGCTATTCAAGAAAGTGAACGGCCACGAAGTGTCCTGGGCGCTTGGTCTAGCTTACACTACCGTCATGAACCGAATGGCTGCCGCCGCCGCGGCCGAGCACTAGAAATAACAACCCTACTACGTTAACAATAAGGTAGGTTTTTACTTAAGACGACTAATGCCAGTTGTTTTTTTAGTATAGGTCGCAGAACAAAAGTTGAGGCGAACACGGTACTCACACTGATGTAATATTTGAATACAGAACACAACACATTACAGTTATATAAATATCGAATGCTAGCTACCTCGCTCCAACTCAATGTGTGCAAGCGTGACAGAAAGCACTTTTCAATCAGACTACGATAAGACTACGTCAGATACAAATCTTTGCAAGCGTTGATCGCCTCAACTCTTGTTGTGTGAACTATAATAACAACCCTACTGCGTTAACATAAGGTAGGTTTTTACATTTGACTATAGTGTAAAGGCGACATCCCCTAATTTTTTGGAATTAAGGGGTATCCTAGCGAATGATAAATAAAATCAAAGGCTCATTTTGCATATTCAATCGGTGTTTTGGACGTAATTTTACGCTTTCATCACATTTTAAAATTGTAAATCGACCTTTAATATTTAGATTGTTCATATTTCTATCACGTTCACTTGCACGATTCACTATCACGAACTAGTGTAAGTAACTAGACTAAAAGCATCAATCTGTAAGGCCCGTATTATTGGACAAATATGGATCACTAAGAGCGTTTTCAAGCGTATAACGCCCTATAAATATTCAGATTTTTTTTCTTTACTGTCGATTCAAACTTAAGCATTACTTGATAATACGGGCTAGAATGTGGATTCAGATCAGAACTAGCTTAATAAAGGAGTTGTCCCAATTTCGGCCCGCAGGTTGTACGCCATATCAAAAATCAAGAAAAATCTACTGATTATGGGAAAAATATAAATAACTCTATCTAGCATATAATTTAGCCGTACAAAATCAAAAACTATTCATGAATTATCATTCTCAAATGGATACACAAGATGGTGGATGGCGTCAAATAAAAAAAAAGATGAACCATAGACTAAACGTCAGTCGCTATCAGATTTCAATCTGTCACTCACTTCCGTCTTGTTTGTTCTGTTTGTTTTTATTGCGTTTACGCGTTTATCTGTCTGTCTCCCGAGTTCTTTTTATCAACATTTCTCTGTGACCTGGCTTTCGTTCTTGGATTGCTATCTGCCTCATCTGATGACCATGGCATGTGTTGTATGGACTTGAGACACATCGTGCGATTTGACTATGTTGTTTTGATAAACATCCTCCTAGGATCCGATTGGTATGTAAACAGTTTTTAACTTATTTAACATGTTTCTTAATTAATTTATTAATAACTAATCGTTAATTATTACTTTCTTACTGTATTAAAATCAATGATATTTGTGTTCTTTTCATGTTCTTCTGTTAAATAAATGAAGATTCCCGATACTATCAGTGTAGTGAAATGGGCCCTGAAATCATTTCTATTATTCAAAATGCCATATGCCAAAAGGTGAGCAAAAACTATATTTTTCGTGCTATAGTTTCATATAATCATATTTTTAACTGTATTATTATAACTATTTATTCTTTTATAAGGTCCGGAGACGTACTCATAACCTAACAGACTATGCCAGACAGTTTAATGAAGAAAATATTTCACCACAAGTATATTTAAGTATGCATTATTAGTACTAAATAATGATAATGCATATTTTTTTAATTAATTCAGGTTGTATTAATTGGGTATTATGTAAAACATCTATTTATTGTAATGTTAATTCTGTCATTATCTTTTAGGCACCCGAAGATGGCTTAGTGTGCTATGAGTGTTGAGTAAGAGTTACATGATCTCTTCCGCAGCAAGAAGTTGAAGCTTACAGGAAAGCGAGAACCCTCGACAATTAATACTTGTGTATGGTGCTTAGGCTCTCTTGTTGAGACCAGAAGGCATTCTTTGCCCGAGGGACCGGAACAGGATGAAATAATTGCAAGATTTTTCCTAGAGGTAATGTTCCTTTTAAGTTATTGTTATTTTTATAAGTACCTACATATTAATATTTTTATAAATAAATAATTAAATAAGTATTCAAGTTTGTATCCTTAATTATACATTTTACTCTTTTTAGATTCCATGTGGCTGGTGGCCATGTATGTTATGCGTGCTGGGTTTCAGCATGTAAAAATGTGCAAAGAGCCCGGAACTCCTCTCTGAAGGCAAACTCGTGCCATAACTACTGGGCCAGCAAGAATTAGCAACCAGGCCCTGTGTTAGTAAGGGTTGTGTATAAAGCCTCGTCATCATTCTGGAAGAAAAATATGTACTCGTACAATCACCATTGTTTGGTACTTGGGTTGGGCTCGGCTAGTGTCCTGCTATTGCTGCACCGGCCTCATTCTTGGATAATATTTTAATAAGGGAAGATGATGATTGAATAAAAACTAATGAAAATAATATAAAGCTGTTTTATTTACTAATACACCTATACATCTCTATGTGAATAACAGGTTAGTTTGATCATTGTGGGTAAAGTAGCCTGCCAGTAGGTCAGTAATGTTATCCCAAGATTTCATTCTGAATAATTAGCATTAGTTTTTCAACACAAAGAAAACGTAAAACAGATTACTTCTTATCATCCCCTAAATGTTTAAAAAAATGAGATTAACACAAAATCCGGTAATAACCTATTTGACTATAGCACTGTAATAGGTTATCAAAGCAATGGATAATGGTCGACATATTAGTTTTATTGAATTGTTCTTTTGTCGATTGATTATTTTATGGCACTTTGTGGAATACATAATAATTATTCATTAGTTGTTTATTTATTTTTCTTCACATCAAGATACGACTTAATGTCAAAACTGACAGATGTCATCTAAATAACATTCGGCCACCATGATGGTTTTTGTGGTTGAGTATTGCTATTTTCTTAATAATCTTTTGTTTTGGACGAATAAACGAAGCCATTTTAAAGAAATTGAATGTTATGAAACTGTTGTAGATTTAAAAGCCCTTCTTTTTGGTAGGTGTACATGTTGTTGGCCTAGGCTCCATACATTTTGGGACAACTCCTTTCTAGATTAATGAAAGTGACCCTTATAACCGTAACAGCGGTTGAACTATTACCTCTTCGGTCGATACTGCGATGTGATATGTATGTAAGGTACAATAGTGCTGCACATTTTACCTTTCTTTGATATCGATGTTTTTACCCAATGTATTTTTAATGTTTATAGTAAAATCTACAAATTGATATCGTAAAACTTATGAATGTAATTGATATTTATCATGAATTAAACTTAATTGTAACCGCGATAAGGGAAATATATATTTTAATAATTGATGTAAAATAGTCTTCAAGCTTTGGAATTTTAAATATTTAAAATATTTTTTCTGGTGAAATCTGAAAAAAAAATTATACTTTTTGTGTCAGTCATTATGCAAAAAAAATCTTAATGAAAACACTGCAACAGATGATCCACAGTTAAACGCTTATCTTTATCATTAAAATAAAAGATATCAAGTATTAAAATAATTAATGCACATTTATTTATATATTTGCACAATTTTTACATATAAACGTACACGTGGGATTGTTTCAAATAATTTATATTGTGATAAGAACTGGAAAAAGTAGATTGTATGTTTTGGACTGTACTTGCAAGCAAATGGCAATGCCAGATTTTGTATGGAAGGTGGCGTCTTTTTTTTTTTCGCGCGGCCATCGACCAAACTTTGTTTTTTGATTACAAAATAGTGTAATAAACCAAACTTACTATGGCATGTATACCTCTAAACTCAGTCTGAACTGAGTTACGAGCGTTAGAAGTTTGATGATTTACATACTAGATTTGCTTTTTGCGTGTGTAAACAAACAATATCATCCATTAAAGGCTCCAGACATCAGTATGGAGCAGAATCAGCGCAATAAAAAAATAGCGCAATATTTTGTTGCAATTTCTTACAAAACTTGCGCACAAAAAGCAAATCTAGTATGAAAATCATCAAACTTCTAATGCTCGTAACTCAGTTCAGACTGAGTTTAGAGGTATACATGCCATAGTAAGTTTGGTTTATTACACTATTTTGTAATCAAAAAACAAGGTTTGGTCGATGGCCGCGCGAAAAAAAATAAGACGCCAATTTCCGGCATTGTCTTTTATCACTATCTTGTGTATCGTTCCGAGCGATTTTAAGAAAGAACTAATGAATGACTATCACATTTTTATTCATCTTCATTAGTCATTTAGTTCTTTACATCGTTTGAAATAAATAGGTGATCCCGTACTTTTGTTCGTTAGTGCAGTAACAAAAAACATACAATAAATTTTGCGTCAGCTCATCTAGAAAATAATATGTGTTAAGTGGTAAAATCATACGTATGTCAGTATCTCAAAGACATAGTTTATTTTGTGACTGGTAATGGGTTGTCGAGCGAGTTGTGATGATGTTTAGGTTTTTTGAAGTATTTATTTGAAGAACTTTTAAGTCGATCATATCGAATTTAATGCTCTGTATAATGAAATCCAATAGTTTAAGTATTTAATGAAAACATTTTGCATCTCTGTCATTCCAAGCATTTTAGTGCAGATGATCAAATGTAGGCATTTCGTAAATGTATTTTTCAGAAACTATTATAGCTCTTGTATTGATACAAATAAATATTATGACCCTATTTTGAAATGGATATAACATTTTTTACAATTAATTTGATAATTAATCATATTTATTGGAATAATTTTGTTACTAACACAAAAGTGTTTATGTTGATTTGTTATTTTTCACTTTAGTTTACTAAATGTAGTATCAAACAGTGAATAAGTATCGGATAAGCCGTATTTTGTTTTTCCTATTAGCATACGTAGAACCAGCGTGCGTAAACACTGAAGTATTAATATTATGTTGTGAGTTAACAGTAAGTCGACATAATTTATCGATACTTTTCTCGATGTGTATCGGCAGCACTAAAATAAAATCAGTGTAAGATTTCACTTTGACGTTTGCTCGTTTTGCATAATTTATGACTTTTCGCGACTGTTGGCAGCTAAAACGTATTAAGGTCGTAGTTATTTTTAACGATAATACCTATTACTTATTGACTGGAATAACAAAATAAATAATCTTTTAAGGTAAAATTCAATAACATAATTTTGATGTACCCTTTGTGGCAGTTATATCTTATTTAACATTTACAACGCTATTGCAAACTTCCAAGTGACATCTTAAGCTGACTTTCATTTTGTGTATTAATAATAATAATAGACGTGTATTTCTGTGAAATAAATGAATTTGAATTTGTCATACTTGAGCGTTTTCAGTTGGCATCGTGACCCTATTTATTGCAAACACTGGCCCGGACCTGGTAATTTTGAAATGATAAACATATTATAGTGCTTTTCCATATGATTTTTTTGCCACATTATGCTTTTAAAAAAAAATAAGTATCTCACTTGATGGTAAGTGATGATTAGGCCAATTTCTGCAATAACTGCAATTTCGACTTCCCTCGCAAGAGATATTTGACTAAAAAGATAAATATAAAGATCTAAGGTTTTTTGTCATCCTGTTTAGAAAATCGGCTTAGGGAATAGAAAAGGTCTCAGGTTCGAACCCAGCTAGTGCACCATTACAGGAGGCTGATACAATATTACGGGTATTATTGTTTAGTTTGCCAATTGAAAACGCAAATGTATGACTACCTTCAATGTTTTTATGACTAAATACCTCTTTAATATAGACAAAAATTCAAAAATAATTTTACCTGAATATTACCTGTTTTAAATTTTCGAAGGTATTTCTGCCAAGGCTATCTAAAGTCAGGCTTCCGTGCACTTCAGGCACCATTTTGTTTTATATACTAGCAGAATGTAACATTGGTGTTATGTGTAAATTGTACAAATTTAATAAATGTTGGAAATAATTTTGTATTTTATTTGATGTAATTGTTGCGTATAAAGGTCTGCGATCATTTTATTTATTTTTTTTTATTTATTTACACCAAGCCCTCAGTTTTACATCAATCGCGCTCACTACGTCGCTTGCCTCTTTAACTGACGTAAGTATCTGACATTTTTTTCGAAACTGAGTTATCCACACCATCTTAATCAATTTTGCAAGACGAAACGATCTGTCTAATCGCCTGAAAATTTTGCTAAATGTCAGTTACGTCAGTTAGAGAGGCAAGCGATGACTAGTGAGCGCGTAAACAATTGACATTTAATATGACGGATTGTATAGTGCCCCTAGTGGAAACGTTCATAAACTAAAATTTTCATACAATTTCTTAACGCGCTCGCACTACGGCCACTGAGCGCAGATCGCAGAACGCATCCATTGTGAGAGATGCTTGATTTTTTCTGGGTATAAAATGATACACGGTGTTACTTTAATATTTATTAAGAACCATTTAATAGGTACGATAAAAATGTTAGTCTAACGTACTCGTCAACGTAACAGGAGCCGTTCAGTCTCTAAAATGAGTAGTTAAAACTATTGAGATTACACATACTTATTAGTTAACGTTATTTTGGTGGAAAATATTCTAATATCACATTTTTAACAACGACAAAAAGAATGTGTTTAAATAAGTAAATGAATGGATTACGTTCACTCGTTCAATCATACGATGAGAGAATGAATGAAATTACTTTTATGTTCACTCGTTCAATAATCATACGATTTAAGGAAATTTAAATATTCGTGTTCGATTGTAAGTATGAACATGTGCAATCATTTGAAAACAACATTATTTCAAGTGATATTATTTAGAATAATTTCCACCAAAACAACTCTTATTGAAAAGGTTTCGATTGAAAAAATTGCTTATGTTATTACAAATCTTAAAAGTTTCATCTCTAAGAGCTATAAATACATGCTGGAGGCTATCGCATGCAGAAAATTATTTGCTCTACTGCTTTTAGAACTAGAAATAAATAAATAATTACAGGTCCTGAAAAAACCTAATTTATTATAGGTATTGCACTTGTTACATTATGACGATAATTTATTAATATCACTTATATTCGTACATGTCTCACAAAAACGTAATTATAAATTAAAATGTTATCGAAAACAATCAAAATTAAAAATGATCACTAGCGACATCTGTTGGACAAAAGATACAAGTTTTGGTCTAATTAAAGTAACGAGAAATATTTTGAAGGTTTACTATTTCCTTAAAATACAGTAGTAACATTGTTGGTTTGGAATATTTATGTCAAAAATGTTTTGCAGTAAGTTCACAATACTTTCCTACGCCTTTATGACAATGTATTAAGATATGATTGAAATATTTCAACATTCAAAAAGTTTGCCTCCGTGTCAAGGATATCGCATTATTTACATAGAAACTAGCTCTCCCTAGCGGACATAATCAGTAATAATCGAGTCTTTGGTACGAAATTGGGTAAACATCTACCTACTAAATCTCTCGAAATACAATATTGGTAATCATACTTAGCACAATGAGAGGCTAGACGCTGTGTTGAGCGAGCTATAGTCCGGTCGCCGAGCACATAGAATTTCGTCCAATGACCCCAGGCTACCCATCCTTATCGTTCGCGCGTAATTAGGTATATTGCTGTCGCGGTTGGACGAACTTCTTACGTGCTCGGCGACCGGGCTTTACCACCACTTAAGTCTTTGTATGTCGAAAATTAATATCCGAAGTTTCGAATCTTGCCAGCTCTTTCACGCCAAGCGAGATACCAGCATGAGTGACGGTGACAGATAGAAACTACGTAAACAGCGTTTCGAAGTTGCCCTGTATGTCGTAACCAGACTATTTTCGACTTCATGATGGATCACACTCAACGCAGTGGCCTTAGGGGAAAGGAGACAATCTAAATTTCAATTAGTCTTATCACCTAGAGTACCAAGTAATAACTAAGCAAATCCTTCTTTAAATTATGGCTTGTGTTGCTACATTAAAATATGGCTGAAAACTACCAAACGAAAATATCCACGGTAGTAGTTAAGTGTCAATAACTGGCAACACTAACAACTGTAAGAGGTGCGCAAGCAATTTTTTGCTAATGTAGACTTAATCACTACACAGACCGTTGATACCTCTAACCGTATTTATGTATGTATTGCTGGAACTTTAACGAGAACACTACGTAGAAAATTAAAGAGTCGCTCGAAGGCTGATGGAGTTACAGCTTCTTGTACCAGAACAGGTAGTGCTCACCATCTTCGACTAGTAAGTCGTCCACACCTGTAATTAAAATGTTAACTTTAATCATTTTGATAGGGGCTTCCTTAAACTTGGGATTGAGATTCAGTTGACGTGGCTAGTCTATTTAGAAATGTTTAAGTTCCTATCAGACTATTCCCAGTACTGCACCTCCTGTGCAGCCAGAATCTGCAAGAACCCAACCAGTGAAGGCCAAGTTTCTCCCTGAGCCATTCAGGGTGCACAGTGTTTCAGGATCAGGGATCTCCGGCAGACAGTAGAGCAGCCAGTAATGGTAGCCCATAATTATGCTCCTTGTGATCAGCCAGGGTGTATCAGAAGATATTGTCCACGTGTCTTTATCAGTGACTTACCAACAGGAGCGACGAGTTGGTTCCCTGGCGGGCTGGCATGGTCGAAGATCTCTGGCACAGCAGACAATAGTGGTAGCCCATAGGCTTCTCCCTGAGCCAGTCAGGGTGCACAGTGTTTCAGGATCAGGGATCTCCGGCAGACAGTAGAGCAGCCAGTAACGGTAGCCCATATGCTCCTTGTGATCAGCCAGGGTGTATCAGAAGGGTGTCCACGTGTCTTATCAGTGACTTACCAACAGGAGCGACGAGCTGGTTCCCTGGAGGGCTAGCAGGGTCGGGGATCTCCGGCAGACGGTACAACAACCAGTAGTGGTAGCCCATAGGCTCCTCCTTGTGTCCGGCCAGGGTGTGGACGTAGTGACCGTTGGGCCACTCGCTCGCTTCGAACTTGAACTTCGGGTTTTGGTCCGCAGCCATTTGCATTACGTGGTAGAATGATATGTTTCTGAAAGGATGAATAATGAGAAGTTATTAGTAGGTTTATTTCATTCTACACTCGAAAAGTTCGGAAGATTCCCTTGAGCCTTGAGTATTTGAAGAACTTTTGTTTTTTAGGGCGAGGCTTAATAATCAACAAATGAATCAAAATTCCGTGCATTGCGGGACATTTGAGATATTGGTCGACGCCTATAAATGGAGGCTCACTCTAAAGTCAGGCGCTTGGGTTGTTGTGACTTCATTTATAACTCACGCAAAATACGCAGAATTTCAATTCAGGCATTTAAGGTTGAGTTTCCTATTATTTAGGAAACTCCCCAAAAGTTTGAAAATTATCGGAAATTTCCAGGGTCTGCTAGTCGAAATAAAGATGAAACACATATCCTCACCTAGGAGCGACCATGTGCAGCGTGAAGTTCTCCGTGACGTTGGTTCCAAGCCACAGCGTGTAGGTGAACGAAACATTGCGAGCGTCGGAGTCGTTGCTGCTCTGGCCCGATTGGTAAGCCAGCTTCAGGCTGCCGTCGCCGCCGTTGCTGTCTGTGGACAGAGTGATACCAGTTAAAATATGCTGAGAAAATTGGAGACAAAGACTGAAAAATCTACAAACAGAATCATAGTTGCTGTCCGTGAGAAAATGGGACCCGTTTCTTGATAATTGTCCTGATCATATTCTGAGTTCTTCTTCTAAGAACTAGTAGAAGTGCAGAGTGCTGATGGAATTAAGATTTAAAGAAAAAGTAGAGAGTGATGAGAGATAGACCATGTATTTTCAGAGAGAGAGAGAAGTGAAGTGACACTTTGATTGTCACAATGAATTGTGATAGATGAAGATGTCGCTGATGAGGGAACGAATATAAATGGCCTCTTTAGCAGCTCTCCAGTGCATGGGTATAGACTACACTAATCTGTCACTTGCCGTCTTGGTCACATCTCCTCACTCTACCCGGGTTCTCTTGTCAAGTTTAACCTTACCTAAAGGCTCGTGCCGGCTCTCCAGCAGCTTATCGCTGCAGTGTGGAGGCCGCACAGCAGCCAGCGAGGCCGGTGTCAGCGCTGCTACTGCTGCAGCCGTCTTGGCCACGTCTCCCCATCCTCCGTCAGGGTTCTGACGCTCTAGCAACCACTTCCTAGCCGCTGGGAGGCTCCAGTGCTGGTGGGCACCTGGGCCGCTGTCGGAGTCTTCTAAAGCCTGCAGAAGTAATAGATTAATATCGCATAATAGATAAGATGTAGTTTAGGTTACAAAAAGAGTAAAGAAATAGCTAGGTAGAAAAATTAAAACGTGCTGGTGATATCTCTGACTGAGTAATGTTCATGTTAGTTTTAGTTAGGTACGGACGGTTTTCTTTGGCTGCATACCACCCTAGACGTCGATATGTGGAGTTCTCCTACATACCCGCTGTTTCTGTGTTTTTTGCTACTATATCATCTCTCCCGACCATCTCTGTTAGCAAAGTAGAGTAACAGTAACAGGAACAGGACATGTCCGAAAGCAGCCTTTTTACTCGACTGCGCTAGAAGGAGGGTTAAGTTTTTATGATGCACTTTTAGCGCCTTTCAAAAGAAATCTTCTCCCTCTGGTGGCTCTAAAGCTCGGCTTAGAAATTCAAGTAGGTACCTGTATAGCCAAGGCAGTAGTGGTGAGGCTGCCAAAGCTGCCATCTGGGTGTTGCTGCCGAGCCAGCCCGGCCATGGGGCGGCGCACGAAGTGGATGAGGCTGCGGTGCCGGTGGTCCTGCACAACGCAGCGGAGCGCCAGGATCACCATGGAGATCGTGTCTGGAATGGGAAGTAATCGATGAGCTCCAGAACTTCCAGGCCCATAGGTAACGCTGACATGTAAATAAATGCGGTATTGGTGGTTTTCCACCATGCCTCCATGGTCTCTGGAATGGGAAATTGAGGACTTAATGAGTTCTAAGTTTCATAGAGCAGAACGATGCTGTTGTTATGAGAGATTGAGGAATCGATGAGTCCCAGGGTCTAATCTAGACGTTACTTGGTCTATAAGATAACGATTCTGTTTTATAAATGCGGTGCCGGTGGAGATGGAGATGGTGTCTGGAATGTGTGATTTGATGAGTCATTCATGGGCTTTTTACAGCTTAACATAATGACGAAGCTGTTGTACCTATACAATAATATATCTTACATAGGTATGTAATCTTTATCAGTTTCACGAGATTTCTGGTACTTTAAAGCTAGGTATTTTAAATATTGCCATAGGAAGTAATGTTCACAGTGAATCTATAAGGTTTAGCGTAGTAGAGATTAAACCAAATTATTTCCTATCATAATTTACAAAGAAGGGAAGGGGTAGCTAGGTCATCTTCTGTCTTTCATTCAGTAGATGTTTTCCTTGCATCCGGTCCATAAGAAATGTAAGAATAAGAATTAAAAAATCCATGCCTATCATGTTTTTATTCAGAGTTATTTATCGACTTAAACATAAATAGATAACTTACCCAGGCTATGATCAGCAGCAGCATTAGCGATATCCAACAGCCTTCTAATATGCCGTCTCCTCACGTGTGCTGCGGACGAGCAAGCAGCCAGGGTGGCGTAGGCAAACTCCAGGTCGTGGGGCGGTTCGCGGTGAAGTAGAGCGGTCACCAGGTCCCGGCCGTGGAAGGAGCGAGGGTCCTTGCAGAGGGCACCCAGGGCCAGGGTGTAGGCGGCCAGGCGGCCTAGAGGAGGCGGGGACTCGTGGTGCCTGCAAAAACAAGTTTAAAGTTAGTGAGATGGAAATGAAGGAATAGTTTAGGCTTGTAAAAGTTAATTGGATTCTACATCTCAATTTACAGGTGTTGTTTTTTATGCTTCATCCACACCACCATCACGGTGCGATCATAGGCCAATGACAGGTCGCGCGAACTGTCATGGATCACGCGACCTGTCATTGGCCTTTGATCGCGTTGGCGATGGCGATCTGCACGCGTTGGTGTCGTTGACGCTTTACTTGATTAAACAAAAAGGAGTGATTGTTCTGATTAAATGTAATTACTGTCCCCGAGGGACCGAAGTTTAAATATTAAAAAAATCATCAGCAATCCGTCATTTAGTATGGGGGACCTATTTTTTGTCAGTTTGATAATGGTTCTGTACGAAAAGTAGTTGTATTGAGTAGTACTAGAAACAACCCTTTTGTTTGATCAAATAGGATCAATAAAAATAACTAGGAGAGTCAAATAATTATGTTTGAAACTTACATTTGAAACTTACATTGGACATTAAAAGATGTCTGTATTTCAACGTAGGTGTATATTATGAAGTTTAACCGTAATAAGGAAGACCAGATGTTATTTATGCTTCCTTCCAAACGGGTGTTGTGCTCGGGGACTAAGTTCCAGTTGTTTTATTTTAGGGACGCGCGCTGGTAACTTTAAGAGCTTTTCCAGCCTCAACGGGTGATCGGGCAGAGTGGCGAGTACAGAAGGTACTCTAGCCGTTTGGCGATCGTCGGCAGGCAGGGTAGAAAACTCCGATATTGCGATGCAGTAAGGTAGGTGTCGGCGCCATCTGTTGGGCGCAGTCTCGCAGTCGCGTTGATAGATGTCGCCACAGGTGGTTAAACATACACATTGTACTTGCGGGTTGCAGACGAAGTGAAGTTAGTTGAGCTTAGCTCGCATAGCTGACGCAGTTTCCCAGTGTTTGCATAGTTTGCAATTTGCACACAACTTCGCGTTTATTACTTCGCACATATTCCCCAGTCCTGCCCAGCGTTTTGTGTTGAGCACACGCGTTTTAATCTGTTATGGAGCAATTTATAGGAACTGTTAAACAATATCCCATACTATGGAACACTGAGTCGAAGGACTATCACAACTTGAATAAAAAGGAGGTTGCTTGGAAGAGGGTAGTGAAGGAAATCAATAATCCAGACATACCAGATGGTAAGTTTAATTGAAGATCATTCAGGCTCCATACATTTAAAAGGTGCGTATAGACTAAAGCATTTCATACAAGTAAAATGTACGACGCGCGACGTTTGGTTCGTGAAAGGGTGACATATTATTGATAGTAGACCACTTCATAGTACGGCTGTTACAAGTAAATGCTCTAGTCTGTTTACTCTTTATGCTTTATAAGAAAGTCATGGCTAACAATGGTACGGGTCGTTAGTACTGTGACAACTCAACTCAACTCTGCTCCTATCGTAAAGCAAGTAAGTAGTTAATTATGATGCCAAAGTTCTTTGTAGGATTAAACAATTATTACATTTGTTTGTTACAGTGAAAACTGCGAAGAATGAGTGGAAGAAACTACGTGATAGTCACCGAGAATCCCTCAAAAGGATAAAAACGGATACAAGTGGCCAGTCTGCCATTCCGCCAAAAAATCACTGGAAATATGCTGACAACCTTGAATTTCTTTTGCCCCACATGAGGAACCGCAAAAGAACTTTGAATTTATCAGTCAGTTATCAAAAAACTTTGGCAAGTACTTCAACCGAACTTACAAGTCATTTGCCAGTTACATCAACTCAAAATACTTTGCTCGGTACCTCAACCGAGAGAGAAAGTATGCCAGGTACTTCAACTCAAGATACCGAGGTTTTGGAAGAATTTGAACAACATGAAAGCGAAAATGATGCAGTTTTTGTGCAACAGTGTGGCAAACGGAAGGCTAACGATGCAGTAGAGATTAAGAAAAACAAAGACGCTTTGAATTTGTTTTTCGACAGTATGTGCGAGTCAACTAAAAAGCTTCCCGATTGGATACAAAGGGATGTAAAGAAGAGGCTTCTACAAATTGTATGTGAAGCAGAGGAAACTAATGAAACTTATATGACCACAGAGTACCGTGAATGCAACTCGTCATCCGCCTCGACACCAGTGCCTCAAAACGAAGATAGTATAGATAATATGTAATTTAAGTGACTTTCAGGTATCTTTTTAATGAAATACACAATAAACATCGATATTATTCTTCTTTTCTTACCTCAAACAAATTCCTTTCTTCAGGAGTTTAAGCATTTTGATAGTAGGTCTCGTTTTAGAAAGATAACTAGCGGCCACCCGGGACGTCGTTAGCGTGGATACCGTTTTACCCCCTTAGGGGTGGAGTTTCGTAAAATTCATTCTTAACGGATGTCTACGTCATAACATCTACCTGCATGCCAAATTTCAGCCCGATCCATCCAGTCGTTTGGGCTGTGCGTTGATAGATCACTATGTCAGTCAGTCAGTCATTCAATCAGTCAGTCAGTCAGTCAGCAATTTAATTCATAAAACTGTGCTCTAGTGACATGAAAAAAAGTTTATCATCTGACTCGTAAAACAGAGTTCTCTTCATTTGTCTGTCATTTGGGAAAACTTACTTGGACATCATGAGAAGTATTTCGATCTCCATCTGTTTCGCCGAGAGCTGCATCTCCAGGCCTTGCTGCTCTATTTCCTTGCCGGTGTTGTTGGCCAGCTGTAACAGGTGAAGTGTAAAAGTCAAAGTCAAAGTCAAAATTTCTGTATTTGTATAGACCATTACATAGTACTTATGAATCATCAAATATTTTGCTCTTAAGGAGCCTCTACATGTTTCATAACCTTTTTACTCTACCAGCGCTTCGAAACCAATATTCGGCAAGTGCTGAGAAGAAGCGCCGCAACAAACTCATTCACCACTGTCTGCCAGTTAATATAAAAAAATGCGATGAGATGATTTCGTTTTACTTATTCGATCTTTTTAACGTCACATTAGCCCTAATACTGCGTTTTTTTACTTAAGAAAGTATACATATAGCTATTTGTGATAACTTTAGCAGTTTCTGGAATATTTTGAGAACGCCTGTAAACTGTACATGGAAAAATACCTATGTTTGTTAAAGATTGAAATGTGTGTAGCATACGTTTTGTTAAGGAAAAGAACGCAAAAAATCAGATTCATTAGGCTGTGTGTGCACTCTATTCAACGCTGTGCGTTCGTTTTGCTTCGTTACTTAAGCAAGCATCTTTTGTGAATATGGGCGATAATCTCTGTACCTGGAGAGTCAGCATGACATGGTGCGTGTCGTTCCCCCAGCCCCAATCCGGCTGTCTATGCTGCAGGAGATACTGCAGCGCCTTCTGTATGGCCTGGCCCTCGTTCAGGGTGTCTTCCCACGCGATGGTGGTGGTGGTGGTCGATGGAACCGTAGTGGTGGGGGGAGATTTGGTCGTCACGGTGGTGGGCGGCTCGGTCTCTGGAATATTAGTATCAAAATAATGACCAACTTGAACTTTTGGACTCTAAGATGGCGTTTTCTGTGTTAGATGTATATCACAATTTTCTAAAAGTAGCGCCTTTTAAGTAATTTAACTGTTTCTATTTAACATGAAAGTAAGAAGTTTCTCCGTGAAATTTTAGTCCATGCATTGCACCAATTACCATACTCGTAATAGGAAAAAACTTACTACGTAACCTACTTAGTTTCCTAGTTTCAAGTAGATTTATGTAGTAAGAGACAAAATGTATATTTAGGTAGATAATGGGCTATGTACCGACGTGTAAAATATCCGAAATTTACATAATAACTCACCAGTTTGGCCGTAAACAACAGAAAGGATGAGCAGGAAACTGAAGAGGAGCTCACGGAGATATCCCATGTTGATGTTCTGTAACAATGAAAAGTTTCAGGATTAAAAGTCTTGAAAATTCGCAGAGGGATACTTTTTACCATCTACACGTACTTAAAGTTGTTTTTACAACTTTCAAACTTATTTTTCAATGAAAGGTATGAACTTTTTCCTTTCATGTTATATTCTGGAAACAAAATAGCACATAAATTGTTTAATGACTCTGAGAAAAATGAAATAAAAATAAGACTGTTTATGTTAGACCTACTGCCACTTACTAAAGACACTTCTTATTAAAGAATCAAGCCAAAATACCGTTACTATAATCATGGTAGTAGTTAAATAGAGTTACTTTAAGGCCCAGACCAGACGGTGAAACGCAACTGCAACGAAACTGCAACTGCTAGTTACTTTTGAGTTGCATCTAAGTTTCTGCCATAGCGTCCGTTGAGGCACCACACATGACGCGACCAGTTTGAAACTTTCAGTTTCAGTTTCATTCATCAGAATCATCAGAAAGTTGCAGTTTCGTTGCAGTTGCGTTTCACCGTCTGTTCTGGGCCTAAAAGTTACATAATAATGGTGCTTATATGTATAATGTTTCCACCATTGAATCAAAATTCAGATCACGATTTTTCATCCAGCAGCGTGAGAGCCAATTTGCAGTTTCTCATCCCATTAAAGTTGCTTGTGTGTCCGTCGATGCCGGCCCGATACGGCACGAATGCGATCGGAGATATGCAGGTCCGGTAATGATACATGGTGATACAGTAATGCCGGGGTATATGAGCAGGACCTACTAATACCCGACACAATAATATCTTCTCCTCTCTCGCTTGAAACTTGCAATAGCCTAAATTAGTTACCTAACAACAATGTACAATTATTTATGTCAGTTCAGCACATAATTGTCTGTTACCTATAAGTAGTAGTCTAGTACCTATAGTAGAGTCAACAATGTACAAAGTCATACAATTTTTGTAATAAGGCTTTTGAACAGCGCTTTTTGATGACTGACCAATGACTTTTCGTGACAATAAAGTTGCGAGCCATATTCTGGGGCCATGAAAGTACGAGTATGTCTAGCCCAAACATCCAATGAAACAAAGCAAATTAAAAAATCGCAGTTCCGTCTTGACAGACTTTGGTCAGATTTTAGTCCGTAGGCCAAGCCTGCTTGGAAAAGGAGAGTCCTATAAACCCAATGGTCCCCCTGAATCTTTCTACGTTTAATGCATTTTTTCACACAAACTATGTAGGTCTCAGTAAGCGTTAAAAAATCTCTTTCGAAGCGAACCAACTGACTTCGTTCCACTGTGCCCAGACAGAGTTAAATTACCCCCCAGAGCTCCAAAACGAAGATGAAACGTATTCAAAGTTTTAATGTGTGCAAATAGTATGCAAGTATTCATTTCTGTAAGACTAAACTGTGGTTACTAGTTCCCATGACTAAAATATGTATGGAGATTGTATTTTCAGAAAACTGTTGCTTAAAGTTTTTATTAATAAACAGGTTCAGGGTTTCTAACTTTGTGAACGAACACCATGGATTCAATTCTAGGACCTTAGCTAATTATATCATTACACTAGCGACCCGCCCCTGCTTCGAACAGGTTCAATGTATTATACTTTTAAAAAATCCTCTTGAATCACTCTATCTGTTTAAAAAACCGCAACTTAATCCGTTGCGTTTTTAAAGATCTAAGCATAGGTACTAGGGACAAACAGACTTTTTTTTTATAATATGTAGCGAAGATAGCTTTTAATTGAGCTTTTATTGAGCGAATTCATTAATCTAACTAATGTTCAGATTAAGGCCCAGTTTTTTGATTCATAGTTAAAATAACAAATTGTTAAATTTTGTTACTAATGGTTAAATATTAACAAAATGTTAACTAATAGTTAAAAAATGTACTAAAAGTCAAGCTAACCATTGTTCGAAAAACATTTTTTTCTGATATTTAACCACTTGTCATTTGACATCTGTCAAATTTGACTATTGGTTATTTTAACTACGAATCAAAAAACCGGGCCTAAGACACAGACAGGAATTAGCAATGACAAGCGAAGGAAATCCTAAATGAAAGTGGAAACGAGGACACAGACTGTTTTTATTATAAACGTGATGATGAGAAATGACTGACGAAGGATCATTTTGTTTTATATTAAATCCTTCTGCGACAGACTAAAACCCACTCGAGTGAGGAATCGGTTTGAGCTTGTTATTGATGAAGCCGGTTAAAAAAAAATGAACCAAATCGAGAACCTCCTCCTTTTGTTGTTGTCGGTTATTAAAAGAAGAAAACGCAACTGCAACGAAACTGCAACTGCTAGTTACTTTTGAGTTGCATCTAAGTTTCTGCCATAGCGTCCGTTGAGAGACCACACATGACGCGACCAGTTTGAAACTTTCAGTTTCAGTTTTATTCATCAGAATCATCAGAAAGTTGCAGTTTCGTTGCAGATGCGTTTCACCGTCTGTTCTGGGCCTAAGGCGTTTGGTGATAGCCGTTACATGACAATATTTCTTAAAAGAACATTAACAACAATCGTTTAACATCAAACAAAATACATTTAGTAATCATTCTTAAATATGCCATCTCACGACAGTACATTATTCATTTTAAATATGTATTGAACACGATATTCTAATTCAAACATTTTCAGCTTAACGTGTACTAAGCTTGTATTGATAGATTAAGACTGCCGAAGAGGATAACGCAAAAATAATAGAAGTACTAATTTTCGTTGTTCCTTGTTTATGTGAATCAGTTTTGATGTAAAATATTTATTTGGTTTTGTAACTTACTGTTATCTCTATAGCTTGATCAGCAATATTGGCGGTTGCCATTAAGTCGGCAAAGGCTAGTCCCTGGAAGTAGGTAGGTACTTACACTAAACCAGTAGGTAATAGGCTAGTTTCCTAAAAAAATTTTTTTAGTCCGTCATGTTTAATATCAAAAAATATTGGATACATATATTTTTATTTGTCAATCTAACAAATAATTACATAGTTATGGTGCGTTGAAGTTCCGCACGACGTCACAACGTGCGGCACTTTTATGCACACATTGACGTCACGGGCCTCTTCTTATGAACTTTGGCGCGCTTTATCTCTTTAAATTTTCATTAGTTTGAAAAAGTGAAAAATACGTGTAGAGTATTTTTTGATAAGTTAACTGACGGACTAATTAAAACTCTTGCTTTTTGACCCAGGAAACATGCCTATTGTCATTATTGAAACAATGCATTTATAGAATTTCTAAACGGTACACCGATTTTAACTAAGTTTTGTATTGGATGTCTTGCTTAACAAAACTTGTCAAAATAGAGTGTAGAACTCTATGAAGTAAAAGTATGGTAGGTAAGTCACCAATGCAACGGCGAGTAATTCTAGAAATAATAAGGTTTTCTGAAGGGCGGCGGTGATCACTTACCATCAAGTGATCCTTCTGCTCGTTTGCCTCTTGTCGTAAAAAATGTAGTCCCAATAAATTGTATCTAACTTTCTATGCTTTTTCTTTCACTCTGGAGCTTGTATTGATAGATTAAGACGCCGGGCGCAAACATGACGCTGCAATCTTCTATAATAAATTGACCGGTCTCCGCTGTATTTTCTCGGATATTGTGTATTGGGATAATGCGAAACAAATTATTATCTACTTGGCATCGACAAGCACTTGCCTCGTGCTGATTAATATAAAGTAAAATAGCTATACAACGATAGCTATTGAAAGAATTAAAACAAGTTTCATGTGCTCTATAGCAAATGCCGTAACGGCGGCGTAGCATGGGTTGGTACCCGGGGCGATCCCCCCCCCCCCCGTCACAAGTCCTATGGCACCCCCTCCCCTGGTACCCCCCAGGATTAAGACAATCGCCCCCCCCCTCCCCCCCCCAAATTTCCATCAAGATTAATNCCCCCGGTATCATGACATAAACCGCAGATTTGCCATGCAGAGATGTGCCAGTGAGTACTAATCTGCGTGGCTTGTGTCACCCCCTGATGCTTGGCACCCGGGGCGGACCGCCCCCACCGCCCCCTACCTACCTACTCAGACGAATTGAGAACCACCCTTTTAGAAGCTGTTTAAAAACTACACATTGCTTGATGTATGCGACATTTCTCTATTAAAAACACCGCTCAGAACTCGAGAAAGATTTTGATTATGAGCCTCAATCTATGCTTAAAGTTGGATCAAGTTTTAAGCTGGACAGTTCAAATTAAATCATATATTACTTATTCAATTTTGAGCAGTATTTTGACACTTATGACTTTTTAGTTAACTAGTTAAACTGACGCTACATCCAAAATATGACCGTGTGTGTGCCCTAAATCTTAAATTCAAATTAATTGTAGGTACCTAAAGTATACTGTGGTTATTATAGGTACTGTGGTAAAACTATAAATATGGCCCATCTGCACTGAAATTCATTAGTTATTAAAACACCGTTTTACCGTATATTCAATTCAGAAGGATAAGTTTAGCAGGTGAGCTGAGCTGTTCCACCGGCGTGCTCTGAATATGCATGCTCACGAACGTCGCTTTGTTTTGGCGTTGGGCCACTAAAATGGCGGGCGGAAGCGAGGCGCAGGATAAATATTAAGTTTAAAAAAATGGATGATAAATACAAAATATAAACCTGTAGAGTTTTCTACAGGTGTTAAATAATAGTGTCAGAGTCAGCCGAACCAGCTGGAACTGATGTATCTGGTATACCATCTTAACTTAGGTTTAGTTAAATTTTCTAACTGCTAGATAGAGATCAATAGGATGTTAATTATTTCTTCTATTGTTTTTATTTGTAATTTAGAACTACACTTTAGTCATTTACTGTACACGAAAAGAAATTTTGGTAGAATGAAATGTAATGTTGTATCTTGAAGACTGAAATCTCTACTAATATTCTGAAAAACGTTATTCCTGCATAAAATAATAACAAAGGTCATGGCTAATTCGATTAAAATTGAAAACACGGCTGTAGCGAATATCTTAGCGGTTGTTTTAAAGCGTCGGTTTAGAATTTATGGACTGAAA